GGTAAATAGACCTTTCGGTTTGTTAATGACAACCAGGTATCGGCAAGTGGGGAATGAAAGGAGGCAGAAGCCAGGGCCACAGGAAATCAAAGCAAAAACCCCTAAAGACATGGTCTTGGCTCTGACGAGCTCTGACACATCCTGCGGTTAGATGTTGGCTAACTATTCCGCACTGAATTAGTTGGAAATTTACATTTGGGATTATGGTTTTGAGTTAATTGCTGAGTCGGAGAGAAACCCATTCAGTTTCTATTTCAATTTTTAAACTGGGATTATTTTTGTGAAATTTCGATGTGGGCTTTTGTTTGCTTGTCTAACCATTCTACCCTTCTCCTAGAAACTTAAACTTTACTAATTTCCTGCTGGAATTTCCTCACATTGGCCTTAAATCGAACACTGTATCATCCCCTTCCCCCTTCTAATTGCTTGTTTACGTACTTCTGTAGTACCGAATTTGTAGCTGTTTTGCTAGTCTCAGTTGGATGAATGCAGAGAAAAAACCGTAGGAAAGCAGAGCTGAAATTTGCATAAAACAGCAGCAACATCCCCGATTTGAATCCTGCAACGTGCGTTGCGATAAATCAAAAATCTGCAGGCAAGGCAAGAGAGAGTTAACCCATACCATATCCAACCCTGTCGCTGGCTTCATCCTTTTGAAAAGGCGAACAAGGGAAATGCATTGGCCATGCAAACACTGCTGATTGTGTAAACAGCAATGAGAAGGAACAGCAGGAGAAGGAACAGACTGAAGAACAAGGAGATTGGGAATGGGTAATGGGTAACCGGGTGCTACTACTTTCCACACAACAATGGAATTGAATTTCAATGCCATCTCCCTTATTGTTGTCAGCCTGGGCAATAATTGTTCCAGCTCTCAGCACGTCTGCATGTTGCATGCTGCATGCTGCATGGTGCATATACTTGAGGCTGCCACGAATGGTCCTTACAGAACATTCCACGCTATTTGCCATCGATTGCATCTTTTAACCAGACCAAAAACGAAACAACAAGGAAAACAGTCTCCATCCTGGAAGCCATTATCACCAACAGCAAAAGCAGCAGCAGCCGCTGACTGCATCCTGCTCTTTCCCAAAAAAATTCCCATTTGCAGTTGCCATTGCATTTGGCATACGTGTAAATCGTAAATTTCCGTCCACAAAACGAATGGTAACCGGACAGCAAGCGGTAGAGGAACCCAACAAGGAGTCACCCAGATCCAGTTCCAGCTGCAGCTCCAGTCCACGGGCACAGGGCAATAGCTCATTGTGGACAGCGACAGGACGACAGGCGGCAGCGGCGGCAACAGAAAACAAAAGTCACTTCCTCGGTAATGGAATAAATATCCGTGAGGACCATCTTTCTCGGCAACCGTGCACCGCACACTCTCACACACTTATACCATATAGGGACTGTCCAACATTTTGCGGCTATTTATGGTAGCAACTTTATGGCTGGCAATTGAAAATAAAGGTGCCGAGACGGAATGCATTGTTGGGAGAATTACATTTCGCCAGAGATAAAATTTTTAATTTCAATTTTGGCGCAGTTATTGTGGTTGACTTTGTTAGTAAAATTAATTAAACGCAACTATTCTATGGAGGACTCTAAAAATTGAAGCACTTTAGTAATGTGTTTTCAATTTCAAAAATCAACATTGTACAGAAAGTTTTAAGTGCTTTGGGTGTAAAATAAAATTAAATGCTTAGCATTGTTTAATATTTGTAGTGACATAATAAAGTCTTTAATATAAAGATGATTTTTAATATATAATTTGGGAGAAAATATGACCCCTTTGAAAGTTGGAAGACATCGAAGAAACAAAGAAGATATTTAAAGAAATTACTTAAGAAAGGTCTTTAAAGAACTGCCTTTTCTATATAGTTCACTTTCAGCAAACAAATATTTTCTCCTGCGTATATTGAATTTCTTCAGCTAAAGAATCCTTGGCTAAATAGATTTGAAATTTGAATAGTTCAAATTTCGCTTACTGATTTCCCAGAAATTGTTATTCAAAAATCCAATTTCCCTGCATCAATGCACAAGCAATCTCCCAGCTCATCGCCATTTTTGTATATTTTGCATATTTGTCACATTGAAGATGACCAGCTGGGGAACACCACAGCTCTTTTCTCCTGGTTTCACCTGGACTTACCATGCTCTCGCCACCACTCCAGTTCGATTGAGCCAAGAAGGAAATGCGAGACATGGAAGCTTTTATGACACTGCACTCAGCGATGCGGATGCTCGGAGTGGATGTTGGCTGTCTTTTATTGTCGGCGGTGTATAATTTTCACACTCCTGGCGCGGATGTGAATGCGGATGGCAGGGATGGCTGTTTCTGCTACTGTTGGACCTGCGGCGTTTTCTTTTTTTTACCACCAACCCACCCCATCATGGTTGATTTGATTGCACTGAGCTTTGGTTCTTGACTGTTTTTTTTTTTGTGTTCCTCCCTGCATTTTGCCTTTGCTCCGCTCAGCATTTTGATTATGTTGCAGCATTTTTGCATCATAATACTCATAAATATTTATGAGGCAAGTTGTCTAAACAGAAAACGGACATAAAATACCGCTTCCGCAATCTTTCTCATGCATATAAAGCAAAGCCAATATCAAATACAATCAGGCGAATGTCTGGGCCAAAAGCTTAGGCAAATGAAGTATCATATGATATTTGGTTAGAATTCGAAATGAAAAATGAAAAAATAAAATCACTTTTGCTGCAGAGATCTATTGATTGCCGTTGAAATACATTTAAACGAACTGTTTTAATATGCGGAAAGTCATTTCCTTCAACAAAAAACTGTCAAAATAAATTGAAAATGCTGGCCAAAAAAATATTTCATCCAATTTGCCTACAATCTGTGTGAGTATGTATGTGTGCGAAAACAAAATGGAAGTAAAAACATAGATTATTTGGCACTTTGTTTTAGTACGAATCGGTCCCGAAGAAAAATATTCGATTTTTTGCTAATAAAATATGTTTTGATTTGCAGACATTTAGTTGGCAGTTGGTTTCCCTGTTGAACGAAGTTTTTTTTCCCCAAACAGAATGACAATTTGATTAGTTTGGAATAAGTTTTAAATTTCTTCTTATATTTTTTCCTTTTTTTTTTTTGTGGAAAACTTTGCGACAGGTTTGTGGAATATGCGGTGCAGTTTTAATGACAAGTTTGTGGGGAAACTTTGCCTACGTTCAAGTCAATTAGTTTGGGAAATATTTGCCACCTAATAATCTGTTTGTATGGCAAAAAGGTAAAGCCAACTTAATTAGCTATTAATAAAGATTCATTCGTATTTATATTTGATTGTAATTATGAATTAAGTGTCTGTCAGTTTTGTTAAGCTGCGCTGTAATAGCTTTTAATAAAAATGGCTTACATGGCGTATGCGGGATGTTAAATTTTGTTGCATACTTTTTGGGATCTGCTTAAATCTTTTAAGCCCACATAATTCACGTTTAATGTATTCTGATGCAAGTGATGCATTTAAACATAACATGCAACAGCATGTTGAAGTTTCAACATTTTCTGACTTTGCTGTTTTCTTTTGACTGAACTCTTAGCTGGATTTCGTGGATTGTCGGAAACTTGTCTACACTTTTGACTTGCTTCTTTGTGCAAAACTACAACAAATGACTCATTTTCCACGCACTTCATCCTACTGTTGCCGTCTTCACTTTAGTTTGAGCAAAAGTTTCCACCACTTTCTGCAAAACCAAACAATTCCCGCGCGGTGGAGGAGGATGAGCAATCAAACTCGCTTCCACTTCTGACTTCCTGATACATATATATATACATAACTATACATATATACCCCAGTAGTTTATCATAAATTTGACTGCGCAATGCTATTGCTTTGATGCGGCTTCCTTTTGGCACTCCCCATTTCATATCTCTGGCAATCGCCTTGATTCATAAATTATTTCATATTTCATTTCCTCTGCGTGATGCAACAAAAAAAAAAGAAGAAAAGTTCTTAAAAAAATAAATGCACACTGGGTAACACAGTGAACAAGTACAGAGATATATAAACAGAGTCACTGTTCGCTTTTCCAGAAGGACTATTTATTTCAGTCTCTGCCCCACGGCGTTGCAATAAAATTTCTGCTTCTGCTGATTTTGTCTGTTTCTTGTCCAAGCATTGGCCAAAGTAAACATAATAATAATAATAATTCCAACTGCAACTTCAAGTTTGCTCTTCAGGATGCCTTAACATGTCTGCAGAGTGCATAAAAAAATGGAAAGTGATGAAATGAGGGCAAATTGAGGAAACTCAGAGAAGAATGCTCCAAAAATTACTGTGTGAAAGCAAGAAAAGCTGTGTAATGAACTCAAATTACTTACGGTCATTTTACTTTCTTTTTATGAAGTCACAAATAATATATAATAAGAACATTACTGCGCTTTACTTATTTTTAGAATATACTTATAAAGATTTCAGTGGTTTTCATGTTGTAATACACGTTACTATAGGATAAATAAAATTTAAAAAAAAAACGAATATGCTTTTAATAATGGTAACGAATTGCTAACATTGCTATTGTTTGTTAGAACACCTTTTTTAAAATGTTTTTAGTATTTATCACTTATTACGTATATTCTTATAATTTCCAACTGCTAACTAGCTGGGAATTTCTGGAAATTCCTTTGTTCAAATTTCAGCACTCAAACTTAGTCGTAATTGGTTTGCATTGTTTACTATCATTTAAGTAATCTTCGTCTTGCTAGCTCCAATAATTCTAATATATTTTAATTTAAATTTATTTCCATTATAAAAAATTACTTTTTTTCAAGTCTTACAAATGATACGACACTCTAACATCGTATTAAGTAATTAATTTAATTTTAAACGGGTGACACATAAGTTATTTACCTTAAATAACCACTTTTAAACTACGTTGTTTAAAATTGAACTAAAAATATTGGTTAATGGAAAGGTTGCATGCACAATTTTAAAGGCTTATCTAATCAAAATTCAAACAAAATTAAGTGGTTATTGTTTTGAAGAATAAAATTTACTTTTCACAAACAAAATTTTTAAATAAGACGTTTACAATTTTACAACTCTAGCGTTAACAAGCCTAATTAAGATAATCTTTATTATTATTACTGGGTGTAAACTTTACGTAAATGTTCAGTTTTTCTTGAATGAACTGTCAAGTGTAACAAATTCACGTGACAGGGTGTAAGTAGTGTTTTTAAACGTTTTTTTTTTATTCATTAGGAAATGTTGCGTGTTTTTGTTAATCAATTTACTCCTTTATTTGAATGCCAGTTTTGCAGTAGAACCAAATGTCCGTAAAGCAAACTCCTCCCCTTGTCCTGGCAGACCAGTAGGCCGCCTGAACGTTCTCAGAAACATGATCTGGCCTGCCAGTTGGCATGAAAAACCAGAATTCATAGGTGGGATTATACGACAGCACCTTCCGTTCCAAATTTTCAGAGCTGCAAGCAAAATAATTAAATTTATTATAGGAAGTACAAGAAAGAGTTACCTTTGCTGGCTGGCTGGCAAGAGCAGGATAATTGCAATTATTATTGCTGCCGCGTTCATGTCGTAGGTGTCGGGCTGACTGATTGCGAATGTGAGTTATTTGTGTTCTCAACCAGCTATTATTTACGAGCCACTCGAGGTTATCGCTTCGCTTTGCTGTTGACTGGCGATAAGGTAGTGTGAATTCGGAGTGGCAGCTACAAAAAGAGGGGAAAAAATAGTAGAAAATAAAACCGAAAGTTGCATGCAATGCCAAGCCAAAACGAAATAGTAGAAATGAATTAGAGCTCACCTCCGGGTTGGCCAGCATGTTATGGCCAAAACTGAAGGATAAAGCCAGAAAAAAAACAGCTTAAATTTTCAGTTTAATTTTTTATTTAAGCTTATTTTTCCAGCTTGCAGGGTATTTTGCAGTCAAATAAGAGCTATATCTACTCACCTGTTTGTCAATTTGTTTTTTGGGTTTAACCTTCCTGCCAGAAAGGTAAAATTTATTAAATAAACACTAAGGATAAACACATTATGAGCCAGGGACAGCAACAAAAGGCTGATGTCTTTCCATTTTCTTAACCCGAATTGGGTAAATAAATAAACAAAAGGAAAAATGGGAGCAAGTCGAATAATGGCCAGGAAAAGACATCATCTATAGTGTATGTATTTGGCTCTGTGTGTGTTCTTGGGTGGTGTATGAATGGGCAAACAATTGAGCCAAAACCAACAAGAGACCAAACAATAACATCAAATGCAATCGTAGACAATGGCAGAGGCACGTTTTGCAAATTTTTGTGCAAGCAAATATGTGAATATTTATCTATCCGGCAGTTACGCCCACAAAAGGTATCTCTGGCCTCCCATAAAGAAAGTCAAGTGAGATATATATACTCGTATATATATATATATGAATATAGTTCTTTGTACAGTTTATTATGATTGTTTGCTGCAAAAGTTTTCCCTGTTTATTTGCAAGGTATCCATTGCTCTTATTTCGGTTTTAAAGCGGTCAGAAGATGGTTTACTTTCTGGGACAATGGCTTGTCATTCGTCATGATTTGGTGCGGCCTTGCATGCAATGGCATAATAAGCCAAGCGAACAGCTCCTCCGCCTCTGATCCGCCCTTCTCCACCCACATTTTATCCTTCTCGTGCGGCAGTCAACACTCATACGCCTCGTTGCACGGCTTGCTGCACGACTCGCTTCATTGTTGTGGCATATTGTTTCACATTTTGAATCCGCCCAACCACAGGCAACAGGCAACTTCTGCACGCAGAATAAAAGATGATCTTGGAATTTGTATTAAGTGTTAGTCAATAAAAGGGAAATTTTATTAATTGAGGTTAAGATTTTCGATTTGGAACATGAAAACTAAATGCTTGGTTCAATGTTTTATTTGCATTTCAAATTAACTCATTTTTTAGATACATTTTGTAAACGAGATGAGGAGGGCATAGTTCTTATTGAACCATTTAATAGATTTTATTGTTGGTAAATCCAAAGTAGTTAACCATCTTTTAAATGCAGTAACTCTTAGATTCTCCGAGTGCATCTACAATAGAGATTTGAGAGCATATCGCAGCTAGTGCACACATATTCAAAAACTAGCAAACGTGCCCGGCATGTGCCCGGACCGACCACTGACACGACTCCGGCGTGGAGTTCTGAGATGCCAGACGGGTATGGAATGTGTTGGGCCGGGAACTGTCGACTGCCGAAAATAGTTGCATATAAAGTGCTTTGAATTTAATTAAATTATAATTGGACACTGTGTGCAGCTGATGGCCAGACAATGTGTGTGTAGTTTAGTTTTCAGTTTCAATTACAAACAAAAACCCAATTAAGTTACATTTTGGTGTCCGGTTATGACAACCACCGGGCACAGACTCCTTGACTTGGCTAGACTTGGCAAGGAAACTCTATATATCTCTATCCCTGGCATATATGGGTAATACGTTAAGTGCTTTTCGCCTGACTCACCACTACCAAGAAAATAATAATAACAACAAGGGATAGAGAAAGAGGAAGCATGTCCCTAAGGGTCAGAAAACGCTTAGCAGATTAGCCAGGGCATTCTTTTCCTTTTTGATTAAAGTGCGAACATTTACCAACAAAACAGAGCTGGTCAGGACAATGGCCGTAAGCCAAATCAAATCAGCTGAAAACACGAAACAAAGCGGACCAGAAATGGGAATAAAATAAAAAAAGAGCATACAAACAAAAGGCAAAAAAAAGGAAAACAAAAATGCTGATGAAAAAAGGACAAATCCGATGTTTTTTTTTCTTTTTTTTTGACATTTCAATCAGCATTTTTCAAGCGACTCAACACACATAAAAGAAAACGTTAAGGAAATCGCATTATAGGAAAACATTTGACCATTTTTCATGTCCTGCCAAAACAAATGTCATACGAAAATTGAATTATGGCAAAAAGATGACAGTGCCAGATATGTGTTAGCGCAGTAAATGCTCGAACTTCGAATATCCGCATTAAATTGTGTATACCCGGCGTATGAGTAATTTCATTGGAAAATCACTTTTTTCCCCAGCAGCATGTCCGCGTCAGGAGCTGAGTGGAAAAAAAATGAAATAATATTATTAGTCAATTAAAAAAGAGGAAAAAGTGAAAACAGAATTTGATTACATGTTGCGGTCGCATGAATGTCAAAGCTATGTGCCACGTGTGGTCTTTTTTTTCAGTTTGATTCTATTTTTCCTTAAATTAATTCTTTTCACTTATCCTGATTCAATTTAATATTTAAATTCCCCTTGACAGACCACAGTCAGTTTACCTTATTTGCCAGCCTCAGACCTTGGATGTCTGGGTATTACCTATGATTCTCGGGACTTCCGCTTAAAGCTTTATGTAAATCCGGACTGGGCAACACCGGAAATACATGAAAAATGACCAAGGTCCGCGGAAATGCTTAGCATGCAACCCCGCCTTGCGAGAAAAACCAAAAAAAAAATGGTCTTTCATTTAAATTTACGCGCCAACTTGAGTACAATAAAAGCAAATGTGAAACAGTTGCCCCGTAACGAAGCGCCAGCAAAATGTAAAGTCCAAAAGTCCACTTAACAAGAAAATTGTTTCCATGAGCATTTTTTTCCTGTCTTTTTCTGCATTAAAACCATTTTCATGCCCTCGCTTATTATTAGCTTTTGGCAGTGTGTGTGTGTGTGTGGGTGGATGGGTGGTTGGGTGAAGGTAACGCCATACAAAATACTTTGCACATTTTTATGACCGTGACAGTGCTGCCGACCGAAGGAGAGCAGAACCCACGGCAACTGCTCTAGCTCCTCCTTCATACTTTGCTTTTCCCATTTCCCATTTTCCATTTCCAGCCTGCCTGGCACCTCCATTATGTCACACTCCTCACCCACACCAAGGATAGCCAAACAATTTTCCCCAGAGTTTATGAGCGTGAAAAAATGTTTACTGGTTAGAGAGCTTCAACATGTTTTTTTCTTTCTCTGTTTCGTTCCTATTTTTTTTTTTTTTCGAGAAATAAAGTCACTGTTTTATGTTGCAGGGGAAAAAAAGGTAATTAAAATGGTTTTTTTGTTGGCCAAAAACGAAGCATGTCACGGGGAGATAAAGTCCTTTATTTTAAGTTACAAAGTTTGCACTTCCTTCGGTATAACATACCATTAATGATCGGGGTTATAAACTTGTTGTGTTGGTAGAAGATATGCTTGCATGACAGGATACATCATAGAAATACCTTATATCCTAAATTTTTTTATTTATTTCCAAAATTCATAACTCAGATCGATATAAAAAAGTGTAAAAACAAAAATAAGGACATTGATTTCGTCCTTATCATTCGTTTCAAGCCATTTCACTTCATTTACTTCGTTCGAAGACGTTGTCAAAACTAAAGCCTGAGTCCAAGACTGATTTCGTTTGTGGTCTGTGTTTCAGTTTCAGTTTTGGTTTCTCGTTTTGGTTTTGGTTTTGGGTAAGGGAACGAAAATGGGTTCAGATTTTGGTGGGATTTGGGTCTTTCCTTTCGCATTAGGCATCATCAAGGTCTCCCCCATTCGAAGGCCCGTTCACCGCATCCTCATCAGTTGCGCTTCATTGTGTTTTATTCGTTGCCGCTGTTATCGCATGTTAACACTTCATGGCAAATCCCAGCCCAGGCTGGGCTAGCTGGCCTGATGTCCTTTCTCATCATCATTGGAATGACCTTTCGTTTTCGGGGCGTGTATAGAGTAATATGTAGGACTGACTGTGTTTGTGTGTGAATCCTAGAACACGCTTAGTTAGTTTTCTGCCACACACTTTGCGTGCAAAATGTCAAAATACATTTTACTCGGATTTATGGTCACTGGACGCCACCAACTCCTCTAACTCTCCCTCTCTATGCCCTTGTGGGATTTGTGCTTGTCTTTGGCTATTTTTGGGGATTTACACGCTTATCACACATATGCACACACTTACATTCACACTCACACATGCTCTGAAACGAAATGAAAATATTATGCTACATTTCATTAAAGGAGCACTCATACATACAAACACAGACATCCCTATATCCTTGAATGCTTTACAGCCACTTAAAATAGATTAGCTTTCAACGTTTTCGGGCTCTTAGGCAAAACAAAACTGACTGAAAAAAGGCAAAACGAATGAAGGGAAATAATAAATGGCTCAACCATAATTCAAGTCCCTTTCTTGTGGGATCCCTGCCGGAGCAGATGTAATAGAAAAGCCATTGAAAACATAAGCAACTGTCAATGATTTAATGTTTGAAATCAGAAATAGTTATACGTGACAGGTCTTAGAGGTTTGGCCAAGTTCGAAGACCCCAACTAAAACATTGATAAATGAGAAGGCAAACATTTGAAAGCCAAACAACTTCTCAATGATGGCCGACAAAAAGATCCAGCAATAGTGGTCACAGTCGAAGGACGAAGACATCAAGAAGGTGGAAAAGTATAAAAACCATGATAACAGCGAGTACTTTCGTTTCGAAGAGAATCAATTTATTTCCCCTTTTTTTCGAGCCGGAAAATCTTTAAGTCCCTGCGATTATGGGCCCCCAAGCTACTGAAAAGGGATCTGTTCTTCACTTTGATAGCCAATCCAAACCCATCCATATTTCATTTCATTCGCCATGGCTTCTTCAGAGTTATAGCAGCGTTTTTGGCCCATTCGAGAGAGAGAGAGCCGTCATCTACTCTCAGACTTACATCTCTGCCACGAAAAGGCCAAACTAAAAATGCTCTTTCGCTCCATGTGGCCCCATCATCGCAATCTGTGTCCTGCTGTTGCCGCAGCATCCAAAGCTATTATTGTTCCTCCAGCTTGCTGTTGCTGGCGGGCCACAGGGAAAAAAAGGGCAAAAATATTAGCTGCCTCTCAATCGTTCAGCTGAAGAAAAACCCTTGAAAAAAAAAAAAAAAAAACCAAGAAAAGGGGTCAGTGGTGGTGGGTCTAAAAAAGGAAAATATAAAATGGTTTATTTATGCAAATTGTCAATGGTTTTTGCTCTTCAAAAAGATAGACGAGCCGTGAGGCCCAACTGCTTTTAACCGAATTGCCTGCCAACTGAGTGCCGTAGCGGTTGACAGACCATTTTCATGGCAAAAAAAAAAAAAGATTCCCAGGCTGGGCAATGGCTAAGCCTTTAATTGAAATGTATTCCAATGAGCTAAAGTTACTGGGGCCATTGTCCACCAAATGAAACCAAAACCCGGACCTAACCAAAGCAAACATGTGCCCTCGGGAAGCAAATTGGCGAGAGCAAATGAGCAGCGCACAAAAGCTGGCCATAAAATATTTACATTGCCTGCTAATAGCGTGACTTGGCCTAAACCCAAACATACTCAGGTTTAGGGGTTTTGGCATGCCATAACTCCATAAAACTTCAGGCGATACGTTGGCCGCGCAATCTACACAATTTTCATTGTAAATTTCAATCGCCACCGCAATTTCAGCTGCATATTTGTTTAAATGATAATCAAATGCAGAACCCAACCCTCATTTATCACCTATATGCGTGTGGGTAATATTTTTATACCTTTTTCCCGTTTTACCAACTCCACCCAATTTAGATGTATAGGTCCAAGTTTATCTACACATCCCACAGCACATTGGGCATTGGTTTTTGTTGTTTTTGTTTACCTCTGCCTCGGTCCGAATGACAGTTTGAATAGTCCTTTTTGGCAGCACACTTTCTATATCTATGTCTGCGGATATGTGCATGTCCGAGTGCCTGTTGACCATTGGAATGGCCAGACATCGTCAAAGCCGGATGCCCTCAGCATTTATAGCTAACCATTGACAGTTTAAACCATTAAATGCAGCAGAATGTGGTTTTTGAGCGTACTTAGATGCAAATAATTGCCGACAGATGGCGTCTGTCTTTGGTTTTGTTTTTTTAAAATAACCAATTAATTATTTACTGGTATTATTTGGTTATATGTGGGAGTTGTCAATTTTTGTGTAGGCGGAAGTGGTTAGTTTCTCTTATTTTTTTTTTTTTTTTTAAATTTATGGTTAAGAGAATCATTTTGGTATGTCAACCATTTCTTTGGAATGCCAGAAAGTATGCTATGTTATATATAATTCTTTCTATTTCTGTATCTAACTTAAGCCGTTGCTAATTGTTTCCCGTCAAACGATTCGTTTTGCCTAATGACTCTCCGCACTTGGTCTTAGTTTAGTTTTAGAACTGCAGCTGGCTTCTCACACTTCGTCCATGTTGAATCGCCAAATACCTTTTGGGCTCTTGCAGCTATTTCTGCTGATGGGTGGTTTCTCTGCTTCCCCCCTAAGTGAACGTAGGTGAGCGTAAAAAAATGACGTTGAAAACAAGTTTGGAAACTGCGTGTTTCTCTTCCATTTCCAATCCTTCAGCCTGTGGGGAAAATGAGGAACGCGCCTGTTTGCCGTGTACAGAACCTAAATGCTCACATCCCTTTATCAAGGAACCGAATTGCATTTTCTTCAGGAAGTGCCAATTTAGGATGTGGCTGCAAGTTTGGATACATCCGTCACGATCTCAACAATCGATGTATTCCAGCCGTTGAATGCAAAATTCCAAAGCATCAGTTAAAGGTTCCTATTTGGTAAATTATTATTGTTATTGTTTTGGGATAAGACAATTGAAAGTGAGGTTAGATAATAGAGGAAAAACCAAACATTATATAGTTTAATTAGGTGAATTAAATTTAAGTACATTTTATGGATCATTAAATGGAAAGTCTATATATGGGCATTAAGGAAAAGTCTACATATTTTCAAAAATATGAATATTTTAAGATTTTGAAGAAAGTCAGAAATCATACATCCATTTTCACCTTTTAAATTGGGTAATATTTAACTCTTAATAAATGAAAAAAAATATTAAAATATACTTACTTGAAGATTGCTACAAAAAAGAGTAACTAAATTGTACAACTTCAAATATTTTGTAGTTTTTATTAGATTAAAATCAACAGAAAACGTGTTTGGACTTTATACGAAGTAAAATAAATGGTAAAGTCCTTGGAGTTTATAGCTGATGTCCTTTCCTCTCTTGACTACTATTCTGTTTGTCAATTTACATGCTCCGAGATTTTTACAGCCTTGTATTTTACTTGCTTGGCTTCTATATTGCTGTTTCATCCACTCGGTTTTTAGCTCTCTCTTTTTCTTTTTATGACAAACAACACGAAATTGTATCTTGGGAATTCTATGTTTTTAGCAGCGAAAGTTTTATTGTTGATTTTTGCGGTGCTCAAGATTTACGACTCTGTCGGTGTCCTGACCCCATTTTAAGGGAACTTTTGGTTTTTGTGAGCTGCTGCCAGTTCATAAAGCATACAATCTTAAATCTGTACTACCAGATTTCTCTTCTTCTACCACATAAATATTAATTTAGCCGCAGTTACTTTCGCTCTTTTTACGTTTTTTATTATTTTCTTTTTGCTTTTTTCCATTTTGGTTCTTGCTTTTGATATGTGACATTTGTTTGCTTACAATTTACTTTATGAATGAAAATTATTACTGAGCGTTTTTATTTTGCAGAGTGTTTTTATTGCTGGCTGTCGTTACATGTTGATGCTAAAGTTAAATGGCTTCTTTGTTGACTTTTATGAATGTAATCAGCAGCAAAGTGATTGCCAACATGTATAAATAGGGCAAAGGCATTGGGTACTTGATAAAATAAAACTGTTCCTGTTCTTATATATTATATACAACTTAATTGGAAATGTTTCGAAAACAATGTAATCACGCTCATCAACATTGTAATCACTCAACTAGGGAATTTCCCTACCATTTCTTACATCCTATCGAAAAACCTATCAAAAATGCACTTCCGATTTATTTTGTCATTATTAACTAGAATCCAAACTCAGTGAATATTTCGCCATGGCCATCAATTATTTAGCATATTTTATAAACTTCTATTGGCTAACAATTTGATTCCCCAACGGAATAGCCCAAAAAATAAAAAGCCTACACAACATTTTGCATTTCCGCTAAGCTGAATTAAATGTTAAAACTTCCGCTGCGTGTGTGTGTGTCTGTGAGGCCATCAGAATGCGCATAAATTTCTAACAAATTTAGCACAAAATGGTTATTATTATATTATTTCGGAAGAGTGGCCAGGGGTGTTCGATGCTGTGGGTTTTAGTGGGGAAAACATAAAAGCAATTAAAGCCCTTGCAAAGTGCTCACACGTTGGCAGACACAAAATTGTTATTATTATTATATTTTTTGTATGCTGTGGCGGCTGCTGTGGGCCTTTCGGGGTGAATTCCATTTAAGTTTCGTCGCCGAAGCACCGAAAATAAAATTAAATCACCCATTAGTGGTAGATTTTCGTCTCATTTTTTCCAACACCAAATTGTATTTAATGCGTATTTACGTGTTCCATATAAATTTATTATGTTTTAATTTATTGCTCGTCATTAGGCAGCCGTCTCTTTCTCCTTTGTTTGTACTAAAACATTTTAATGTGTTTGGAAAACAAGAAGGAAATGTTTTTTAAAGCTCTTGGCAAGTGCTGGTAACTGACTTAAGCCACTAAACAACTTGACAACAATATATATCAGAAACAAATAAATCGAACGAGAAGAACAGCCGCAAAGGGGATTACGGTAAGGAGTCCTTGGACAGGACTCCGGCGTTTGTACAGTAACCAGTGGGAATCCCTTTTCTTGTCCTTGTCCTTTTTTCCCTCCCTACATAATCGAAATCGTTGCGCTGTGTTGTTGGTCACAATAAATTCAAAACTTTTTCGCCCCCCAGGGCAGCACACCTCTTTTTTTTTTTTTTGCCATTTAAATGGACAACTTTTATGGCAACAAGCTTACACGCATTCATGCTTCCAACTCGGAGGACTTGAAGATACGGAGGAAAAGAGGATGGTCCATGGCAACCCATGGAGCTCTTAATTCCTTATGGCCAACAACGCGATTCCGCCCGCCTGCCAATTGTTTAATGAGCTGAGTTTTCCTCGGCATTGTGTTGTGTTTTTCCTTGCTTTTTCTTTTCCCTCCTGCGCTCTTCTCGGTTGCGTGTTTTGCTCATTTTCGGTTCGACTAAGCAGCGGAAATTGTCAGATAAGAGAATTTCACAAAAGTTGCTCATTTTAATCGAGAAAGTTTTGTGTCTAGTTTGATGATTGCCAAGAACTATGCTTCTGTGTATTCAAGCTTCTGTCAATGTGTGTGTGGGAATCTCCTGACTTGTGGACAGCTGAGGTCTTGTCTTATCTTTCATAGAGGCTGCCGGGCTGTCGAGAAAATTGACAAATAATGATAACAACAAGAAGGAGCTGCTGCTGCCGCAAAAACTTATTCTAATTATAAAGTTTTAAGATGCAAAATAGTTGGCTGCCTAAAATTTGTTTAATATTTCTGCAAATACATAAGTGATAACAGCTGTGACTGACAACACTATCATATCTTTTCTTCACTTTGTTTTAGCAGATGTTAGTGAAAAAGAAGAGGTATATAAAACCTTGATCTTGTCCTTAAAATAATTCAAATTTCTGATTTCTAATGTTTATAGCATTATTAGCTATAAATCTAGCTAGAAAAAAGGACCTCGATAGCCCTAAACCAATAAGAATTTTTGACTTTAAAATCCTCCCCTAAATATGATACCATCGTAATAATGTTCTCAGCCTGAAAATATGCCACAAAATGTTTACTATCCTTTAAGCCTTCCCCAAGTTGTTTGCACATTCTATCGGTGGCCATTAATATGATGGCAAGTAAATATTATATGTCTTCAAACAGCTCGCATATAATTTAATTGCTGTGAGTGCAATGAAAAGGGGATAAGCCCTTGTTCGATATTAATAAGCCTTGAGTACGTGCCATAAATAAAAGTGCACATTCCACCGAGCAAATAAAGTGCTATCGACAAAGAAACAACAACAACGAAAAGCAGGAAAACAGAAAAAGCGAACTGAGTGGGAAATTTTCACAAGCCTTCACTGTGCGTTAAATGAAGTTTCGAGCAGTTCGGAGGAGCCACCTGTGTCGAAACCAAAAATATGCATTTAATCCTGATGTGCATTTAATTAATGCAGAAAATAAACACTCCGCCACACCCACTCACACTCACACACACGCACCCTTGAACTTTTTGCCACTTTTCAGGCAATAAATTTACTTTAAGGCCTTTGGCGGTATTAAAAATTAAAGATGAAATGGCGGAAAACAGTTTTTCACTGTAATAAAAATGAACTTACTCCCTTGTATTGAAACGGGTATTAAGGGCTTTATTTAATGGGTATAGCCCGTGTCGAGATTCCTTTCGGATGTAATATTTAATATTTTGCCACCTCTTTAACCGCAGGTATGCGCCCTATCCAAACGCGCTGTGATACTGCAGTCCTCGGATATCCTCGCCTATAATGAGCTCCCGCTCCATCAGGCCAACAGCATTAATGGTAATGCGAACGGCAACGGCAACAATGTGGGCGGCATTACGGCCATGGCCTCCAAGTCCTCTGCCCCACAGAACATCATCGCCAATGCCGGGCTGAGCTATGAGGATGTGCTGAACGATGATTTCCAGTTCGATATGGATGGCCATGATGTGATGGTCTTCCTGCACATCCAGAAAGACCGGCGGCACCTCGTTTGGCCGTCATCTGGTCAGGGATCTTGACCTCAAGGTTAGTAAGCTAGATTCTAGAATGCAATAGTAATTGATATTATTCAAGCTTTATTATGATCTTGATGGAATCCTTGAAGAAGCTGTAGTAACCGATATCTTTGATATATATTTATAGCGTCCATGTGAATGCCAGCGGCAAAGGAAACGCTGCTATTGTTTCCGGCCACATCGCAATGAGAACTGGCTCTTCTCCCGCTACTCGACGGGCTGGAAGTGCGGACTGCACGCCGACTGGACCGAGCTGACCAGTTGCGTGGACGTGGAGCTGGACAAGAATGAGGGCGAGACGGCCAAGCGGCGATACTTCTACATCTCGCTGTTGCGACAGCCCATTGCCCGCTACATGTCCGAGTACCGACATGTACGGCGAGGTGCCACCTGGAAGGGATCCCGGCACTGGTGCTTGGGTAGGCAGGCCACCGCTGCAGAGCTGCCTGCCTGTTACAAGGGCAAAGATTGGCTGGACGTAGATCTGGACCAGTTCGCCGGTTGTGAATCAAATTTGGCTGCCAACCGGCAAACCCGCATGCTGGCGGACTTGGCCCTCGTCGGCTGCTACAACAAGTCCTCGATGCCCGCCCACGAGCGGGATCGCGTGATGCTGGCCAGCGCAAAGCGCAATCTGGCTGCCATGGCCTACTTTGGACTGACTGAATATCAAAAGGTAAGATTTCTATGAGGGAATTTCCCAGGATAGCAATGTTAATTATATTTTTACATTTTAGATGTCCCAGTATATATTCGAGGAGACCTTTAACCTGCGCTTCGCCATTCCCTTCGAGCAGCATAACACCACAATCTCGGCGACTGCTGTCCAGAACCTTCGACCCGACCAAAAGCGTCGCATCGAGAAGCTCAATGGCCTGGACATCGAGTTGTATGCCTTTGCCAAGACTTTGCTCTTTCAGCGGTGAGTACCATCCTTAGAATCAGGATCTATGTATTGATATTTATGACACTCATCTTAATTGGCTTATGTGCCGATAGAACATGGCTTTAGTTATGTCCATGTGCGCCCCTTGTTAGTTATAGTCTCAGCAAGTTTGTCTGGTTGGGAAAACCCGATCAAGCGTCGCGGGTCCGGTTCTGTGGATACTTCCTTGCCTCGCATAATCGGGACGTCTGGTCTAAGGTCGATGACTCAGGTCCATGTTCTTTGTATCGCTTTGTGTCCCTTGAGGGTGCGAGACCCCTTTGATCATCAGGGGCCAAGCCAGTCCACGAATCCTTTGTTGCCGCCAGTTTGTGTTGACATTGGCTGTGCTAAAGGATATTGTGTGGAAGGAAAAGGAGAATGGATCCCATGGAACCATCATTAGATCGCATTACCCTATAGCGCATTCAATGATCAAAGGTTATGCATGAACAGGCATGGGAAAATTATATTGAAGGTGTCTCAGCGAAAAGAAATTGTCATTAACATCATTTATAATACTTTTGGGTTGGATAGATCAAAGGATCAGCTAATTGTGTGGTTCTTTTTTCAGTTTTATTTAAATTTTTTGTTTGATAAACAAAAAACCATGACTCTTTGGTATAAAATCAAAATATTTTGCGAAAGTTTTGGCAAATTTAAGAACTTTAAATGAATAATAGTCGCATTTTCTCTCATTAATTTCCAAATTATTTCCCCTAATCAAGGTGTTATACGAAAAGCCAGTTGTTATTTTAGAAATAGGAAACCCCCAATAGCTTCCACATCCTCTTCTTTGATTCGAAAAGATCTACGTCTTTTCCCTGGCACAGCTGTGTGTGTGGTTGACCCACCCAGAATTTCATGGCTGCCTGCCTTAACCTAGAATTATCACCTCCCAGTTGCAAGAATCTTCTGGCCATTGTTAAGGATCAAAGGAACAACCAGCTGAGCAGTTGGCAGTTGTGACAGTCTCACTGGAGAGAAAGAGGGGACAAAAGAGAAGGAGACACACGAGCAGCTACCGCAGGATCAGCAGGATATCATGAGGGTATCCTGCCAGATTAGCGATGGCCGATTGCCCAACAAGGAAAATCTATATCCCTGGCGCATTTCCATTTTCCATGCAATTCAATTCGCCTCAATTAAATTCAACTCATCGCGCAGGCGCGACTTCACTCGTTTCCCTTGCATTTCCGACGCATTTCCCTTGCAATTATGCGGGCATCGGATTTCGTATCAATTTAACAACTTATGCTGGTTGCAAGCTGGATTGGAGCTAACGTATGAAGCAGTCCATTTAGTTATCAAGTCCTATCCCTGTACTCGTGATGGCAATCCTCGAGAGCAATCGCACTTTTAGCTGTCGAGGGGTGAAGGAGAAACCCGGACAGATGTGACTGTGTCTCCGCTCATCAGCCACGGAACATTTCCTATATCTGAACGAGTCAGGGAATGCGGAACCCTGTCGTCTTCCTACCCCCACTCCTCTCCACTCTGATCCCTCCTCGTGCTGTCTTGAACTACAATTGCAACATTTGCGCGCGCTAAAATGAAAACATTTTCTTCACATATAAGTCGAGGCCGACGTCTTGACAAATACTCAGAGATAAGACGCGACTAGGGATATAGAAATGTGGCACGAACCACCACCAGGAGTAGTAAAATATTATATATAAAAAGCAATTTAGTCGTCTCAAAAGCTAAATACCCTTTAATAATAATAGTTACAGAAAAAAAACTAATTAATATATTATTAAATGTTGAACAAATTCCATTAAATAATGAAACAAGTAATATATAATTTTATAAAATTTTAAAAAAACTCAAAGATCAAATAGTCTTTTAGAAATTTTAAATATTTTTGTAATCATATTTCTAATTTATGGAAATTCGTAAAATTTCATAAAATGAAAATAAATTCTATTATTTCTTATGAATTAAATAAATTATTAGCTTGTATAAAAATCTTACTTAACCAACTATATAGATTTCATTAACTTATACATTTAGTATATGAAAATTCGAAAATACCCAACCTGATACACAGGGTATACCATATACCGCACAAAGGTGAGACAGCAAAAGATCCGTTGGAGCGACCTTTGCTCGAGGGTTGTTTTCATTGCCTTTCCCTCGCTCTGTCCCTTTCAAACCCTCTACCCATCCCACTTCCTCTCGATCCGACAGCTGTAGACGATGTCTGCCTCAGCGATCTTGGACAGAAGGTGAGCTCAGTTAGGTTTTGACAGCGGAACGCGTAGGTACATCGCAACGGGTAGCAACGGGAAAGCGGGTTTAGTGTAGAACAGAACGGACCACGAAGTACAGACTAATTTGAAACGAACTACAGACGATTTGTTAAACAGTTTACCTTTGAAACAAAAAAAAAACAAGAAAACCAAACCAAAAGTTAAAGTTGTGTTTATGTTTGATCGTTGAGTTATTGTTATTGCAAAAGTTAAACGAGCGTTATTTATTGAGACATTGAGACCAAATCCAAAGAAATCGTAACCAAGTTAAACGAAAAATCTCCCCAAAACAAAAAACAAAACTACGAAAATGTCTTTCTCCAAGGCCAAGTTGAAGCGTTTCAATGACGTGGATGTGGCCATCTGTGGCTCGCCAGCTGCCTCAAACAGCTCCGCGGGCTCAGCGGGCAGTGCCACGCCCACCACGTCGACGGCAGCCGCTGTTCCACCCACCGTTCAGCCGGAACGTAAAGAGCAAATCGAGAAATTCTTTAAGGATGCCGTGCGCTTTGCATCCAGCTCGAAGGAGGCCAAGGAATTCGCCATTCCCAAAGAGGACAAAAAGTCAAAAGGATTGCGCTTGTTCCGCACTCCTTCGTTGCCTCAGCGCCTGCGTTTCCGTCCAGCTCCCAGTCACACGGATACGGCCAGCGGAACCGCAAGTGGAGCTTCCACTGCTGCCTCCACTCCTTTACATTCGGCTGCCACCACTCCCGTGAAGGAGGCCAAGTCCGCCAGCCGTTTGAAGGGCAAGGAGGCTCTGCAGTATGAGATCCGTCACAAGAACGAGCTGATCGAGAGTCAGTTGAGCCAGCTGGATGTGCTGCGTCGCCACGTGGAGCAGTTGAAGGAAGCCGAGGCTAAGTTGCGCGAAGAGCACGAGTTGGCCACCGCCAAGACAGACCAGCTCATCGAAGCTCTGACCAATGAGAATCTTTCGCACAAAGCTTTGAACGAGCAGATGAGTCAGGAACATGCCGATCTTCTGGAGCGTTTGGCTGGCATGGAACAGCAATTGCAGCAACAGCGCGAAGAGCATGAAAGCCAGGTGGAGAATCTGATTGCCGAGAGCGAGGCACTGCGTCTGGCCAACGAGCTGCTGCAGGCGGCCAATGAGGAGCGACGAGTGGTGGAGGAGCAGCTGCAGGCTCAACTCTCTGCCCTACAGGCGGATGTTGCCCAAGCCCGAGAACATTGCAGCTTGGAGCAGGCCAAGACCGCCGAGAATATTGAGTTGGTGGAGAATCTCCAGAAGAACAATGCCTCTCTGCTGGACGACGTGGTCCAGCTGAAGCAGCAGATCGAGCAGGATGCTCTGTCCTACGGACAGGAGGCTAAGAGCTGCCAAGCGGAGCTGGAGTGCCTGAAAGTGGAGCGCAACACCCTAAAGAACGACCTGGCCAACAAGTGCACTCTGATCCGCTCGCTGCAGGACGAACTTCTGGACAAGAACTGCGAGATCGACGCCCACTGCGACACCATCCGCCAATTGTGCCGGGAGCAGGCTCGCCACACCGAGCAGCAGCAGGCGGTGGCTAAGGTGCAGCAGCAGGTGGAAAGTGACCTGGAGGGCGCCGTTGAACGCGAGAAGAGCTACTGGCGTGCCGAGTTGGACAAGCGCCAGAAGCTGGCGGAGAACGAGCTGATCAAGATCGAATTAGAGAAGCAAGACGTGATGGTACTGCTAGAGACCACCAACGATATGCTGCGCATGCGAGATGAGAAGCTGCAGAAGTGCGAGGAGCAGTTGCGGAACGGCATCGACTACTACATTCAGATGAGCGATGCTCTGCAGCAGCAGTTGGTGCAGCTTAAGCAGGACATGGCCAAGACGATCACCGAGAAGTACAACTACCAGCTGACTTTGACCAACACCCGGGCCACAGTTAACATTCTGATGGAGCGTCTTAAGAAGTCCGATGCTGATGTGGAGCAATTCCGTGCCGAGCTGGAGTCTGTGCAGTTGGCCAAGGGGGCACTGGAGCAGAGCTATCTGGTTTTGCAGGCGGATGCAGAGCAACTGCGCCAGCAACTGAACGAAAGCCAGGAGGCACTCTCTGCGCTGAGATCCTCCTCCCAGACGCTGCAGGGCGAGGTATCGTTAAAGGAGTCCTTGCTCCACGAACTGTTGGCCGGCGAGGCGGAAACGTTGGCTAAATTCAATCAGATTGCAAACTCATTCCAGGAGCGCATCGATGGCGACGCCCAGCTGGCCCACTACCACGAGCTGCGCCGCAAGGATGAGACGCGTGAGGCCTACATGGTGGACATGAAGAAGGCCCTCGATGAGTTCGCCACCGTGCTGCAGTTCGCCCAATTGGAGCTGGACAACAAGGAGCAGATGCTGGTCAAGGTACGCGAGGAATGCGAGCAACTAAAGCTGGAGAATATTGCACTGAAGTCCAAGCAGCCGGCTTCGGCCCTGCTGGGAACACCTGGCAAGGCAAACCGATCGAATACCACCGATCTGGAGAAGATCGAGGATCTGCTATGCGATTCGGAGCTACGTTCCGACTGCGACAAGATCACTTCGTGGTTGCTCAACTCCTCAGAGAAGTGTGTCCGCCAGGACAGCACCAGCGAGATCAGCGAGCTCCTTCTCGCCGGCAAGTCTTCGCCCCGTCCCACCCCACGAACACCCAAGGCGGCGCCACACACTCCTCGCAGTCCGCGCACTCCCCACACTCCACGAACCCCGCGATCGGCGGCTAGCACGCCCAAGAAGACCGTCCTGTTCGCCGGCAAGGAGAACGTGCCCAGTCCGCCCCAGAAGCAGGTGCTCAAGGCACGCAACATTTAGGCTATTCCTTTGTACCAACTACTTTATCGTACTATTATAAATTATATAACTTAGCTAAGATCTGATTCGAAATATATTCAATACAACTCACGTTGCACACAACACAGTTAAAAGGTGTTTTTGGAAATCTCTTTCGAATGATTTATCAACAAATTCCAGTTCAATATTGTTTCTAATGCCTTGTGTGTTTATTCTGGAAATTCGATACTATAGAGGTGTGAAAAATTCATCCCCTCAAATCGTGTCTTCTTTTTTAGACATGAACATTTCAGTCTAATTTCTTTTGCAAATTCAAAGAAATTTGATCTATTGGCCTATTTACAAAGTCTTAAAGTCGTTTTTCTTAGAGAAATTTGATAAAACTAAACACTTTTTTTAGTAGAAAGGAAATGATTTGATATTGTATTATTATGTACTTAAAATTATTTACAATAAAGTTTTTCCTGCTCTCATGATAAGTATCCATTTTCAAAAGGGTTTCTTATTCTTGTACAGTTTCATCATTCAAAACAAGCAAAAAGTAATCTTTATCCTCTTGCATGGGCTTTTGATATTGGCTGTACCTTAAATAATAAGAAAATTGTTTATGCTTTTCCTGGCAACCCCGAGGAACTCGTTTTGATTTCAATGCTCAACTGTTATGGAATTTTCTCAGGCTGAACCTCCTTGGAGGAAGGGGTGAAGTGAAGGCAGCCATGCAATCCGATGGAATCTTGCGACGCTGATTACGCACACGTGTCCCTCGGCACGGTCTTAGTTCCCTGGTTACTCGATGGGAACGAACGGACTGGCCTCCTCGGCTATTTACTTCCTCGAGCGAAACGGAACAGCTGCGTCTGCGCCTGCGCTTCCTCCTCAAGGGTGGTTTAACCATCTTCTTGTATTAAGGCAACTTCTAGAAGAAAAAAAACAAAAGGGAAATACCCATGCACCACCGGCAAGAACAACAACCACTGGTAGCTGCAAGTTCGCTTCATTAATTGTGACTTAAGCCTGTTGACGGGGTTTTCCCTTCACCTTTTCTGTGTGTTTTTCCGCTCCTTTTCGTTTCCCCTTAAAAATCTCTTGCAAGCGTCCTTTTGTCTTGGGCCGCATGATGGCCGCTTATGACCTTTGACATTTTCTGCAATGCTCACAATGCCCCGGGCAAGGTAAGTGAAGACTTGCCCAAGACACGGATTTATTCATTGTGCATACGGCTATACAGCTGTACCCTTACCTTTACCTCGGGCAGCTGCATCAACAATTGAGGGTTCCTTTTTTAATACATTTATGGTGGGGTGCACATAAGAAAACATTCTTCTATTGCGCAGAAGTAAATTGAGCAGCTTTTGTCGGAAGAAAGGGAAGCGACAATGCAGAGGGTCGGGTGGAAAAATGGGCAAGGAAAATGGGAAGGAAATGCCAATACAAGTTATACCGTAAATCCCCGAAGAAAGTAGATTACGCATTCAGACAAACGGTGATTAGGGGTTTTTACCTACCTGAGTTACTATGCAGAAAAATATTTCGAACATGTTTACCAGTTCAGAAGGTCTTCTTTCCATGATAAATTTGCATTTTCACGGATCAAATTAATATGTAGAAATATATTTTTCTTAATAACATATTATAATTATATGTAATGAAGTTATTTAGTGAACTCCAGGAAGCTAAAGTTTGAATTTAAATAAACATTAAATAACCTCCATCTCTCTTCGTTATTAATATTTACTAATAATGACATTTCTCCTTGCAGCTTCGAGCATCTGAAGGCAAAGGACACAAACTTTGAGCAGCGCTATGCCAATCTGGGCAACATCTACTTCAAGCAGGGCGTCACGGAATTCAACTGGGACAGCAATGTGGAGGATGGGCTCAGCACGGATCATTGAACTCGAAACCAAATATTACCGATTAGAAACTTAGATGTAGGACAACACCAACTCATAAATATGTAGCTGGGCAGGGCAAAATAGCGTTAGATGGGGGCGGTCACTAAGGTTACCGAAACGCAGAAGCATCAGCATAAAAAATCAACCGAAGGACTTTAAACTAGCGTTTAAGCATAATGTTAATTAAGCAGATAAAAAACATCTAGCAGACTTGGCTTGTTTCATTCATAAGTAACACAAACTAGCGGACATGATGATGACGATGAGCAAAATCTCAGAGCGCGTAATATCTCTAAACCTAAATCCTAAGCACAACTACGAAATCTATGACCATAACTATACTCTTTGCTGATAAGTCGCACACCCTCAACAACCAAAACGAAAAAGAAATCTTAGAAAATGTAAATACTTTGCATAAAATGTGTATTTTATAAACTCGAAAATCCTCCTTGTGAGGTGCGAAAACACATTCGAATGCAATTTTCACCTTCACTACGCACCCACAACACATCGCCATAAATTAGATTAGTTAATTAATTTGTAATACGTAGCTTTTCGTTTATTAATGTTACGCCAAGTCTCTGCAAAGCCAAATCCACACTTACTCTAAGTGCATAGTGCTTGGGAAATGTTTTCGATCCAACAACGCATTTATTTTATTTTAATACTTAGACATCACTGTAAATACTGCAGAATAAAGTTAAACACAAACGATTTAAGTAAGAGCATAGAAATTAGTTTCGATTATATTTTGATTCTTTTTGTTTTGGCCAGTTAAAGTGAACATATATAGAGTTGTTAGCCAGACATCATTATTTCAGACAATAATTGATTGGATATTGATACCAAACGAAAATGCTAAATTTGATCAAACAAAAAAGCCAACGAAATACACACAAATTGCCTAAATCATTACAAAGAGCATAAGCACACATATTGCCCATAACAAAAGTAATGTAAAATATTTCAAATATTGATTAATTACATAATAATATATGAGGCATTGGCATGTGCCATTTTATATAGCAAACCATAACTATGAACTATGGAATTCCATATTTCAAGCAAGTTCAGAAAAACATATTGATTTTCATTTCCATGATTTTGAGAAGAAAACAAAACAAAAAATTTGTAGCGAACGACACACACACTTTGAGAATAACAAAGAAAAGCAAACACAACAAATAAAAGCAGGTAAAATTGAATAAAACAAAGGAATTATTGAATATACAACATCATCCTTTATTTATTTAACAGCCTGGTCATCTAAATTCGGTGAGTGGAAGATAAAGGGAGCTTTGTGGGGGCTTTCAAAGTATTTTAAATAATTTAATATCATTTTTATTTTATTTTTATCAAGTTTTGAAAGCCTGATAAAGCGAGAAACATAGTTTTTAAATGTCGATTGCAACAGTATCGCCATCTGGAGGTAAAGCTGAGAACGCATCAGAAATACTTTTAATAAAATGGAAAACAATAAAGTATGCTTTTCGGGATCTACAAATATTATACAATATAAGTATGTTGCCTCAATTTGGGGGCACTCTTATAATAACATATTTTTTTGTGGACTTTTGGGGTTTAATAATTATTCGTTTCCATTCTCATTCTTTCTTTGAATATTTAAAAATTTTAATTGACGGTATGTATCATATTCTACTGATACGAAAATAGATTTAACTGGTTGGGTAGGACTTTGTTTATAAATAACTTTGCAATTTTAAAAGAACATAAAAAACTCCTGACTTTCCGGAATGTTACACTTCCTACCGGTCTGAAAATGGATAAAATTAGTTTAACAAATATTTGTTTATAAATAAAAGTCATTGGGTTAATTAGTACCACATAATAATGGAAAATTTTATTTGTCCATTTAAAAGACAATAAATATTTATGAAGATCTAAATAGATTTACCTCATTTCTCAATACCCCCCTACGTCATTGATATTATAAATGCGAAGAAAACAAAACTAATAATAATAAGACATCACCCAGACTGGGCACAAAATCTCCGACTAATTTGCACCAATTTGAGGGAACAACTAAACGGAAGAGCAAACATCGTTTTCCTTACCGTAATTTTAAGCCCATGGGATCGATAAAAAATTAGCAAACTCAGTACGCGTTCGTACGGCGAGGTGTAAGCTCGATCGGTTAGCACGGATATGTCGGAATCGCAGTCGACCGTTAGCTTTCCGGGGAAACCCTCCCAAGACTTGGATGTTGTGGAGCAAGTTAACGGGAGTTTTGGACGTTGGCAGTTGCGCACAATTCTGCTGATATTTCTCTGCAAGATTCCCAGTGCCTGGTTCACAGCTATTATTATATATACGGCTCCGTATCCATGGAAAGGGGAGTTGGTGTGCCACCCGGCAGAATGGAATGTTAGCCGGCCGCATGTTACCTCAACCCATCCACTTTGGCAGGATGCACGTAGCACGGATAGGCTGTTCAACGTCGATGTGTGTAATGCCTATTCTAATTCCCTGGCTCGAGGATTTGTTCGTAGTCATGGTAAGGAGTGGAACGCCTCGGAATCGAAGGAGCCGGATGCACAATCTTCGCTTCCCTGCGAACATGTAGAACACACGACGGCCTATAGATCCCTGATCAGTCAGTTTGATCTTATCTGCTCCCGTCGGGTTCTTGTGGCGGTGACGCAATCGTTTCATGCTCTCGGTGCCCTGATTGGCGGTCTAATGGCCTATTCAGCTCTCAAAATGTTTGTATTTGTTTAAAGTATTTTATATTTTCCGATATGTTAATTTGCGACTTCATTCTGCAGAATCAGTCCGCGTCGCTTGATGTTGCTGGGCATGATTGGGCAGATATTTTGCGGGAACCTTACTGGATTGGTGGACACCTACCAATTACACATCTACTTCCGCTGCCTTACATCCATTTTTTGTGCTCTTATGTATACTTCCGGACAGTTTATCTGTGAGTAATTATTCTAAACTATTCTTGTTTGCAAAGTTAAACTATTAAATAACTTCATGGCCATCTTTGTAGTATGAATATTTATTATGTAGCTTAAGTTTTCTTTGAATTTAACATTTTTTAGTTTGACTTTTGAAATCTATAGAAATCAAAAGACCCAAGACACGAACTAATTTCCAAATTTCACCTTAGTGAACGACATCACTTCAGGAAAGGCTCGCATCATTGTGGTCACTTTATCTGAGCTCTTCTGGTCCATGGGTCTCGTCCTGTTGCCCGCTATATCGATATACTTCGACGACTGGAGCTACCTGTATGTGGCCATCTCATCTTCACTCATTATACTGGTCTGGCTGCATCGTTGGATAGCCGATGCACCACGCTGGCTGTTGCAACACCAGCGAGTTGAAGCCGCACTCCGACTACTCCTGGAATCAGCGACGTACAATAACAGAAAGGTACCGCTTACCCTCGATGTCCAGCTCACGGTATATGCCAATGATCTTGAGCAAATGGATAAGAAGAAATGCGGATACTGCCAAATCTGGGACGGTGAGACGAAACGCAGCCAATTGGTGTATATTCACTGGATCTGGGGAGGAGCTATGGTTCTTTATAATATCATTCTGCTAATGATCAGGAATTTGGGCGCCCAACAAGTACACGTGAACACGGCGGCCATGGGATTTGCGGAGATGGTGGGCCTTTTTATCGGCCTCTACTTTATCCTATACACGCGTCGCCATTGGCGGTGGGCGGGAAATCTGATGATTATGGCTAGTCTTAGTACATATCTGATATGGTTGCTGCCCGAAACTGGTGAGTATTATTTTGGTAATAAAAACAAACAAGCTGAATATGTTATCCTTTTCACAGAGCGCAACTCCCGACGCGTGGGACTGGAGTTAGTATTTTGGCTAATACTAAAAATAGCCAACTCCGCTTCCATTGCCGTGTTGACCACCTGTACAAGTGAAATTGTGTCAAAGGAGAAGCGGGTTTTTCTGATGCTGTCAGTGATCTCATTTAGTCGAGTGTGCCTGGTCTTTTGTCCGCTGCTGAGCTGCCTCACTGTCATCCATCACCTGCTTCCTGTCACCATCCTGGCCACCGTTGGCTGGATTTATGGATTGGCCCTGCGGCGTCTGAATCGCTACTACTGGAACACGGAGCAGCCGCAGATGAGCCAAGTCCCCACGCCCAATACATACCGTCGCCAGTCGGCCATTATTATGCGACGTTGCAGTACCGTCAGTTCAGACTGCAGCGCCTATAGCAACGAATTGTTGAGCAACTTTGAACGGAATATGGCAGTTAGTATAGCTGATATTTGGCACATCAATTTCCATCCCTCCAGTGAGATCGAAATTGAACTGGAGCAACAGCAACCGGAAGCTTCCAGGTCACACAGTTCGGAAACCATTTGAAAAGCTTTCGGTAGTGCCTAAAAGTAGGCTTTTTTGGTTGTAAACAAATGAAGACATTTGTATAAATTGTACATCAAGATTGATGTTGCTTTTGTTATTATATATTTAATCTTTAAAGAGCGATTAAAAAAGCATTATATATGTAAAAGAGAATTAAGATGATCCTTGTAATATACTAAATAGAACTAAAGAATAAAAACCTCGAAATTAAAACACACCCACCTTTATTGGCATTTCAAAGAGTACCACAAGTTTCTAATGTATTCAAATTTATCTTTCTAATGAATTTCGCCACAAGATATAAAGTTTGCCTAAAGGTAAACGTTCGCGGCATTACTCCAAGTCATCTACGTCATATATTGCTAATTAAATTTAAAATTTTCCTTATGTTTTTGAGTCTCTATTATCTCAATTAGCAAATGATACGTAACAAATGACACCAAATTGAACTAATTCAAATAATAAATTTATGATAATCAAGTTATGATATCTTATACATCCTGGAGACGAAAAAGGATAAAGATCTTTAGGATTTTTACCTAAAATTATTAAGATTAAGAGGATTTGTAGGGGCTAATAGAATCACAAAATTAATGTAGGTCAATACAGCCAATGAAGAGCACGGCAATCGATGTGTCATTAGGAACACTAAAACAGCTATTGAGACAATAAAGATTAAAATAGAAATCCGCAAGGAAGGTGAAGAAGAATTTGAACCAGCCCAAAAGGCAAGCGCTGATAAGGTGAAGTAATAATGTTATGGCTTCCAAGCTATAAACCCCCTATTGGAGACACCACCCGCCTGCCCTAACGCCCAAGATAATGCACACTTGATAGGGGTAAACTCAAACTAATAACATAAAGAGCATTGAGTGACACTCTATCGATCCGTTGTCAGCTTTTCAATAAAATTAAACATTTAATAACTAAACAATGGGTAAAAACTCAATCCAATAAGTAAAGACTTTTTGTTTCAAATGAGCCAAATAATTTATGAATTTAAAAACCATTTGGCCCTAAAACGGCTCCAAAAACTAGAGAGCTTAATAACTTTTTATTATTTGAGCAAATTCATTAAGTAAATTAACGCCTCGAGTCTCCGAGTGGACAGCCAGTCGGCTCACTCCCTGGCCATAGCCTCCCAATGCGACATTGGCGTCAGTTGCCATTTGATTCTCGGCCGATTGAGACGCGTGTGCTCCAAGAAGAAAATCGGGCCTGGGACGTGCCAATTGGAAAGCTGCCTTTTACGAACGGATCCGCACAAACCGAAACTTTTTTTATTGACGCTTAATTAATTTATATGAATTTGTATGCAATCAAATGAACAAACAGCAAAGGGACAACGCGAGAAATAAATTGTATTGTGAATGGAAAAGATAATCAACGGAAATATTTGAATGTTTGTGGTTTCTATAGATTAATAGTGGAAAAAGTAATATTTTACTAGCTTAAGTTTAATCCTTAAGCTAAGTCGGTTTTATAAAAGTTGATCGTGTTAAAAAGTGATTTTTTGTACTACAAGGTCAGTTGATGAATTCAAAATGATAAAAAAATATTTATAAAGCAAATATGTTTTATAGGTTAAACTTATTAATTATGTTTAAAAGTGCAAAATGATCTTGCTGTGTAAATTCATTTAATAAAAAAGATACAGTTAATCATACTCCCGTCATAAACCCAACCAATCCATTAATTTGATACCAATAAGCTCAGTGTTTCTGCCCCATAAGCAATTATTTATTTGCATTTGGGACCAAAACAAGTCGTTCAACTAATAGAACGACCTGCCGCCACTGGCATTGCCTTGATGTGTATCAGATACCAAATAGGAAACTCAAATAAAAATTGAGCACCGGCAAGACCAGTTTTCTGCAGTTAACACTGCCTGGAAAATTAGAAATTAAAATATTTGCGATACCAATAGGTGGACACAGACTGAATAGTCCGGAGGTGGGAGCACATGTAAGCCGGACAATAGCGAATTAGCACCTGTGTAATTGAAGCGTAAAGAGTCTGTCAATACAGACAGCGATACAGCGAATTAACAACTAAATCCTATGACTACAAATCGTACGCCATGTTTGCCCTCGCAAAATAAGGGCTAAGATAAAGCCATGATACCCATTATCTTCTTCCCTTAATCAACCTCTTTCCCGCTCTTATCGATAAAAACTTTAATCAGTCGTGATTTGTGATACGATATCAGTACCAGAGTGCAGCAAACAAGAACTTCGAACAGGTTAAAGCAAATCAAGAGCTTAGCTAATTTATTAATGAATGAAATTAACAGAGATAGCACAGGTGTTACAAGCGGAAAATTAACCTGATTTGTAGCTACAAAGCAATTTCTAATTGACAAAAGGTGTTAAATGCTAAAGTTTTCCTACATTCTCTTTTTTCAAATAGGAAAATAAGTTTAAAACTATTTATTTTTTATTGTCCCATATTTATTTATGACAATCACATGTCGATGTAATAATGAATGTCAATCAAATCAAACAGAAACCGCAGATATTTCAAGAATCTCGCATGATATTCAATGCCTTTCCATCGACTGATTTTTACTGTAAACCGCTTTCAATTTATATCAATTTGTGCTTGAGTTTATAAAGAACTTTGGGTATATAAGGCAACAGAGAGAAGTAGTGAAATATAAGATATAAAAATAAATAAATAAATAAATGAAAACTTACTTATCATTCACAGAATGTGCTACTAGAGCAACGCCACTGGAGCAATGGTGAATCCGTCGCCAACCCGAGGTGGGGAGTCCTCTTTACCTCAAATCCTACCGAACGAGATGGAGAACGATCTGGACAAGAGAATGGCATCACCACCACCTGCACCTGCGGGTAGCGATGTCATCGCCGATGTTGTGGGTGACTTTGGCATCTGGCAGCTGAGAACTATCCTCATCATTTTTCTATGCAAAATCCCTGCCGCTTGGTTCATGGCCTGCATTATCTTCACGGGCCCAGAACTTTATCCCGGCTCGGAGTTCACCTGCGATACCAGCTACCTGGTCAGCAATAGTAATTCCAACATCAGTGTTTCGGATAACCAGTGCTATATCCTGGACGAATCAACTGGCATCAGCAGCGAATGCGAGCAATTCACTTACGTTTCTAGATTCGACTCCTTGATCATGCAGTTTAACCTGGTCTGTTTAAGGGACATTTTTGTGGCATGGACTCAGTACTGGCATTTGTTCGGTGTGCTTGTCGGTGGTGTTGTGGGCACCAAGATGATGGTGGGAATTAGCCCGAGAAGTACCTACTGTGTGGGAGCTGTGGCCCAGATCGTTTGTGGAGTGGTCACTGGTTATGCCAGGGATTTCAGCCTACATTGCGCTTTCCGCTGTCTGTCAGCCGTTTGCTGTGCGATCATGTTTACAGCTGGTCAGGCAATATGTAAGTTTACTTTGGATTACTAGGAATGTTTGTGATAAAATTCTATCCTCCAGTTGCCGATATCACGGCTGGGATGCATCGCATTGGTGCCATCATCCTGTACGACACCTTCTGGTCAATCGGTGTGATCCTGTTGCCCGGTCTTTCCTCCTTCTTCAACAGTTGGTCTCTAATCTATGTGGGCATCACATTCCCAACTGTTATGCTGATATTACTGCTCTATTGGACCCCGGATTCACCTCGCTGGCTGCTCCGTCATGCCGTGGATCGCTACTCCATCGACAACGTTGAGGAAATAGTACGGGAAGGAGCAGCAATCAATGATCGCACCTTCAAGATACCTCAAGACTTCCGACTTCAACTGGAGCAGCTGAGTGAACGGCTGAAGGCTCAACCGCCACCTGCTCCATGGTGTGAATTGTGGAAGGGAAAGCGGGCAAAGACGCACATGGTGGCCGCCCACCTGGCACTGGCCTTCTTCGTCATTAACTTCATGGGCATGTTGCTTAATATAAGGTCATTTGGTAGGGACTATCTGGTGCCAAACACCATTGCTATGGGTGAGTTGTTCTATTCTTAATCTTACCAAGCACCAAGCTCCAAGTCTATGTCTAGTATAAAATACTCTACTTTTCAAATTTATTTCCCTTCAATTGCTCTTCAGGATTTTCGGAAATCATTGGCTGCTTCATGGCTCTCCACTTTACACTGAAACACGACAAGTGGAAGTGGCAGTGTGCGGGGGTCTTCAATATATTAGCTGGACTCCTTGGCTGTATGGGCTGGATCTTCACCAATGCGGATTCCAGTGAGTTAATCCTTATAACTATATTTACTTTCAAAATATTTAATATGTAACTCTTTCCAGTGGATGCTGATTTAAAGGTCAGTTTGTGGATGATAATTGCCACCATTCCCAAGGCGGCTGTCTCTTGTGCCCAGTCGATGATCCTGGCCTGCATGAACGAGCTGATGCCGGCGAACAAAAAACAGCTATTTGTCTTCTCCGTGGTTACCTGGGCAAGGGTGTGGCTTCTCTCGGCTCCATTCTTCAATGTTTTGAAAAAGATCGATACAGCAATGTCCTTGACATCGTATTGTGTGTTCAGTATATTGGGCGGTATCTGTACCAGTCTGCTCCTTACGCCCAGGACGAGTGTCTCACCGCTAGTGCCGCAAGTGGAATCCAATGACAAGAAGGAGCAATCGCCTCTGAATGCCCCAGTTTGGACCGTCGAAAACGATGTCAACAATACTCGATTGTAGCCGGAGAAGATCGCTATATTTTGCCAATTTATAAGCTTTGTATTAGTCAGCTAATTAAACATTCTTCTGTGATTAGGTTAAGTAAAATGTTATTTTAAATGCTTGGAGTTTTACTACAGAATATTGGATGTTTTTCAACTCTTAGTTATTTGTTTAAGAGGGAAAACTAGGTAATATAGTAAGCTTACCTTTTTTTTACTTTTCTTCTATAGCAATAATTATGATTCCTTAGTTTTGATGTAAACATTGATAAAGGTGACTTATAAACATGGAAAAGTACTCAGTTTGTTCTTAAAATATAAATATCATAAATATCATATCATAACTCCCGAATTTGTAATTGCCCTGGCTAGCTTGTTTTAGCTCCTTTTATTTCATTATCTACTCATTTAAAAGCAAAACCAAATATTGTTTTCAGCTCCTAATCAAAACATTTGTACGAATTCGTGGTTTAACCAGGTTCTCTTTCGATGGATTATTCTCAGATGGCATCGTCGCCAAAGACTCATGCTTCTTAGCAGTTGACTGCAAGCCTAGACTACCCATCATAGCCTCCGAGTCATGGTTTTTGGATTATCCTTTTGCACCTTTCATAGGCAATCTTCTGTGCCAGCTTCTTAGTACTAGTGTCCTATCATCATTGGCGTGATGAGACATTAATAATAGAAAGTAATCCTGTTGTGTAACCAAGAAGGGTACAAAGTTAAATGTCTGACAAATGTCAAATTTGACAGTGACAAGAAGTGACTACACATTTTGTTAAAAATGACAATCTTTCTATTAAAAGAATGTACAACACTGGGCAATTTCTCCTTTCCGATGATGTTGGGATCCAAAAATGTGAAGTGGCGGCTGAAGAAAAAGGGTTTGGAGCAGGATTGGAAAAAGCCTGAATAGGATGTTAGTGGTAATTATAACCTCCTGCTTATTTCAGATGTCAAGTTCGCCAACAATTCCGACTCTTCTAAGAAACTGCAACCATTCTTCCACTTGAAGGATTATCCAAGACTAAAATGGCACTGCCTTTGATCATCTCATTGTACAAATCGTTTCCTGCTGAGTGCGTTCGCTAACTCCCGGAGAATCGAAGTATCCATTTATAATGAATAGTTTTTTTTTGCGGGAGTAGGCTAACGCAATCGTTAGGAAAACGATTTGAACCATGAGTTGGACATATCAGTCCAGTTTTATCTTTGCCGAGTGAGATTCCAACTCACGAGGGATTTTTACCCATTACCTTGAGTCCTTCAAGGAGCATTAAACATTTTAAAGAAACTTAAATACATTTACGAAATTGATTTGTTTACAATTTACACAACTAAAACAAGAGGAAACGCTATAGTCGAGTGCCGCGACTATAAGATACCCGTTACTGTTTTACACAATTTTAAAATATTAATTTTGCTAGTGGAAATTCACAAGGCGCCACCTATTGTCAGAGGAAGTATGTTGAGTATGCTTATAGTGACGTCACTGCCCATGTGAGGCCTTATAACCTTAATTTCTTTATAAATAGCGAAATAATGTTCCGATTTGAAAAATATTTTGTAAATCAATAGATATTAACAGAAATAAGTTACACAAGGTCAAACGAAGGCATTCATAACAATATTATAGACGCCACAGTTTTCCGCGGTTTGTGGGCGTTAGAGTGGGCGTGGCCGGATGCAACTTCGTGGCAAGTTGCAGAGGCATCTCCTAAATACGTGTTCCTAAGCAAAATTGTGTAGCTCTTATAGTTTTCGAGATTTTTGCATTTTTGGTTTTTCGGGTTTTGTGGGCGTTAGATTGGGCGTGGCGTGATCGGAAAAAAACAATTCGCATTGGGAGCGTCATAGAAACATACATGCTTTATCCGAACTTTCTATCTCTTATAGTTACCGAGATATCAGCTTTTCTAGAAAATCGGAAAACCGTCTTTTGAGCCTTGTGGGCGTATGGGTGGGTGTGGCCGGATAGTAGTACCACTATAAGATGCGCTGTCATCTAAAGATTATACTTTCTGAATTTCAACTTTCTAACTGCAATAGTTCCTGAGATTTCAGCAATTTTAGTTTTTTGCGATTTGTGGGCGTTAGAGTGGGCGTGGCAGGATGCTGTAATAAACTTGCGCTGTCCCGGGACCTCAAGAATCTTCATGCTTAATCTCAACCTTGTATCTGCTATAGTTCCTGAGATCTCAGCGTTCATACGGACGGACGGACGGACGGACGGACGGACGGACGGACGGACGGACGGACGGACGGACGGACAGACGGACATGGCTCAATCGACTTCGCTATTGATCCTGATCAAGAATATATATACTTTATAGGGTCGCAAAAGCTTCCTTCTATCTGTTACATACTTTTCAACGAATCTAGTATACCCTTTTACTCTACGAGTAACGGGTATAATTAAAATGTTATACCTAATGTCACCTTCTTATCATGTAAACTTATAATATATTTGACTAAAACAACATATAGATAACCATCATGTAGAAAATCAAATGCAGGAAAATCCAGAACCAGTAAATTCTGTAAGATAAGTAAAGAAACAATACATTTATTTCCTAAAGTGGAGGAGTGTATAAGGCTTTTGAAAAATATTAAATTTTAAACGATTTCATAGATTTAAATTAGTTAAGATATGGAAACAGTGGAAACACAGACTCACCTTGTCACCATAAACTTGTTGGAGTCCACAGTGAACTTTTCCCGATGCAGGTACTTATTGATTCCAATCATATGACGCCGTACATAATCATCGTAGTCCAGCTCCTCCAGATTCCAATACAAAGTGGGATAAGTGCCATTTTCAATCACTTCCTTGAAGTAAAAGCGGCTTTTGTTCTTGAAGATCCATTCGTTCAGCGAGAAAAAGCTACCTGTAAGCATTTCAGTTAGGGATAAGATTTTTTAAAGGTCATTCTATAGGATAACCTGCTAGACAAGCCTGCCGAAACTTCTTGGCAATGGGTGTAACCAGTCGCTTCTTTTGGGCCAACAAAAGGGTTTGAAAATCCATTAGCAAGGCGGGCACAAAATGGAGCAACCACACTGCCATCTCATGTTTCAGGGCACTACATCTGTACTTGAAATTTGGAAACATAATCATCTTTCTTGTGGGATAAATCCTAGCCCACTTCATGGTGAGTTCCCCAAGATGCTGCCAGGTGATGGGATTGGTCACTCCTGAGGTGGCGTTACAAATGCTCACACTATTAAAAGATAAAATTACTATATTTTTGTCTTATTTAAGGGGATATAACTGCATCAGATTACCTTCCCAATTTCGCCTTGCTGACCATCATGATCATGGCATTGACCACAAAGTCCACTGGGATGATGTCACATATTAGATCTTTGTCTCCCAGAATACTACTGATACCGCCTTTGCCAATCTCCATCATTATCCCACTAATTGCCTGGATATTGTCAATCCAACCTGGATAAGGTTCCCTATAGGCAGCTGTGACTATCGAAGGTCTCACAATCACTATGGGAATCACATCCTTATAAGCATTGACAATCTGCTCGGCTATGGATTTGGTGAAGGTGTAGGTGTTGACGTGTGGACCCTTTATATAGTCAGCCAGGCGATTCAAATAGTCATCGGGTATTTTCTGGGTGGCTGTAAGGAACTGACGCCAATCCACCGGAGGCATTGTAGGATACACTTGCTCATCCACATACTTGCGACCAGGATTGCAGTAAGCCGTGGAAACATACAGAAAACTCTGGAAATTATAGAGTTAATAATTGCAGTTTCTAGATTCTCTCAAATTTCCTTACCCTTAACTGAGTCATGCCCCTGCCAAGCTCTAGAAGGTTGTAGGTGGCCTGGGAATTGACACGAGCTGAGACTTTTAAACACTCATTAAAGCGCACCTGCAATTCAAATACTCGTAAATTTTCGTGAAAAAGCTTTGGGGATTCCCCATTTGCACTAACCGTTGCTGCACTGTGAAAAATAATGTTCACCTCGCCACACAAAACAGCTCTGTCGGACTCATTTAAACCTGTTGTTGGAAGTCTCTAGTTAAGGCATGAGTTTTCTGTGCAGGTTCTCTGAAAGCATACCAAAGTTGTCGTCCTCAATGTTGCCAGAGAAGTAAAAGATTTTCTTTAGCCCTTCTGGATAATCAGCTCTCAGGCGCTCAAAGATGGGATTCTGAAGGAATCCCCGAAAACGTTCCTCCACTGTGACTCCGCCCTTGGGTCGTATCAGCATGTAGATGCGCTTGATCTGCGGGAAACTCCAGAGCAGCTTCTCCAGCAGAGTTTTCCCCACAAACCCAGTTGCTCCTATTAAAAACGGTTTTCTTTAATCATTCCATTTTGGAGCATATTTAAAGTATTACCCGTTATAAAGACCACAGCATCTTGGTATATGTCCGTCTGGTCTTCCACTATCTCCACTGCAGAGTTGTCCATGATGTGGCCACCTTGAAGCCACAATTGCTACTGATCCGGTGTGGAGTTACTCACTTTCCACACACAACTGGCTTGGCAAAAGAAATGCCTTGGTCCTCCTGAAACAAGTTTTCCATGAAAATGCAAGTGGAAATGGCAATTGACCAACGAAAGTAGCAACTCAGACGTAACATTTGAGCACAAACATATTACATCATTTTTGGATGTGGATGTGGACAAGGCTGGATTTTTGGCTCATGATCAACATTCGAGTTCATTCAAGAAACTAGAAATTGAACTTAGTCTGCAGGGTGACCTATTAAATAGATAGTGGAAAAGCATTTTAATATCTAAAAAACTTATCAATGTTTTTCTTATAAAATATCAAACCCCCTAAAAACTAGGGCGGGGCCAAAAAATTTAATATAAATTCGATCAAGGCATTTTCCCACCATCAACAAGACCGCAAGTCTCGTAGCTTTCCAAGAATTTGTTTACCTGGCCAATTTATTAGCTTCAATCATGTCAAGTGCCTGCCTCCGCGTGAAGTCATCCCCTTGAATCCGTACGGATGGTCAACAAAAATAGATCGCATCTCGTCGTCCGATGTTTGCGCAATCAGTTAGGAACTCTGATCCGCTTATTTGGAATGATTTGATTAGCGACGATGTCGTAGGCAGGCACGGCAAACCGTAGCCATAGAGTTTACCTGGCCAGGTGAGGTGCTAAGCGAAGTCGCAGTCATGCTGGTGGGTTGGTACTCCCAAGACGTGGTTACTAAATTTCACAAATAAAGAAGGATGATGGAAGAACCAATTTTTGAAGGCTGGACACCAAATATCCGCCAGCATTCACCTATGCCCTTGGACTTCGGCCATCTCACACAAATTTTTACCTGCAGCGATCCAAAAGCCAATGACGTAGTGCCTCCTACTCCAGAACAAAAACCAATTCCATTACTGATGACAATGAAGACGATGTGATCAGAGATATCCTGGGGGACTTTGGCCCTTGGCAACTACGATCGCTGGCCATTCTGTTCCTCTGCAAGATACCCGCCGCCTGGTTCATGGCCTGCATCCTGTTCACAGCCCCAGATCTTTATCCCGAAGAGGAATACAAATGTGATACGAGTGCCTTTGGTCCGGTGGATAACTCAACAGTGTCTTTAGATCACTGCTATGTCATGGTTAACTATGGTGATTCTGGGTATGCCATGCGACAATGTCGGAAGTTCATCTACACCACGGGCTTTCATTCCCTGACCATGGAGTTTGATCTGGTTTGCCTGTGTGATTTCTTTGTGGCCTGGTCCCAGTACTGGCATCTTTTTGGCCTCTTGATCGGCGGAGTGGCGGCCACAAAGCTGATGCGAGTCCTAAGTCCTCGACAGATTTATGGAACTGGCATCTGGTGTCTCCTGATGTGCAGCCTGCTAATGGGTCTGGTCAAGGATTTTAGTGTGCACTGCGGTCTCAGATGTTTGGCTGCTGTTTCGTGCTGCTTTATGATCACCTCGGGGTATTCTATATGTGAGTAAAGATATAAATTTATTAATAAACCTTTAATTAATAATAAATTAATCATTTTTAGTTTGTGACATAACAGCTGGCAAATATCGTTTAAGGGCCCTCCTCCTTTACGATTGCTTTTGGGCCTTAGGGTTGATCCTTCTCCCTGGCTTGGCTTCGGGTGCTCCCAGTTGGCAACACATATACCTAGGTGTAACCCTCTCCCTGCTAGTAATTGTCTTCCTGCTGCCCTGGACGCCCGATTCACCACGCTGGCAGTTGAAGAACACCAAAGAAACCCAGTTAGCCATTGAGCGAACTGTGGGAATCCTTCTGGAAGCGGCACGCAAAAATGGAAGCATCCACAAGGTGTCGAAAGAGTTGCCCCAGCAGTTGGGAGAGCTAAGAGAGAAAATGCTGGAGCCGATGCCAATAGTTAATTGGATGCACCTATGGATGGGTCAGCGGAAGAGCAGTTTCCACTTGGTAGCCGTGCACATGGCTCTGGCCGCCTTCATGGTGGTAAACACTGGTCTGCTACTCCATGTGCGATCCTTTGGTAGGGAGCACTTGGTTTCCAATACTCTGGCAATGGGTCTAGCCGAGATGCTGGGCTGCTTCCTGGCTCTCCACCTTACGTTCAACCAGAGTGAACGCAAGTGGCAATGGGCAGGAGGATTTGCCATCGTAGTCGGCTCCATTGGCAGCATCTGCTGGTTCCTAGCCGAAAAAGATATGCCCGAGGTATATGGTCTAACCCTAGGATTGCTAATGGCCTCGCTACCCCAAGCAGCAGTGGCCTGTGCCCAGTCCATGATCCTGGCCTGCATGGGTGAACTGGTGCCTCAAGAACAGCGAAATTGCCTCACCTTCTCGGCCGTCACATGGGCAAGGGTGTGGCAACTCTCCGCCTCCTTTCTCACTTTGCTAAGGCAGGTGAGTCCCGCCCTCTCTCTGACCGCTTTCTGTCTGCTTGTCATCCTCGGTGGCCTTTGCACGTGTTGCTTGACCTCGCCAAACAAGGAACAGGAATCGGAAGGAGCTACAGTGAACAGGAATCAGCAACTAATTGCGTATACGTAGGGGCTTATGTGCTAAGTTAGTTTTAGTGTCAGTCAAGTATTTGTAATCAGTATTCGAATTTAGGTTGTTGAAACATTCGCTAGGCGAGTAGATATTGAGTTGCATACTTTTAGGAATAAATCAAAATCTTAGCATTTACTTTTTTTACCTTTTAAGACCACGACAAAAACGTATTAAAAGATTTTTATTTCGATTTTTAGTGGTTTTTTTTTGGAGAACTATTTTCGAAAAATGAACTGATATTAAAACAAATTAAAGCTGAATAACAAAATAAATTGAACCAAAAATAATAATCTTACCTATGATATAATATAGAAATAAACGATTTCAATCTTATTAAGGTGCAAAATCTAGTAAACAATATTATTTATTATATACTGACTCTTTTATAAGTTTAGAACTTCTCGAAGGTAAGAGGAACCAATTCCATTTGGGACCAATGTTCAAACATTCAAACACATTCATCCACCAAGTTGACACACATTTGTGTAATACGTATAATAAGCACACATGCCTGACTAAATATCCAAGCGCATTGCTCTACTAACAACATATTTCTATTTGGCCACCTTCCCGCCCCCAATATTCCACAATTCCCACCCATTCAAAGCGACAAGCAGAAATCGCAAATCAATAAAATGGAAACCATAAAATTGCCACAAGCGGCGGCATTGCAAGTGACCCAATGAATGTGTCATTCGCGGAGCAGCACTTGGCGAGGAAGGACCATCCGAGGAGCAGCTTTAAGAGAAGAACCACTTCTAAATAGATCCAGTTAGTGGGTCAGCCGACCAACTCATGCGATCTGGATGCCATGAAACCAAAGAAATCGGCCTTTGCCAATACATCCACAGGATACGGCAGGCACAAGCACAGCGGTCACGGGAAAGGACACTCCCACGGTCAAGGACACCCCGGCAAGGATAAAGCCGAAGGCACTAGCAAGGCCAAGACTCGAGAGCCAAAGCATCAGCATGAGCAGAAAGAGGAGGACAAGGATTTGAATTCCGGTTTCGGCGACTATCTTCGCACACCGGAGGGTCTGTAATTTAGTCTCCTAACTAAGTTAATTCCTTATTCTATTAAATATCCTTTTTCCTGATTAGCATTTGAGATGATGAAACTATTTGTTTTCGCCAATACCATAATGTTAATAGTCACCATGGCCTGGCCACATCTTAAGGAACAATTCTACATGGTTAATCAATGGCTACAAAGTTTTCGCGAAGAGCATCGACAGTAAAAACAACTTAGAATCTTTTAAAAAATCTAGTTAAATTTAAGAATACAAAATGGTTGGACCCTTTATGCAGGGCCTGTTTTTGATTGGCATCATCTATTGGTATTCCAAGGGAATGATGTCCATGATCAACGACTATTATAGAAGTGAATTTCAGCGGAAATTGCAAACGGAACCATCGAAGCCAAAAACGGAAGTACCCATCAATGTGGACAACTTCATGGATTATGTTAGGGAGTTGGACTCTCCAGAGGAGTTGGCTAGAAACCCAATGGATAGTGATGTAGCTTCTCCACAAAGGAAGCCCTACAGCCATATTTTGTTAAGATTTCTGGAAATCACCGGCACTCTACCAGCTTTTGATGTTTGTCTCAGCACGAGCAACATAAGATAGCTTATACTATAACCATAAAGTTAATACATTTAGTGTTTTATATATGCCCTTAGTAGAAGTGAATTGCATACTTATAGGTTAAACTAAATATGTACTTTAAACTTTAAATAAAATATTGCCAAACAATAGGTCTATATCATAGGTTGCCACCATTAACAAGTTAAACACAAGAAACTTTGTCTCCAACTTGGAGTTTTCAGCTGGTTTTTTATTTAAACTTTAGCAGAATATATATTCGTGTGTTTCCAACATCAGCTCACTTACTAACCTATTCACAAAACTGTATAAACATACTAATTTCTATAAATACCATGGAATATATATCGATTTGGTCTGTTCTATGCAATATCTGAATTAACATATTGCACTCTCATAAGTAAGCTCTCATCCCATCAAGATCCTGGTCATTGCTAGTTATACTTTTCAAGCAGCTACTGAAAAATAGTTATAGGCAGATATGATTGAAATAGTTAGGTAGTTGATCTGGAAGTTCTAATAGGTGCTTTCTATAAATAGTCTGTATTCAGGTAATCATCATGTGGCACAATTTGTGGAGTTTAAGATAACCCTGAAGCGGAAGATATTTCAAAATATCTTTTGATTTCAAAGAGGTCCGTGTGTGATTATAAATATTTACCAATTTCATAAGAGATCCACATTCTAATACATACTATATGCCCACCTACTCATTAACCAATTTCTAAAAGTAACTTAACAAACAATAACGAACGAAGACAAATACTTTTCTGATAAAATCATATTCATCTTTTTTAATGTATATTTTATATACACAACAGTTCATCATACATAATTTTATTATAAAATTAAAATAATAATAGTTGCATTACAAATTAATAAAGCAAAAATACAAAGTATAGTACATTATACATCAAAATGATAATTCAATAGAAATGTACTTGGTGATTCGAATGAATCAAATGAATACATTGGAATTAGTTCTGTACTAGCCCGAATTTAGAATGGAGCAATAGCGTTAGTATGCTTTAATCGAAATCATAGTTTTAATAAAAGGAAATCACAATGTCTTTCGTTGGAAAAGTTAACAAAATTGACTCAAGAGCAAAGCAAAATATTAAGGAAACACAAAACCTTTCTGATGTATCACAACCTTTCAAACAAGGATTAACAATTGAGAGCTCGCTTCGGCTAACAAATCAAATTTCGAAAATTGAGTTATGGTGGCCTACTATACAGACTATATATGCATATATATATATACGTAAATGGATATCGCTTGATATTGTTATATGGCTAAACACGTACAAATTAGATTGCTTATGAACAAGGCAAAAATACAAATGCAGAATACGCAGAGACTCTTCTCTCTATAATGCACAATGTCTCCTTACCACAAGGATCATTTCTATTATATATATAGTCCCATTTATACTATATATATATATATTACTGTGCGTTGAAGTCTTAACGAGTAAACAGTAACACCTAATGACTCTGACTCTGTCCCCACTGTCCGGTTCCCCAGTTCCCATCTATTCCGAGGATTTCCAATTTGTTGGCGGTGGTGGCGCTGGCACCGTTGGCCTTTTGGGCGTTTGAAATGAGTTTGGAGAGATGGGTGTCGTGACTTGGGGCTGCGCCTGTTGCTGTTTTTCCTCTGGAGCCGTTGGATGCTGGTCATGATTGTGGTTGTTTTCCTTGCCCGCTGGCGGCTCCTCCCGCGTTCCATTTGTTTCCGTGTTCTCGTGACGCAGCTTCTCAAGAAAATGTTCCGTTTTGAATCGCACACTGCCGTTGCCATTATCAATTGTCGCCTGAGTTGGAGTCGTACCGCCCTCGTCGTCGCTCTTTCCATCTACCTTGTGCACTCCCACGCCCAATACAGTGGGCCGCTTGGGTAACAGTGGCTTTAGCGGGACATCAGGCTTTAACTTAAAACTGCCAATGCTATCGGTGCTCTTTCGATCGGCCGTCGGTGAGGGCAGGTTGTCCAGCCCGAAGAACTGAGTCCGCGTCATTGGAACCGGCTTCGCTGGCGTTACTGGAGGCGGGGGTAGTGGTTCAAGCTGCGTCTGTGTCTGCGTCGGCTGGCTAGCAGCTGGCGATTGAAATTGCGGCAAATTAGGCAGCGGTGGCTTGGCGGGCTTCTCCTGCTGGACCGGCGTCTGCTGGGGGAATAGCTCCTTGGCATGAGGTCGGTGCGAAGTCTGTGATGTGGTCATAATGGTGCCGTTTCCATTAGTGGTTGGCGGCGAAGGTGCATTAGCTTTCTGCCTGCGCAGTGTACCATAGCGTGGGCTCTCCATGACTTCTATAAATGAAAATTGAAAGGCATCGTTAAATAAGAAATTAACTTTGAATATACAACAACTAATCATCGGAAGCTAATCATTATCTAAACTATAAACTTGTCAGCGTAAAATCTATTTTATAGTTAAGTTATATTTAAGATTTTTCCCCTTGCTAAATAAAAATGTCTAAAAAAGCCAAATTTATCAGGGCTTCACTACAACACCATTGACTTCCATAAGTATAATTTCGAATTTGGTTCAAATCCATTTTATTGCACAAAAATAACCTCTCACTAACTTTAACAGCTTATTGATATATAAGAAATTTCTTTAAAACATAACATAAGGCACAGAAAAATACTAACAATGGAATTCTTGAAAGTTTCGTTGTTGAAAACTTAATAAAAAAAAGTCGTCATAAGTCGAATACTGTATAGTGCCCCGCTTCATAGAACTCCGACTGTGCAGTATACTTACCACTATCGTTGCGATCAAGGTTTTCATTGGAGGAGTTCGATTTGCTCTTGCCCTCGACGAATAGCTTCTGCTTTTGCAGGGTCACATAGAACTCGACTTCGCCGGTAAAGAAGTAGTCCCACTGACTGATTAGCAGCTCCACGATGATGTTGGCTGCCGAGGAGCTATTCACCTGACCGATGTAATCAGCAGGGGCGTTGCTGCTTTTGTCGATCCGTGGCCACAGCATGTTTGGCGACATTACGATGGCCAGGTTCTGGGAGCTCATTTTATTAAGCGCTAATCGTTGCTGCACAATGGACAAGAAGCGGGTGAGGTAACGTAGGTTTGCATAGTTTTCCTTAGGCAGCTTGCTCAGAATAGCCTTGATCTCTGTCTTGCGTTCCGCTTCGGTGTGTCGTTCGGCGATCCGGATGAAGTCCTTATACAGGCCGTAGGTGAGCAGCGGCTCGGGTAACTCACGCAAGTATAGCTTGAGTATTGAGCCAATGACATGGGGATCCTGGTAGTCCAGCGGCAGCGGCGTCTTTACGTGCTGTGCCTCCAGGGCGTGCTTCATTCGGCGCAGTTTGGTGCTGGCGCAGCCCACGCGCAGCAGACCCTCTTCCTCCAGACCGTTCTCCAGCAGGCAGCAACAGCACAGCTCCACGATGTAGGATATTTCGCGGTTGGTGGATGTCAGGTGCTCTTTCAACGGGGTTCCAAAGCGGGACTTCTCAGTGCCCTGAATGGTGTCCTGGATGCGGGCCAGCGAGGCGTTCACATGCTGCAGGGCTCGCTCATGATAGTTTCTTTGGTTGAGTACATAGTCGCGGATGCAGCTAACGATCTCGTCCTCTTTGGCAATCAGTTCCAGCATCTGGGCCGCCCAGGCATCTCGCTCCTTCTCAAGCTTCAGCTCACACTCCTCCTGCTGGGTCTTTATGTGGTTCACCTTAGCCGCTGGTTCCTCCAGCCGGATTGCCGCCTACGAGAGTATAACAAAACACTGATTAAACTGTCAGATAGATAAGCGGCAATGTAAGGGAATATCGTCATATTGCAAAAAGAACAAAGTTCAAGCACGAAAATATCTTATCTGGAGGACTAGTGGCGTCTGTAAATAGTTTATTGAGTGACTAATGAAAGATGCCTGAACAGCCGGAAAAGTTTAAAAATAGATCGACCTCAAACGCGAGCTGCACAGGTGTTACCCATCTCCTGAAGGTCTTTGTTATAAGCCAAACAATGGGTTTTTATTTGAGCCTTAGCGCACATGGGTCGCTGCATTGGGGCCACTGACTGAGGTGGCTTTAGTCCATTTAATTCTCCTGAATCACAAAGTAACTTATAGAAAGAAAGTCTGATAAGAAATGAACTGGGTATAATTCATAAATTAAATTTAAACATTTAAAGAAAGGAAGGAACCCCCTACAAAGTATAAGAAACAATACGTTTTTGTGCCTTATTTAAAAAGTTCTTTGGTTTAAAATACTTTTATATATATTATATATGTATATTTGTACAAGCACTTAACCATTTTCTTATATATGTTCAGCTATGCGGTTTGAAAAGTTTTCAAGATAACAAAGTTATATATACTCTTTGTTGGCGGCTAACGTTTGAAGCATTTTGAAATAAAATATTCCAGATTCAGTTAATCCATCGCTAAACCCAAATAAAAAACAAAGTTCCCTCTTTATGATGTAAGTTTTGCTTACAACAGCATTACCCATTGTGAGTAAACAAACTGGTGCTGTCATTCATCGCCCCATCCCGTATCATAACGCCGCTAAAAATAAACAAATCGTGACAAATTGCTGTAAGTACAGGCAGCTCCTATCTGCAACCAGAAGACAATAGCATCCACCTAGCTATCAATTGCGGTGCCTTCCCCTGCACCTACGAATCGAATCATTTGACGAGGCGGAGTGTGACTGAGTCACATCATTTCCATGAGCAGCAACCTCTTAATGACCTACATACATCCCAGGTGGCACCGCAAGTTACACACATTCCGGGCACCAAAGTTAGCACTTCCAAAGGCATTCGTGTGCTTATACGTATTGTTTTCGTTTTGGATCTATGTCAGGGAGTGCAATTAGAACAGCACCAGGTCGGTGAGCGTCTGATTAGCGAATTATGGCAAGCCGATGGCCGTTTATATGGGGACTCAGTTGCCGGCGATAAGATTACCAGGGTTTGTAAATAACTTCGGTTTCTAATTTTCGTCTGATGATACGTCAATGGTCAGTGGCGGTGGCTATTGCTGGTGGCGTCCATTTCAATTATGATGTCACTGCCGCCAAGTCAATGAACGTCTTCCGACACCTTAAACAGACAACATACATCAACAAATACAGCGGCTAGTCATTCCCCGACATATGTCTCGATATGGCAAACGGCGTCGTGATTTGTACAAAATAAAGCGGAAAGAAAACAAAAAACAATGAAACTCAAAAAGCAACTTTTTGTGAGTCCACATAGCCGGCTATAACTGTTCGGTTCCACACTTGTAGACGCCAATAGACAGAACCAATCGGGTGTCAAGAAATTGGAACACCAAAAAGCCGTTCATCCCATCTCTCAGCTCCCAACAGCCCGCCACATCCCACTCCAACGATAAGGAGGCAGCACAGCGACAAGTATCGGATTCGAATCATAAAAACGTAAACGACAAAGGCGAAACGCACGGCAAACAAACAATACAAAACAATAGAAACTGGCGTGAGATAAAGCCAGAATGAAAAAGAAAGACCCATGACAATACCAACAACAACAACAAAAATAGTAATAATAATAAATGGAAATTAAAAATTGATTGCTTCTTTTGCCAACGCTTCTTGGCATCCGCCCGAGTACAGTGGTTCAGCATTGATTGGGGAGTGAGCAAGGGTTTTGGTTTTGCTAAGTAGTTTTATGACATTTCATTCTCAGAAAGTCCTATCAATCAATTGATTTTATTCTGAGAAGTAGAAGCTTTCAATCGGTTTTCTCTCTTCATAATTGTTTATATTTCTTTAAGCTTGAACTCGTATAGCAAACAATCCACAGTGCCATTTCTGCTGAGAGGGATATTTAAGTTTACCTCCAAACTACCGGCACTCGTTGTTATTGTTCGTTAATCAGAGACAACCTAGCGATTGGATTGTGTTTGGGGGAATAACGAAAAAAAAAAACGAAAATGAAAACAACCAAATCACTTGACCAGCTGAGGTAACTTTTTGCGGCCCATTATTTCCAACAAGCAGATTTCTTAATTAATTTAACAATCTCCCATTGTCATCGCGCGCAGTTTTGTGAAAACGGAAATCCAACATTATTCACTCTCTCTCTGGCCCGTCCACCAAACATATACACGTAATGCCAAATGAGACTTAGATTTATGATCGGCACTCACCTCATGGCTGCGCTTTAGCGAGGTGTACTCTTGTAGAGTGCGCGATACGTTGCGCTTGAGCGTCGAGATCTCCTGGATCTCCTTGTCCAAGATGTTCTTCAGTCGCCTTACCACCTTGGTCTCTGTCTCCAGTTCACTCTCGATGATGCACTCGGCCATCGTCTTCTCCAGCTCGCCTGCAATTGGGGAGCACATCAAGAAATTAGTAACCCACTCTGGTATTTTGTTTCTCACACTTATCTCTATCTCAATAATACACAGTAAAAATGCAGAAGACATATCTTTATCATCTACTTTAAGTAAAACTAAGAATCTTGATCTTGTCTAGAACAGCTTATAAAATCATTGACTCATTGAATCTTTTGCTCATACAATATATATTAATTTATCAATCTTGATCAGCCCTTCGAAGAATAATATTACTATGGCTTTATCTTATATCAATATATCTTTCTACTCGTATCTACCTATTATTATCAATCATTAAAAGAATATTTTGGAAGATAGACAGATAGTTTTCTGTGTGTATCTTAGAGACTTGCTATTCCACCCGCAAGTGAGGAAGTCAATGCTTATTTAAGACCTTATCGCCAAGCGGTAGCTGCAAAGATGTTGGCGTGCCGGTTTTCCAGTTGCCGGAGTAGCTCGACTTTGATGCGGGCGAGATTCGGGCCATTCGAGGGGGAGGTAACTGGCAAATAGGTTGACGAGCTGAGTAAGCAAAATTGTGATAATTGTGTTGAGTGCCCCAAGACTTGAGCCTCAGCAGCTGAACCCGCAATGGAGGCAGGGGCATAGGTAGACGTAGAGTCAAAGAGGGAAGACGGAGTCCAAAACGAAGACGTCGTCGGCGCTGGAGTATAACATTCGAGATACGCTCGCCTTTCGCTCCCCTCGCTGAATGGGTTGAATTGAAGCGCATCGTGGCTAACAATAAAAGTTGCAAAGGGCGCACAGTGGGTTAAAGTGAGATGATATCGCGCTGTAATTACCGACATAACACAGGCGACAAAAAGCTAATTTTCGTGCTGTAATTTTGTGTTTTTTGTGCGTCTGGAGTTTGTTTTTAATCGAGCAACTTAAGTGCTTCACTCCGACATTAAAGTTTTTGACTAACATTTAAGTGTCTAGACCCTCAAAAAAAGATTGACTCTTTTTACTTTAGAATATAACTTGCTAGTAGAAAATGTTTTTTGAAAACGAAACTAATATTGGTTTACGGCAAAAAGACAATTTACAAAGACCTACTTAAGCAGTTCTTTGTACTACTTAAGTTTGTAACAATATTTCATGTTTTTTAAGCTCATCATAAAATATTAACTTATTTAATTACACAGTATGGACGAAGCTTAAACCTGTAGCTCTAAAAACTGAATATCATTATACTTATGTCATCTGCCGACTAACAATCTTTGCTGATAATCAAACTGGATTTTATAATTTATACTTTTGATCAATCAAATGTGCAAAAAATAGAAAATAAGACGTTGAATGGTAAACAATAAGACAAGTGACAATATCCCATTTTTCATTTCTCTATCGAAAGGAAATGGTCTTTGCTAAGTTCATATCCATTGGCGATTGATTTCCTCATTTTGACCCAATTATAATTCCCTGAATGTGCGAGTGGAGCTTTACTTAACCCACGGACACACGTTCACTGTGGCTATGATAGACGAATGTGGAAACGTTCGTGTCTAATCAGAAAAGTGTGGGGTAAACTGGAACTGAGGAAAACAGGGGGCTTTGCAGATCCCTGGCCGTTACACAACCACCGAGATGCTCTTGAACCCCAAGCGAGGTTGCAGCTGCAACAGCAAACAGCAAACCAAATTGCAATTGACGCACACGCATCTGCGAATATGTGGAATGCAAAATGCTTGAAAAGAGGGGAAACAGTGAATGGAAGCAACACGGACAATAACACTCGGAATGAGTAATACGGCCTAGGGGGAGCGCCCACAAAGTAAATGAGCAGCGAAGAAGAGATCATGACGATACGATGATGTATGAATTTGGCTCAGACTTTTACTTTTACTAGCCAGCCAGCATAATTATCGGCGTTTACTGGGCTTTGTTATGCCATTTCGTGAGTGATGTGTAACAAATTTAAATGAAATGAATAGTAAATCGTATAGAAAAAGGGCAATAAAAGCGGGCGCATGTGGGGGCGGGCTAACTTGGCCTGGCAAAACAAAAAAAAACAAAAGAGTGTATAAATAGATAATGCCGAAACCGCAAATAATAACCAATACTGCGGGCGAAACAACGAACGGGTTGGAAAGAAAGCAGCGAATAAGTCATAATAAAAATTATAATAATGATTAAAAAAAAAAGCAAGCCGTCGATGTTGATGTTGCCGTTTGCAGTTGAGAAATGTAAATGCCACAAGGCCAAGCGACAAGGCGAGGCCGCCAATACACACAGACAAACCGAAGCCCGTGACACAGTCATCCGCGAGTATTCTCCGTTCTCCATGCGCCGTTCCTCCCCCTCGAAACCCATACACTCATACGTCGGCTATTGTGCATGTCTGGTGGCGATTATCGGATTTGAAACGAACGGCAACCACTGTGCGCCTTATCAGCAGCGCCAACATGATTGCCACCAGAGGCGGAGGAAGGGGTTAAATATTTTTCAATCTACATTCATTTTTAAATAACTCATGAATATGACACTTTAAGCACTGAAGCAATTCACCAAAGAGAAATTTTTCCTAAGGCACAACTCAAAATAAATATTTTTAACAAAAATCGCTAAACAACTAAAAACACTTGCAGCATGAATAAGACATTTATCACTTAAAAAAATAAGATAAAATGAAAAGGAAGTCATCCCCTTAGATATTCCTAACTACACCAGTGGCTACCCCACATCCACAGGAAATCCCGGTAACCCGATAACTAACCGCAATTGGCGAGGACCTTCTGCAGCGGCATATCCTTAGGCAGCTCCTTGGCGGACTCATCCAAAGCCTGAGCAATTTTGTAGTGGCTGTTCTTCTTAGTCCGCTTGTCCTGCTCCTCGGTGCTCCCGCTGTTATTTCCACCTCCACCACTCAGCGCCGGTAGCTTGCGGACGATCTTTTCGATGGTATCCCGATATCTGTCCACCTGCCGCTCGATCGTCTCCAGCTCAGAATCCTTGCAGTCCGATTTGGTGGATCTGCGGGTGGCAAAAAAGGGGTTTGACATGGGTTAGGTCATCATCATTAGTTGCCCACTGCTGTTGTTGTGGTTATTGTTGTTGCTGTCATCGGGTCTTGTTATTGCTGCAGTTGCTCATTCTGTTTCTGTTGCTGTTGTTTTTGTTTTTGTGATGAGGCAACACCTGTCTGTCCACCTGGAGCGCAGTTACACACACCAACAGACATCCAATGGCTGGCCTTTGAACTTACCTTGACAGATTTTCGGCTGCTATTTTGATTTTCGCAAACTGCCTCTTCATCTTGGCTGATTTGCAATTGCCACTCGCGTCTCCAACGTTAACTGAACTTCTGTGTGTTTGTTTGCGATGTGTAATTAGCTAGGCATTGAGTAAATACTTAAAACTGGCAAATTAGTCATTCTTCAACGATGTTTTACGGAAAAGTGAGACGAGTAAGACCACAGCGGGAGCGCTAAGAAATGCTGGAAGACCAGTATAGGCGTCTTTCGAAATTCGGTATCTGGGCACACTGCGCTTCAAGTGTTTTTAGGTACTAATGAAGATTTTAAGTAAATTTAGTGAGTTTAACTATTTCAAATACAATTTAGAATTATAAATTAAAATTGTCTAATGCAATACAATTAAAATATATCTTTGTTTTTTTTTTTTAAATATTTGATTACCCTTAGTTTCTTAAAGCGTTGCCACACTATTGTTTATTGTTTTGCAACACATACCTTGGGGTCACACTGCATTCCACCGCCTTGCTGCACGTGTGCCATCCGTAAATAATATTTTTTATTATTGTTTGACTTAACAAAATGAACCAGGCGGAGATTATTAAACGTCTCCGAGAGGAGTACGATATCGAGAATGGCCTGAAGGAACCCAAGAAGGAGGACCTGCTGACAATCACTAAAAAGATCCACCAGCGTGTTATAGACTTGCTAACCATCCACAAAGTTCCTTACTCCAATGCCGATGGTAAAGCAATCATTTAAACTATCAGTATTGTAAATGAAAACTTTTTTTTTGTAGATGAGGACACCTACGAGGATTATCTGTTTTTCGGACGACGATGAATCGGGCACCAAGAAGAGTAAAAAACAGAAGAAACTCGGAAAAGTAAAAAATCAGGACTCCGACGACGAGGATGTGGACGCTCGAATCGCATCCATCAAGAACAAGCTGCGCCAGAAGAAGGGTCCCACCACAGAGCGCCAGCAGAAGCGACGTGAGTCCAAAAAGTTGAAGCGTAGCAAGGGCGTCCAGAAACTGCTCCTCTCCTCCGCCAAAAACCTTAAAAATGAGGCTGTCAAGCACCAGAAGCTAAAGAACGGAGTAGTCAAAACAGAACAGGATCCAGAGGACAGCAAAGAACAGATACAACCCGTCAAGGTGAAGCCGGTTTATAACCAGGAGGCCAAGATCGTCTACTCCAAGGTGGACTTTGCCGCCAATCCGGGCACCAAGGCTAAGAAGTCGCACCAGAACCCCAAGGAAATCCTGAAGAAGTTACGCGACACCAAGAAGCACCTAACTGAACTGCGCGAACAGGGTGAAACAGACAAGGCAGCCGAGATGCAAACGGATATCGCTTGGCGTAAGGCTTTCGACAAGGTTGAGGGCAAGAAGGTCAAAGATGACACCAAGCTCCTACAAAAGTCCATTAAGAAACGTCGTGTGGAGAAGAAGAAATCGAAGACCAAGTGGACGGAACGCAAGCAGAAGGTGGAATACGATAAGGAAAAGCGACAAAAGAAGCGACAGGAGAATCTGGATAAGCGTAGCAAGGACAAAAAAAATAGAAAACTGAAGACAGCCAGCAAGAAGGGTCGCATCATACCTGGTTTCTAATTACGATTTAGCGTTAAGTTTAAAATAATGTAAATGTATGCCGCGTTGAAATTCAACTCAGAATGCTAGAAAAAAACAAATATTCGTTTGAAAATTCTTTCTTTTTTCCGTGATAGAAATTTACTTTTCCGGCCTCGACACAATCAAAATTCCCACTGAGAACAAAATTTCAAGTTCCCATAGCCCACAGTTTTTGGTGCCTTGTTTTTGTCCACTTTATGTCATTGTGTGTACCATTGTGCGTGCGCGGCCCCAATAAGAAGAAGAGTGCCAAACAGCTGTGGCCGATAGCAGCAATCGATTGTTATAGTAATCGTATAGTGGGATAGCTACGATTTTTCTAGATTTTCCTTAAGATTACAGCAAAAATTGGATTGAATCAAGTTAAGGTAACCAAAGATTAGATGGTCTGAAATCTGGAGCAACTACCGATTTAATAAGAAGAAGCACAGCGAGTATCGCAGTCAAAGCAACGAGAGTCACACGCACGCACACAGACGCAAAAATTACGTGCAGAGCGCAATCTATTTCCCCATTTTCCACCGAAAATAAAGCAAGGCAGGCGGAAAAGCTCCCCAATTGCGACGCATTTTGCAGAGGAGAGGAAAACTAACCAGTTTAAATTGCAAAGGAATATCCCGAGAAAGAAGAACGCGTAGAAGGAGCCACAACAATAACTTTGCAGATCAGCAGAGGAAGAAGAAGCGGCGGCCAGCTGAGAAGTGAAGCGAAGCACGGGCGCAGGGGATATCAAGAGTAGGTGCAGGGGCCGAGGAGGAAGCGGAAAAAGAAACAGGCGTAGAGGCGGCGGGCAGCAGCCACCATGAGCATGGTGCGGCGGATTATCCTGCTGGGCCCCAAGTACAATGTCTGGGCAAAAGGGTAAGTGTTAGCTACTTTCTGTTGTTGTTGCGCCAATCGTATACGTAACTGCGTCATTAGCAGTGAATCAACAACAAAAACAACAGCAATAACAACAACAAAAACAAGCCAATCAGAACTGGCAAAACAGCCTGCAGTTTACCAATCCCGATTGCCCCTACATTTTGGCTTATCAGAATTTTCTAGCTGCTGCGCTCGCTGAGTTTTTCTTGTCTAGTGTCAAACAACCAAAACACTGAGTGAAGGTCGTCTTCTTTTGATATCAAAAAGCTGCTCGCGGTCAACAGGCAGCAGTGGCGTCGTCCAAAAGGGGTTTCCCTCCATCTGACTTTACATTCACCGAAGCACGCATCTTATTGGAAGGCCGCCACCGCACCCCCCGCCTAACATTTCCAATCAGCCAAGCAGGGTCTTACTTTTGGACCAACTGAACTTGAATTGTTTTATAAGGCCTGAAATGGCCAGCTAGCTTAATTATTGCTATTGCCGCTCTGACGCAATGATTTCTTTTTTTTATTATTTCATGTCTTCAGTGGAGCAATTTCTTACACATTTTTAATGGCCAACAGCTGCTTATTATATTTGTTGGTCTGCAGGTTAGGAAAGCTGATAGGCGGAAGTTTACCCAACAAATTTCACTGAGAGAAATTTGTAGTCATTTCGTTTGTGATATTAACAACACCTGTGGTTTCCGAGACCAACCATTTCTAAGCCCTGTTTGATTGGCAATACGGCGAAAAAGTTGCTAGTCATCTGCGATATCGGAAGACGCTAATTGCCCTTGGCCTTTATTTGTTTGCTTTTATATATTTTTTTGTGGGCCAATCCAGAGATTCTTCTCCTCGGAACCCCTTTGTTGTTATCAATTGAATGTGCTCTGGGTAGCATTCACCCCGCACTTGGGGTCGATGCTTCCTATTTTTTTATTCTTTATGCACGAGACTAAATCCATACTCAGCGAAGAACGTCACCAGAAATACCCAATTATGTGCTTTATATCGTCTTGCTTCGCCTTTGAGTGCTATCAATTATTAAATCTAATCTAATTTTATATAAACAATAACAGGAAGAACAACTGATGCTGACAAAATTTAATTTAGGTAGAATTGAAAAGAAAAGTAGAAGAAATTTGTAATAAATCTATATGATTTATCATATATCATATATGGTTTTTAAAGCTGAGTTGCTATTATAATTTATTGAAAAAAATTTAAATAAAAGATTTAAGGCCACTTTTATATAAACAAAATTAATACATAATAGTAAATCTTTCCAACATTAAAATTTATCCTCCTTTTTTTCAGGAAGCGGAGTTAGTCAAACACAGCGCTCGGCAAGATGTGTTATTCTGAGCACAAACAGTGAGGAGGTCAGCGTTTGGGGCGTTCGACGCTTCCACCTGGCCACCCGAAACTGCGCCATCAATCGACTAGTGAGATTGGAGCCCGCGATGGCAATTCCGGCATACATTGACATTACCAATGCCACCTCAAGAACGCCAGAGGACTCAAGCGACAGTGCGAGTGGCAGCGGAAGTGGAGCTAGTGCGTCGGGAGGCGGTGGAACTAAGAGTCCGGGCAGTGGTGCTGGATCTGGAGCAAGTACGACCAGTGGCGCCGATCCACCAGGCGGTGGCAGCGACAAGTTCCTCTCATGCCCAAAATGCGGCAGTGCCTGCACCCAGGTTGAGACATTTGTCAGCTCAACGCGATTCGTCAAGTGTGCCAAGTGCAACTACTTCTTTGTGGTGCTGTCCGAAGTGGAGACCAAGCAGCGCACCAAGGATGAGCCTAAGAACCAGCGCAAGCCACCACCGCCACCACAGAAGATCATGGAGTATCTTGACAAACATGTGGTCGGCCAGGACTTTGCCAAAAAGGTGCTGGCTGTGGCGGTCTACAACCACTACAAGCGCATCCACCACAACCTGCCGCAGCTTCAACAGCAAGGAGGAGGTGCCAGTAATGGATCAGGCGGCCTGGATGGGGTTCCACGACCTGACCTGCTACATATTACCGGAATCGGCCACACACTGAACAGCTCCCCGGGCAACGAACTGCCACCAAAGCCTGCTCAAATGGGTCTGGGCGGTGGAATGGGAGGTCCTGGACTTGGGAGCGGACTCACCGGCGCAGGATCCAGCAATGTACGTGGAGGTGGCGACCACAGAGCCGGATCGGAAATTCTTGACCGACAGTCGAGCGATGTCAAGCTGGAGAAGAGCAACATCATCATGTTAGGCCCAACAGGATCTGGTAAAACACTGATCGCCCAGACGATCGCCAAGTGCCTGGACGTGCCCTTCGCCATCTGTGACTGCACCACGCTGACACAGGCTGGTTATGTGGGCGAGGACATCGAGAGTGTAATTTCAAAGCTTCTGCAGGATGCCAACTACAACGTGGAGCGTGCCCAGACGGGCATTGTTTTCCTCGATGAGGTGGACAAGATCGGTGCCGTCCCTGGAATCCACCAGCTTCGCGATGTTGGAGGCGAAGGCGTCCAGCAGGGCATGCTCAAGATGCTCGAAGGCACTGTGGTCAATGTGCCAGAACGCAATTCCCCGCGTAAGCTGCGTGGCGAAACGGTCCAAGTGGATACTACAAACATCCTCTTCGTGGCATCTGGTGCCTACACAGGACTGGACAGGTTAATTGCACGTCGCCTCAACGAGAAGGTAAGGCAGAAAGATATCTTATTTAAACGTCACTTACTTATTACTTGTTATCTTATTTTAGTATTTGGGTTTCGGCATGCCTTCGACCAGCGGATCTGGCCGTCGTGCAGCTCAATCAGCCGCCAGTCCCATGGACAACGATCAGGAGGAGCGTGATAAATGCTTGACCAAAGTGCAGGCACGTGATCTCGTTGAGTTCGGCATGATACCGGTAAGCAATGGGTTATAGAGACAAATATTCTTAGATAAAAGGATTGGTATCTTCGATGATAGTTGTATTATAAATAATCCTTTAAAAATGGCAAGCTAAATAAATATAAGAAGTTTATTTATACCTGAAATGATTAAGTTTTTAGAACAAGTGATTGATTGTAATAATTATAAATTAAAACCCAAATTGTTTTTACAGGAATTCGTTGGTCGCTTCCCGGTAATCGTACCCTTCCACAGTTTGAACGTCAGCATGTTGGTGCGCATCCTGACCGAACCACGAAACGCTCTTGTGCCTCAGTACAAGGCGTTACTGGGCCTTGATGAAGTGGATCTTACCTTCACTGAGGACGCAGTAAAGTCGATAGCTCAGCTGGCTATGGAGAGGCATACGGGAGCTCGTGGACTGCGCTCCATAATGGTAAGCAATGGAATTTATAAAACTAAGGAATATACTGAAAATTCTTTTTTAAATCTTTTTTTAGGAGCAACTGCTGCTGGATCCTATGTTCATAGTGCCGGGTTCAGATATTCGGGGGGTACACATAACTGCCGATTATGTTAAGGGCAGTTCTTCACCTGAATACAGCCGTGATGCGGACGCCACGGCATCCGGGACCGTTACCACAGACTCCGATACCACAACCGATAATGATAAGAACTTTGAGAATAGTGAGAAAGTACGACTAAAACAGTAAATCAGACAGAGAAACCCACATCCAAAGCCAACCAAAACAGAAATCGAGACAAAGCTTAAGCAGAAATCTTTCAATTCGAAACGCTTTTCAAATTGTTGATTTATTTTGAAACTCTTTCTGTCTTTTTATATCTCTTCAGCTTGTTTAATTTGTCCAATTGCTTGATTTTTGAATCAACAGCGTTTTTTTCTACTCAAGAATTAACATTTGCAAACACGATTTAATGTTGAAAGATACTATAATTTTTCGTACTCTAACATGTATATTTATTAGCCTTGTTTAAATGATAAATTGGTTGGTTCACCTTAGATCCCTTCCACGAACCCCGTAACTCTGTAAAATATGACCCGCTGGGGAGTGAATGAATGCTCCGGCATATATTTATAATGAATATCCTCAATCCCAATATGCATCTGTGATTCAGAATCGACGAGCAGCGCAATCTTGTAAGCCCGAAGCAATTGTAAGTGGAATAATAACAAATCCTAAAGAGAATTGTAAAATGAATAAAATACATTTTCAACATAATTAAACTAGACAAAAAAAAATGATCGGAAATCTGCAATGCTGGCAGTGATGTGGTCAAGGTCTGTACCTATTGGCGCTAGAATCCTCTCTTGCATATACCAATTATATATAAAAACGTAAACATATATTTAGGCAAATTTTGCGTAGACTAAACTGAGTTTCTAAATGAGTTCTGGTAGCGTTGTAATATTGACAAACGAGAAGCACGTTCTACTTTTAACTAATTTAAGTTAAAAAATCAATTTTTAAAACAAAAAAAAATAATAAAAAATAAACATGAAAAAATTTATAGTGGTATTGCTTTTATTTTTAGTGATCTAAAGATTAATGGATTGTTGTAAGAATTATAACTCCCCAAAAACATTAAGATAGCCTACAGAGTTTAGAAAATGGTCAATACTTTTTTTAGTTTTCATTAATTTTATTTTATTCGTCATTAAAATTCAACTAAATCTGCAGAACTCATAATAAATAATTTGAATTTATTGCACATATGGACTAATAGTAGTTCCTTCTTTTTGTTTGTTTTTCTGTTTCATTTTCATTTCGTAGTGTATAAATTTGTATAAAAATTTGTAAGTTAATAAATATCTTTTGGCGACCTTCAATCGTTCTCCTCCGATATGAGCAGCTCGTATTCCTGTGCGGCAAAGCGATCCCAATCGGAGGTCTAAATAGGGAAATAGGCAAATTAATTAAAATAACTCCAGGAATAAATGACAAGAAAACATACATATTCGTCACGTTGAGAGGCAAAGGGATCTCGTTGTTCGTGATCCAGATACTTCTCCAGATTGAAGAAGGTATCGAAAAAGACGTGCGTCATCTTGCAACGCTTCAGATCTCCCAGTGTGATGCAGTCGCGATTCGCTGGCTTTATCATATCCAGCATCTAATTTACAAAATTGATAAACCTTCATATAAATCTAGTCCCAGATTCTCACCTGACACAGGCAGTCCTCAAACGGGAGACACTCGATGCCGATTCCCTCCATTCGCTGTTGCTGTTCCTCGTAAAAGTACTCCAGTTCGTACATGGACAGCACACCATCTCCATCGACGTCCATACATCGAAACCAGTACTCAATGGCCGTCGGCGTCCGTTTGTCCTCCTCCGAAAGGATAAACCACACAAAGTCCGTATAGGACATCTTAGCCTCATCCTCGGGAGCCTTTTTGTTATCGCTGCGCGTCACACATCCCGAGAAGATCCGCTCCACAATACGCGACGACAAGGCATGGTCACTGTGCTTTGCCAGATCTTCCTGGTTCACCAATAGGTCATGATCCTTGTCTAGCTCCCAGAATTTGCAGTAGATCACGTAGAAGTGCTCATAGCTGAAGAAGGCCATTATCTGATTGATGTCCTCCTCCTCCTCCAGCAAACTAATCATCTGTGGGCGGGTGTTTCAAAAATATTCATTGTGAATTATTATTTTTTCGAAATTAACTTTTGATTATTGCATAATTTTCATAAATATTTATAGATCATTGAAAGTATGTATCTCACCTCCAGCAGATCGGACCGTTTCAGTTCGGCTATTGTGATCTTGCCGCTCCAACTGCGGTTCACCGAATAGAAAATGCGCGCGATGACTGTGTGCACGTATCTGGAATGGAACTCGGTGGCTTCCTTGAGAAAGGCCAGGCCGGGGTGTGTGTCAACCACATCCTGCACCATTGGCACCAGGTCCTCTGGCACGATGTATGAACGGAATCGCTGGCCTCGCGAGAGAATGTACACGAATCTCGAGGCCGCTTCATGGCAATAAACATTCATCCTGCAAGTTACAACACAGGTTTTTACAACAATAAATAAATCTATTTACGACTAAGATTTTTAATATTTTGCATTAGAGCGCCAAATTTAAAGAAACATTTACAGAAAAATGGAGAAAAAGAGTTTACAAAATTTAACTTACTGTTTCCAGAACTCGACGAACCGCTGGCGCTCGACAAGACCCGTGCTGGCCGACTGGCAGAAGACCATCACCGGCATGCGCCAGTAAAAGGGCAGGCCGCAGATCTTCAAGATGCGAGGTAGCTCGTCCTTGGTTACCTGGTTGTTGGGAAAGCTGTCGAAGGCGGAGAGAATGCCCCGCACCACCCGCTCCATGGCGATATTGGGCTGTGGCTTGCCATGTGGAAAGTAGAATCTACCATAAAGGTAATGGACACCTTAAAAACCACATCAATTGATTTATATACCGGATCCGCTCACCTGGGTATGTAAACGCTCTTCGTGGAACGTATTTCCTTCTGCAGCAGATTCTGCTCCTGGGGCGGCGGGGGCGGTGTGGCATGCAGCTTGACCTGTCGACGAATATGAATACGAATACGAAAATGAATATCACTCACTAATTGTTTACATACATTCCCTTGTTGTGGCTGCCAAAGCGCCACTCAATAAAATTGGCAATTTATTCTCGAAAAATTTCGTTTGTTTACGTTTTTGCGGAAATTTTTTCTTCGCTCTTCGACGAAAATCCTCAGACAGCCACGCCCATATCGACGTACATTCGCCCTTTACCTTTGAATTTATTATTAAATGTTTGCCATTTAAATAAACATCAACAAATTGCTGTCTAAATTTAAGCACTGAGTGGTACACGCAAAAACAAATACTTTTTGTTTAAACTAACTTTTTTCAACTTTTCGTAAATAATGGAAACATATTTGGTCCGTGGGATTTTTATGTTGCCAATTTTGTCGATACTAAATACGAATTGAAATGTTTTCATGGAAAAATGCATTGAATACCAAATGAGCGAGTGAAAAGGAGGAAGCTAAAGATCGTGAGCTATATTTTTGTATTTGGCTGCCATAAAACAAAAGAAAAAGCTTCTATGTGGGTAGTTAAAAAAACATGTTCAATTTATTGAGCTATGCTGATCAATATAAAACGAAAGGAGGACAAAAAATTACTAAAACTAACTGGTAATAAAAAAGGTAAACAAATATATTCTACCAAATCTTTAGGCTTTTAATATTTATTCTTTATTATTTCACCCTACATAAAAAGACTTTATTTGGTTTTTTATGCGAATGGAGGACGTTTCATCGACTATAATCCACGCACAGGCCATTCATGATTTTAAAACTGTCAACGGTGACATGAATATTAATCTTCTCACTCGACCACAACGAAGAGGAGCTCCTACGAAAGAGCAAACAATTCATTGGCATGTGCGCATATTACGTATACGCCCGGCTACACATCGTTTATAGTCATATATTACGCATACGCATTGTTGCCTAATTTATAGACAAAAAGCAAAGAGCCCGAAAAGCACTAGAGGATCGATCGAACACACACACAACATTCAACTTGTGTCTACCCCGTCCCCATAACTTAATTGCAAAAAATAGTTTTTGTTTCTATTTTTTTGAGGATTATATTTTTAGCCGATTTTTATTTGCTTTGATCAAACGCGCTTGGTACGAAGTGAGGAATTTCACAAGCAATCGTAGTAAAGCAAAGTTCAATTGAATTTTAGAGATATTCGGTATGGTAAGCCATTCATAAAACAAGGAAAAAAACGAATATGCCATGCCCGCCCGCACATGTAATTAAGCAATTAAACAATTCTCAAAACAAAAAACCCCTAACCAAAGCAACAATCAGCAGCAAACCAAAGGCAACAAAAACACATCGAAAATTGCATTTCGAATCGCTCAAAAGTGATGATGATCATGTGCTTGGGTTGTATTGAATTCGGTATTTGGTTGTTGTTTGGTTTATTTTTGTTGTTCCTGCCTCAGCACGATTGTGTGCTGATCGTAAATGCTTGATTTGATTGTTTATATACGAAAATATGCACACAAAACACTGGGAGCACTCGATGTGGGTAAGTGAGACCACTATGAATACCCAATACTTAATAAGCCCTGCAAAAAGTTTGTGAGTGGTCGTCAACTGGTTTTTGAACATCTAAGCAAATTTTAAGCAGAATGTGTTTTGAATATATTAATACAGTGCGTTACAGAACCACATAAATTAATAAGGAATAGCTCTTGAGATTTCATGAGTGATAGCATTCAATGCATAAGCAAATTATTCCCAGAAACTGGTTTGATTTATTAAGAATAAAAAGCGTTGAGCTGCTTTTTTGTCTCGAAATTCCTAATCAGCTTTATGCTAGATGTTTGTCATTAGAGAACAATATTTTTGACTTTGTAATTCTTTAAGAATTTTTTCAAAGTAAAATGACTTTTTCGTTTGTTATTTTCTTTATTTGTTGAGGACTGTCATGTTCATTAAAGCAATTCATCTAAAACGTTTAATAAAACCCCCCTTGCTTAGTGAAACCTTTTTTCACTCGGTACTCCTATTGCCTCCGATCTTCCCCAGCCTTTTGGCAAGCGTTTCTCGCGTGGCGTCTTGGGGTAACCTTAAATCAATCAATGATGCAGTGCGCTCGCACCGATAAGAGCAGCCCACAAAAAGTCGAAAGAAAACAAATGGGCAATTGCAATTGGTTCGATCAGGGGGAGAAAGGGTAAGATTTGGTTTTTTTTTTTTTGCACATTGTCTTCTGGCATTTTCAACTATTAGATAACACCACGAGCATACGATTTTCGGCCCGCAAAAATAAGTGGATTAACTGCACAGATTTTCATAACTCACCTTTATGAGACTCTTGGGCGGAGTGTCCGTCTGGGGGCGTTTGATGTTGAGGAAGGCGTGCCGCACATCCGGACACTTCTCGAACATGAGAACGCGCTCGGCCACGGAGCCGCGGGTGAGGAGATTCACTGGAAGTAGAGACCGAGAGACGAGACCTGGAGTTCTAGCGCACTGTGGGATATGGGGGATTCGAATCGAATATATTACTTTTATCCTGGCCATTGGTGAGGGCCGCCCGCGCCCCGCTGGTCGGTTTGACTTTATTCAACGTTGGCATCGTTGTGCTGACCGATGTTGCTGGCGTTGCATCCATAGATGTTGCTGTTGCTGCTGGTGTCGCCGATGTTGCTGATGTCGATGCTGCTGCTGCCGCTATGTTGCCGGTGTTATCAGTGGCGATGCGACTTGTTGATTTCCGTGCGGTGGTGGCAGTTGCTACCGCTGTGGGCTTTTCTTTGGTGGCCGGCTTCGTCGAATCGACGCTATTTTCTTTGGTTTTGCTCGACTTTGTGCGATTTGTGGCCGCTGGCTCGCCGCCCTTATCACTCAATGCCACACTGTTAGCCATTCTCGCCGCCGATGGACTATCAACGACATCTAAACTAACAGCAATTGATCCGTTCCTGCTGCTGCTACTGCTGCTAGTGCTGGCCTTGCTCTGTTTTTTGGTGGGTTGCTCAGAGGCTGTTAACTTGTTGCTGCCAACTGAATTGCTTACGTTGCTGTTGGTATTGGCCTTGCTGTTCTGTCGCTTTTTGCCCACTGTGCTGGGAGTATCCTTCTGCTGCTGTATGAGCTCGCTGATTTTGAGCAGATTTTGTGTTTGCTGCGAGGATAGATTGTTCACATCCAGATCCAGACTGATGTCATAATTGAGATTAACATCGGGCAGGGGCTTGGTGACGGAGATGGAGGCTACTTTTTTTGGTGATTGCAATGCCTGATCCGGCACAGGATTAAAGCTTGTCACTACGGGCTTAACCTTTACTTTGCCATTGGAAGTGATGTCGGATTTCTTTAGGCTGTTGGTTTTGCCACGCTGCTCCTTGTCCTTGTTGACGAAGCTGGTGACGATCTTCTGGAGACCCTCGGCGTCGGCGGTAGGTGAGGCCACATCCGAAAGATCACCGGAGGCGGCAGCATTTGTGTACATCTGCAGGAGTTCCGGTGGCGGGATGCCCTGGCTCTTCCACGTGTGATAAATAGCATCGGCATGCTCGTTGATCTTCTTGGTCAGCTCGGCAATCTCTGCATTGGAATCGTTAGCGGCTAAAGATGCACTCGATGATGCCTGGGATTTGGGGGATTTGGGACTGGTTCCAGAACCTGCTGGCTTCCGTGTCGTCGTAGTAGTCTTAATGGCACTGGTCACCGCCACCGAACTGATCATGTTGCCTCCCGTCCCACTGCTCAGTTTCTTGGTCTTGGTGGTCGTTGTTGTGGTGGTGGTGCTCGAATCGGCTTGCATTTTGCAAAAGTATCTCGGAAAATGTGTATTTTGTTTCGGGTTTTTCGCGTCACTCTCTTTGCTCTCTGTTTGGATATTCACATTTTCACTGCTCACATTTTTATTTCAATAATTTATTGAAATCTTAATTGAGTTTTTATTTAATTTGCCCGGCTTTGTTGCGTCGTTTGGCACTGCGAGAGATACACATGCGTTTCATTCACTTTTCACATTTTCACCGTTTTCAACATTTTCCTCCGTAGACTGCGTATGGCGAAATCTATTTATATAAAGAAAATACCAAAATTTCCTATTTCGTTTATTTCAGACGCCGAATCCGAAACATACAGCCAAACACATTCGAAACACAGACGCACCACACGAAAATATACGGATACGGATTTGGGACCAGGCATCGCATCAGCGGAATATCGAGCAGATACGTAAGACGCGTACACGGCGGGCACAGTGGTCGCAAAACCATTAAAAGCACAAAAAAAATGGATGATCAACTGCCAAGATCAATTATCATATCGTGGGCTTAATTAATGGCCTGACACCTTTGGCGCCGAAAACGTGAACGATTATCGTGACACGTTGAATCATCTCGACATTCCAGCTGGTTATGTTTGTGCAAAAACAAACAATTAATCAATTGAATTAATTGAATTAATTTTGACGGGTCAACAATAAACAAAGACCCACTGTGCATGCGTAAGAAATGGACAAGTGCGGTCAAAATAATAGCGCTAACTACTGCACTGACATTTTGTTGACGTTTGCTTTTGAAATAAACGTGTTCTTCCATTTCTTTAAGTTACTAGTTTAATTGATCTAAACTGTAGATTATAGTTTTGAATTTTGTTTTTCAGATCATTTAGTCTTTATTATAAAATTTCCGAACTATTTGGTTATTAATTGAATCATTTTTTTTTAAATGCGTCAATGGGATTTCTCTGAAATAAATATCATTAGAGTTTATCAAACTCATAAGTCCCTGTACCAAACTGACCTACGATTAAACAATGAGCTGTCACAGTATTTTAAGAACCATTATGATAAGCCCTTTTTTGTTTTCGTCGAATTTCCAAGAGTTCAAAATGGCAAATTTGGGCAAACAATGTTTACTATAGTTATTCAATAAGCAACTAAGTCGCAAATTTAATTAGTTTTGCTACTATCTTGACCGCTGCTGTCGGTTGTACTATTTCGCCGTTTTTACGTGGGGTTGCGATGGGATGAGATGAAACCGGGAGCTGCGTTTGCGTTTGCGACTGCGGCTGCTGCTTCTTCAACTTTGTACTATTTATTCGAAAATAAATTTCGAAGTAGTTGCGGCTCACAGACACACGTGCACGCACACTCGCCCAAATGCACTTTACATATGTTTTATGTCCCTCTGTGTGCGTTGGTGTGTTTTTGGTGGGGTGTATAATGTATGACGTACATATAAGTTTGATATTTGTCTGCCTTTATTAATGATTTAATTGCATTTAGGCCCAGAGGCGCGCGTGCTGACGACAACGGCGACACCGAGTGATTCCGTCATTAATTAATTAACCAAGCCAAACCGAAACCGACCAGAGGTTAATCGACATTTTCGCGGCACGACATTTTTGCCGTCTTTTTTTTTTGTATGAAATTTGCAAATTAACGAATATGTTTTCCGATCGGAGGGAAAAACACACGCGGCCGCGGGATATTTTGGAAAACTCTGGCAAGCTTCCGCTTGGCGAGTCTAAAATTAACAGCAAACAGAGCAGAATTCACAGATCACAAAATTCGGATTCAGATTCGGAAAACACTCGCATATATCCGAGCGAATAGCGGTGCACGCGATGCTGCTAAGGTCCGTGTTGTTACTGTAAATCTTCGGCCGCTGAAAATAACATCAGCCTCCGTTCTGCGATCCAAACGATCGGGCTGTTGAGCCAACGGAGCGGATGAGCGAGAGTGCGCCGTGCTGGTGATCTCAGCTGTTGCTGCTGCTGTTGCTGTTGTTGTTGTTGTTGTTGTTTCTATTGCTGCTGCAACTACGCTAATGACACTGGCAGCCCCCAAGAACGAGCGCTCCCACACACTCACGACCTGTGATCGTATCAGAGGTGACCGAATCGACGAAAAAAACTTGATGACAAAACAGAAACACAGAAAATAGTTATATGGGCTAAAGTACCCTTATACCGAAGGACTAACAGGAATTTAAGAACTTATTTAAAAGAATATTAAACGTTTTCCAGTTGCTTTTTATAAGAATTTATAATTGAAAAGCAAAATACATGATTTTGGCTTGCTTAAAATGTACTTTTTAGCTATAATCTAATCCCAAGATATAATAATTTTATTTTAATTTTACGATTTTTAAATAAATATATATAGAAATAATAATCAATGATATTTTATAAATACATTTTAATATCCATAAAGTAGCTAGGAGGACAGCTCTATCGCAGGGAGAGAGAGAGAGAGAGAGCCGGTGAGAGCGGCGCCCGAAAAGATCATTACTTTGGCGTTCTTTGAGCAGCTGCTCCCACTCTCCATGCGCTCTCACTTACCCCCACACGACGGCAGCGATGCCAGCAGAACACTTGCCGTCGTTTACCCACTCGCACACACACACACACTCACACAATGGCGAGCGCCAATCCGTCGAACATAAAAAATACAAAAATCAAATCATAGGTGTTTGTTAATTATACACTGTGCCCTGAAGGCAGGGTGTCACGGTTCGCTTGGAAGCTTTGGTCAGGTCACATAAATACTATGGCCTAATATCACCTAATATTCCATTTTGATAACATTTATTTCATGATATATACATACTCGTATAGAAATATAGTATGCAAATATATTTAAAAAACAACATTAACTATTAAAAAAAATATGGATTTTATAATTGAGAAAAATAAGATAAATTTATTTAAAATTTCTAAATTGAAAAATGTAAAATTTGTTTCCGTAAGCCAAAATAATTTAATTATCCATAAAATGTTTAGAGCATTCAAAATTTCAGTCAAACTATATTTTTCTTCTCCAGTTTCAATTTTGTCTGCCTCATTGAGCAGGAGAACAACAACAAAATTGACTACGGATCGAAGCGTTTATCTCGCTTATTTGCTAATGCTAAATGATTGTCTTCTTCTTCGCCTTCGGCTGGCTTCTTCCTCTTCACATCGCAATGTTTGTTGCAGTTAGCTGTCTTTATGTCTTTATTGTTGCTGTACCCATTCTTTTTTCCTTGGCTTTTTATGTTTAGGCCATTTAGCAGGTGGGCGGGTGACTTTTGTTTGTTTAGAGAAACCGAAAAGGTCTGAATAAATGCTGAAATGCGATTCATGTTTTAGTTTATACTATGATATTTTTTTAAACAATATTATATATATATGTACATATATATATGTAAATACGTAAGTATGGGAACCGCAAGTGCGGCTAACGATGACGCCAAGATAATGATTATAATGATAATGCCGATCTGAGCGTAGCTTCCGGTTTTGCGCTTCGGTATTTTTGTTAACTTTTTCGATGGCTAACTTCATATATGTATAAATAGAAATATTTATTACCAGACTTTTTGTTGTTTTATTGTTTTGCGGTGTGTAATTGATTTTAACCGAAAGATCCGCCAAGCCTAACATGTGTTGACTGTCACATCAAGTGACAGTTATTTCGGTTTAGTTCCATATTAGGGTTGGGCATTAAGCGTGACATCCCATCCAGCTGGATTAGCCTAAAACTTGACCCAATTCAAGAGAACGTGTTGAGCGAGCGCACAATGGCGAACAAAAGGCTTTTATGCCAAAGTTGGATTGACAAAATAAAATCCAAAATGCCCACACAAAAACAAAAACATGTGCGGAAAATTCAATGGAGGTGCGAATAGATCAATCGCCATAGCTAAAACCATAAGTAGCTTAGTGCTTGGGAGAGGGAATTCATTTTTGGTCATTTAAAGAGATTATTTTATGGTTTGTGACAGTTGGGGGTTCCTCATTTAATCCAAGATTATCTAGGCTTTCAAGATATGCGTTCATCAACGCACACGCTGCGTATGCTTAATTGCGCATACGCAGTGTGGTCGCCCTTGTAGGTTCTTCTGCAGCTGCTTTGCTTTTCCTCAAGTTTCTCATATTTCCCCCATCGATTTCTTGAGCATTGACACATTAAATCGCTGACTTTCCACGCATCTTTCGGCACAATGTCAGACCAAAACTAAAGCTCGGCCAGAACCCTTCTTGGAAGCCTTTGAAATGTCTTTAACTATTGACATTGGCCCATTGCGATGTGCGCTGGCTTTTGTTATGGCTATTATGATTATAAGCCAAAAGCTGTCGACACTTTCCTCTGCAAATTATACATATATTTTTAGGCTGGGCTAATTGAATTTGAAAACGCAGAGGTTTTGTGAGCTACGGGTAAAAAACTATAAAAGCCAGAACACAAAATGCAAGCAATGCAGGTTTCCAACGACCAATCGCCGCGAATAGTCCGCCCCAGTGAAATATTCAGAATCCAGGAATCCTTTATGTAAAAAGTGTTAGAAATATTGTTAGTGAATTTGCAGCTTTTTATGTAAACAGTGTGATATAGGCGGGATATAGTGACGCAGCCAACAACTAAGACACAATGGAGAGGTACGACAGTCTGGAATCCCTAGATCACTTGGAGTTTTATCTTCTGCATTTTGAAATTTGAATATTTGTTCGGTGTTGCAGCTTTGCAGTAGCAGCCGCGCAACTGGGGCCACACTTTGCCCCCTCTATCCAATGGATCGGTGGTGGACAAGGTCACCCCCGATATGGCCCACCTGATCAGTCCGTACTGGAACCAGTTTCCCGCCATGGACCCCATCTGGGCCAAAATCCTGACCGCCTACATGATCATAATCGGCATGATTTCCTGGTGCGGAAATGGCGTGGTGATCTACATATTCGCCACTACCAAGTCACTGCGCACTCCCGCAAACCTGCTGGTTATTAACCTGGCCATCTCCGATTTCGGCATCATGATCACCAACACTCCCATGATGGGTATCAATCTGTACTTCGAGACCTGGGTGCTTGGCCCAATGATGTGCGACATCTACGCCGGACTGGGCTCAGCCTTTGGCTGCAGCTCCATCTGGTCGATGTGCATGATCTCGCTGGATCGTTACCAAGTAATTGTCAAGGGCATGGCCGGTCGGCCGATGACCATTCCGCTGGCCCTGGGCAAGATAGCTTACATCTGGTTCATGTCTAGCATTTGGTGCCTGGCGCCCGCCTTCGGCTGGAGCAGGTGAGTCCTTCAACTAAGAAACTTCCATGAATTTATTTATTTTAGTTTGTTTAGTTACATAATTTGGTTAACGTAAGCTTACAAGTTTTGAAAAGATCAAAGAGTTCTAAAATCATTTTGTTTTTTTAAGGAACGAGAAATAGAAAAATTACGAAAGATTTATTAAAAGTAATTGATTAAAAAAAAAACTAAATTCCTGGTTAATTTTAAGGTATGTGCCGGAGGGTAACCTGACATCGTGCGGTATTGATTACTTGGAACGCGACTGGAATCCACGTTCTTACCTGATCTTCTACTCCATCTTCGTGTACTATATCCCGCTGTTTTTGATCTGCTACTCTTACTGGTTCATCATTGCTGTAAGTGACTGGATGTGACTACCTTATCCCGGTGATTAATTAAGGTATATTCCCCCCCAGGCTGTATCCGCCCACGAGAAGGCCATGCGCGAGCAGGCCAAGAAGATGAATGTCAAGTCCCTCCGCTCCTCTGAGGATGCCGAGAAGAGCGCTGAGGGCAAGCTGGCCAAGGTTGCCCTGGTTACCATCACCCTGTGGTTCATGGCATGGACTCCATACCTGGTGATCAACTGCATGGGACTTTTCAAGTTCGAGGGTCTTACACCACTGAACACCATTTGGGGAGCTTGCTTCGCCAAGTCGGCTGCCTGCTACAATCCAATTGTATACGGCATCAGGTGGGATTTAATAATAGGGTATGGTAATCTCAAGTCCTTTAATGATCTTTGTTCCATATAGCCATCCCAAATACCGTTTGGCCCTCAAGGAGAAGTGCCCTTGCTGTGTCTTTGGCAAGGTCGACGATGGCAAATCAAGCGATGCCCAGTCCCAGGCCACCGCCAGCGAGGCCGAGTCCAAGGCATAAATTCTTTGGCGCAACAACCAGAACAGCAACAACAACAACATCTAATTACTTACAACAGCAACAACAACAGCAACAAAAACAACAACAACAACAACAACAACAGCAAGAACAACTGCAGCAACAGAACGAAACGCTTTCGAATAACATCAAAAACAACAATAATGAAAAAATTATGCAAATTTCTTACATAACAAAAAGCAATGTAAACTCAATTATCAAATCTTCTGCAATGTCAGTTAAAGACAACAAAAAACTTAACAAAAAAAATAAATGCAAACGAACTAGAAAAGTTATCAAGAATGTTGTTTTCTTGCCTTAAAATACCGACTATCCCAACTTACATCTATAAACCTAACTTATTTCCCAATGGATGAAAACTCAATTTGTTGCAAAGCACTTCACAATATATTTTCTGTTCCAGTTTTGTTTTATATAAATTAAAGGCACTTAAATTCCATTTTTTATAAATTAACATGCATTGGTAAAATTTCGACACATAGACTCATATCTTCTTAAACTCAAAGCTCCGAAAAACACGAGTCAATATGCTCGAATCTTAGCCAGGGTTGCTGGAAACTCACTGAGCTGAGCTTCACAGCGGTTAGTAGCACATGGACAACATTAACAATTAATCAGTAGTATCTGTTAAGGCACAACTTAAAGAGCTTCTGAACTAAAGTCACTCGCTGCACGAATCGTATTCACTTTCGCTTTTTTTGATTTTCGTTTTGATGCCTGGCGTTCCGGGAGTTGTTGTAGTTGGTGATGCTAGTGTATTATTGTTGTCAATCAGGGCCAAAGAGCAATTGCCTCCAATGGGTTTGTGGTAAGTGCTTGGCGGGCTATCCACGCATTCAGATGAGGTACATGCCCGTTCCTGTATAATGAGTTTCCATAACCGCACTTCGATTCCAACGCTGTAAAATTTAAATTGTAGTTAAAAAATAAATTAAATGTCTCCCATAAGTTCTCATCTTACCGCAAACCCAGCCTCATGAGGTCCAACTTTTCCATGTTATAGATGAAATCCTCAAACGTAAAACCTTCATTCAGAATGAGGGTCTTTGAAAACTCATCTATATCCTGTTGGGATAGCCACTGCTCCAACTGCTCGTCTACTTCGTGAAGACCAAAGTGATGCTTGTTTAGCTGCCTCCGGGGATTGCCTGTTATAGTCGGACGGACCCCGGACATTCCGGCCACACTGGGACTCATTCTATGGCACTTTTTGTTGAAACCGTTAATGGTGCGTCTGTTAAGATATACGTTAATAAATAAAGGGATATATAGGAATATATTATTAAGTGATTAACCCACCTTAATCTCTTTCTTCCGCCCATATAAATATGGGCCAGCTCCTGACTGATGTTGTGGAGGGCCCTTATGCTCTGACGTTGCTGCTCAAGCAATTGGCGTTGCAACTTTTGTTGATTTTCACGGATGTCTCTTAAAATTCGGGCGCACTCTACCGAACTGGCAATAGCCTCGCCACCCGACTCCGCTGGCGTCAGTCCACCACCTCCTCCAGTGCTGCTCGAGGGCAGAACTTTCTCTAGACTCTGGTGATGCTTTTCCTGACTTTCAGTAGAACTATGTTGCATTAGACTTGTGTGCACGCTTTCATCATCAATTCCAGACAGATCCTTGTCCGCCAGATTGGCGCCCAGTTCAGGAGAAAAAATCGTAACGGCCGCCTGTACTGCCCTCTTTACAAGATTATCCAAGGCAAACATCCAGTGAGGCTTGATGCAATGATCTCGCAGCACACAGACCACGGCATCCTGAAAGGAGTACAGGGCTAAATGCAGATGGTCCAAAGCCACCGCGTCGTTGTTCAGATTTTTTTTCAATTCATTAATAGTGGCCTCCAAATGCTTCTCGTTCTCATTCATTATGTAATCCCGCAGTCCTCGAATCAACAACTCCAAATCGCTCTTTCGAATAGCAATCGAGTGTTGGTCCGCATAGACCTTATTCATCCAATCTTCGCAGATCTTGGATTCATCTAATGCCAGCACCTTGGAAAGCGTCGTCCGACGCTGTGAATCCTTTTTCAGCCGGTAGAAACCGTCAGTCTCGCTTGTCTCACTGATGCTCGTGCGCAAGGAGGGTGTGGAGGGTTCAATCTCCGGCGATAGCAAAAAACCAGATGAATTGCGTCGCTCCAACAAAAACTGGTTGGTGGATAGCTCATCAATGTCCACCGAGGATGTGTGATTGATGCTAAATTAGAGAAGATAAACCAAAAATTAAAAATCACATTACTCTTAATCAAACGTCTATTTGGCCTTCTAAGTAGCAAAACCCGGGAGCACATTCGCTGATCATTAACGACACACTTAAGTGATAACACCAATCAATATGTATACTTAACGATAATTACAAGTGGTTATAATACCGGACGATATCGGTAAAATCTGATATACAGAGTACCATTTTCATAAACAACACAATATACAAATGATAAATGCTTTTTGAGCTTTTCCCAAGATAAGATAATAAATAGTAGTAATTCAGCAAGGTCAAACTCATATTAAAGGTTATAAACTTACTCCAATTCCGGCGTTGTCGGCGTATTGCAGGTTGTGTTGTAGCTCAGCGGCGGAGTGGTTTTATGTACAAGTCGATCAGCAGGGACCGAAATGCTCCGTCCAAAATCAGTGTTGATGGGCAGAGCAGGACGCAGTTTTCGAGTTTTACTGAATCAAATTAAAATAGCAGTAAGAGGAATATTTTCTTAAGCAAACTATTATACGAACTCACGCTTGTAAGAAAGGATCGTCGAGCAGCTGAGAGGCTGAGGGACGGTCCACCACACTGATTGCAAAGCAACGTAGAATAAAGTTTCTGGCATTGGCGGACAATTCATCGGGTATTGTTGGATGCTTCTTGTGGTAGCCCACCTTAAACATCGCCGCCTGGGCGCAACCCAGCTCAACGAACGGCGGCTTTCCAGTGGCCATTTCAACATTTGTGCAGCCAAAAGACCAAATGTCAGCAGCTGGACCATAGCCGCGAACACCTTGGTCAATGACCTCCGGAGCCATATACTGCAAGGTGCCCGTAAAGGTCTCTGTCATCGGATTTATGCGGGCCAGCCGCTTGGAGGTGCCAAAGTCGGAGATCTTAACCACGCCACTGTACGTATTCACCAGCACGTTATCGCCTTTGATATCGCGGTGTACAATATCCTGTTCGTGAAGGTATTTTAACCCCTCGAGGATCTGCTTGGAGTAGAAGGCTATTGTGGACTCGTTGCCCTTGAGCGGACCCCATTTGGTCTCTAAAAGGTCGGAAAGCGAGCCTCCTGGCACCTGCTCCATGAAGATCTTAAAGAAGCCATCCTCCGAGCGTGAACCCAAGTAACGTACAATGTTACGGTGACGCAGTTGCGAGTGTAACTTAATCTCCTCGTGCAGCGGTTGTACGTCCTGAGAGTTTTTTTCAGGTACCTCCTTAATGGCGATTCGCACCTGCGTTTGCTTGTCACGAGCGGCATACACTGTTCCGTACGTACCCTTGCCCAACACCATCTTGCGGTTCTGCTCATCGTAGTCGTACTCGTACTGAAACAAAGAATAATTAGTCTTAGTCATAGAATAAAATTAGACTAAAATACCCACTTCGATTTGCGCATCATCATTGCTGAGATTTACAAAAACAACTTGATCAGCTGTCATCTCCAGGATCAGATCATAGAACTTTTGACGGCGTTCGGTGGACGGAAAGTATATTTGAAAGTCATCTGAATTGTGATGGACATACAAATAAGCACAACGATCATCCCGCTTGTAAAGGCTGACGGACTTGATCTTCGATGCCACGAAAATGAAGTCATGGAGTTTCTTGCACTCATTCTTAGCGTGAGCCAGGCAGTTATTCACAATCTGAATGGACTTTTCATCTGCATCCATGTTAATGGTCACATAACTGGGCATGTAAATCTTCTGCGGTTCTAGGATCTAAAAGTTTAAGTTTAAAGTAAGCAAAGTTTAATGCAGAAAGCAGATATACCAACCAGTATAGGAAAGCGAATGCTGTTCTTGACTTCCTCGGTGTTTGTGGCCTCCAAGAAGAAGTCCATCCAGAACTGAAATACCTGCTCCTCGATGGGAGGTTGGCGTTCCTCCGGCTTCTTGCGAAAACGGTGTATAAGAGAGATATTGCCGATTGTAGACTTAAGATACCAGTTGGGTGGCTTCAGCTTGAACATACATTCAGCAGCCTGAATTGCCTTGGCGTAGTCCTTGGCCAAAACTGAGATCTCGAAGAAAGTAGCCACATCCCAATACTCGCTCAGTGATGATAGGCTGCCCTTCTTTCCGATCAAATTGTTTAGGGTCATACCGATGTGCTGCAGCTCTTCAGTATTGGTGAACTCCTTGCCTTCGATGACCAACAGGGTGGCCAGGTTGATACCTGCGTACTCATTTGGCTGCACTTCGAAACTTTGACGGTACCACTTGATGGCATGCGCCAGGCTAGTAGCGTCCGTATAATCTGACTCCACGAAGATGTCCTTGTAGATGCGACCGCACAGACAGAGCATGTCCGGAAAATGATTCTCCTTCTTCTCCAGTGCCTTTAGTGATGATTCCAATGCCTTTTCCCTGTCGCCTTTTCTGTTTCTACGGTTCAGGGCGAAGGCATACAAAAAACTCATGTTGCCCGTCTCCACGTACTTCCGGGTGTTGGGTATGTTCTTCAGGTCGTTTACCAGCTTCACCATTGCATCATAGTCCTGCACATCCCTTAGCGAGCACATAAAGCTATGCACCACTTCTCCGGACAGGACATGTGGATCGTCCAAACGCTTCCGCATCTCATGTAAGATGCTCTGCAGCTTTGCGCCATTGGTGGCGTACGTGTCCCTCGCAGTTCGCATATCGCTGAGAAATTTCTCTCGCATGTGGGCTCTGTAAGCAACCGAAAATAGGATTAATATTTAGTTAAAGCAAAATAACGAAAATGATCCAAAATGTTATTCCTTCATTATTTAAAATATGTTTCTCTGTTTTGTCTTACAAATTTAATTAAGTTTATAAATTATTTTTTTATTATAAAGCAATAAATTCTAAAATTATTTTGTAAAATCAATTTTTATCTGAATAAAAACGCTTTTATTAATTTGAGATGTAAAACGTGACTTTTTAAAGCCATATAATCTTTAGTATTATTTCATACATTTTACATTCATTTCTTAGTTTAATATAGTAAAGTAGCCTGAATCATTTTACAGGCAAATCGTGACTTATACAGCAACTCAACGCAAGGAAATGTTTTAAATATGTAGAAAATTAATCTTTTGGTGTCAAATGACGTTCATTTTTGGAATTTCCCGTAAATGCACTCACTTTGATTGGATCTCCACATCTTGCAGCTTTCTTTTGAGGCGCCACTGCAGGGTGGGCACCCGTGCCTCGGCGGCAGGCTCCTTGTTGCTGTTGGGCTGGTTGGTCAGGTGGCAGGAATTGCTCTCCGCATTCAGTTTGTAGCTGAGGAACAGGTAGCTGGCACAAGAAAGCTGCAATTTCAAAGGGGTATTGCTAATTAAATGGCCGCCACTGTGAATGCAGGCCACAGTGCGTTGGTGTTATGCCGCTGTTTTAAGCGTGTGCGTGCTTCTTTGAGTGTTTGCGTGGGCGTGCTCGCATTTGTTATTGTTGGGGCCGACGCTTTTTGTTGTTTTACGACCGCGGCCAAAACAAAAATAACGAAAGCGCTTCAACGGAAATACAGTCGAACTTCCATAAATCGAACGAACTTTTGCTTGAGATGTCGATCTTTTAATACAAAATGTTTACATAAAGATATGCCTACATTTTTCAGACAACAAAAATACAGCATATATGGATCATAATAGTCGGGGAACGATTAGACTTTCATTTGTTATTTGCTGATAAAATATTTTTTTATAGAAACTTCTAGTAAATCCCGTTCCGTGTTATGGAAGCTTGACTGTAGCAAGATCGCCAACAACAACTAGTCCAGGAGTTGCAACTAGGCTGCCGTTTCTACACATTTGCTGGTCATGGCATTTATCTTATCGGAAACGGTGTCCCGATCACGCCCTCAGATGTTTGCGGCACACCTGGTAAGGTAAACAGTGTAACGCACCTTAAGACTAAGTGTCTGCTTGGACTCGACATCGTTGTAGATGAGGATGTTTTCCTTCATGTTGAAGCTCTCCCTAACGCCATAGTGATAGGACAACGGACGCTGTTGGGTAAGGATGCTCAGATCTATGATGGCCACATCGGCATTGTAGAATGTCTCCAACACATTTGTTTCACCGAAATCCAGGCGTTCAAACTGCAAGGATGGATGGGGATTTCACTGGGATATATATCATTTTTATATATCATTGTATAACCCATCTGTCGCACCTGAACCCGATGAAAATTGGCTCCCGCCGACTGCACCGCCTGCATTATCTCTTCCAGCGCGCAGAGGCGGTCCTCCAGATGGTCGCCCACCGCGGTATCGATTACACACACCACATCCATCGTTTGTTTCGATCCGATTCGGATTTGGATTTCGTTTCGATCAAAGCAAACTATTCTTGGCACTAATCTGTTTATGGACGGATTTCTTTCTGCACTTTTTGCAAGGCGGACGCGCGCACTTCAGTGGCAACCGAATTCATTACCATGTACTTGCTGCAGTTGCATCGCGATAATTGCGCGTAACTAATAATTATCAATAAATAAAGAAACTTATAAATGTGCACCCGAGTAAGACCGTGCGCGGGTTGCCAATAAATCCGAAGAAGCTCTAAAAATACCACAACAATAACCTAGGTGAAAACTTGTCTGCCAATTTGGCGCTAAGTCATATTAAGCCGTTAAAATCCGATTTTTAAATTCTCATGTTCAAAATAATAGATTTATAATAAGATTAATAACAATAACAATATTATAGCTATAAACCAATAATTTTTAAGAAAATTTAATATGAACAACATTACAGTATATATACGAAAGTTTAAAAATATGCCGACCAAAAATGCGAATATTTGAATAAATTAAAGGGAACCACCCTTAAATCTATTAAATAAATAAGTTTAAAGACAATGGTAGGAAAATGAAAAACTTTATTACTAGTGACTCAAATATCATTTTTACAATTTTTTAGAATAAATGTCATTAAGGGCATATACATTGTTCTTAACTTTGCGAAACTTTATCTTAGCTAGCATATTCCTTGAGTATGGATCCTGCGATGACCAGCCTTTGGATTTCTGAAGTGCCCTCGTAGATCTCTGTGATGCGGGCGTCCCTATAATGTCGTTCGGCTGCCATGTCGGTTACATAGCCCATTCCTCCCAGAATCTGAATGCATTGATGGGAGCACAAGGTAGCCGCCTCTGAGGCAGCCAATTTAGCCATGGCTGCCTCCTTAGTGTAAGATTGTTTGTTGTCCTTTAGCCATGCGGCGCGCCAGGTGAGCAAACGTGCAGATTCCATAGCCAGCGACATGTCCGCGATCTTTTGCTGTATGGACTGCAGTTTAGAGATGGGCTTTCCAAACGCCTGACGCTTCTGGGCATAGTCCACGGCCAGCTCCAGTGCTGCCTGGCCAATACCAAGCGCCTGACCAGCGATTCCTATCCGTCCGGCATCTAACGTCTGCATGGCAATCTTGAAACCGGAACCCGGCTTCGCCCAACATGTTCTCCTTGGGCACCACGCAATCCTCGAATATCAGCTGGCAAGTCGAAGATCCTCGAATGCCCAGCTTATCTTCCTTCTTGCCCAGCGAGAATCCTTTAACACCTTTCGGCACGATGAAAGCGGATATGCCCTTGTGCTTTAGCTGTTTGTTAGTGGTGGCAAATACAATCGCTGCCTCCGCCTCAAAGGCATTGGTAATCCAGGCCTTGGTGCCATTCAGCAGAAAGTGATCTCCTTTATCGGTGGCTATTGTTGACGCGGCTCCGGCATCGGATCCATTTCCAGGTTCAGAAAGGGCAAAGCAACCCACTCGTTCGCCGGTTGTATAGGGAGTGATGTAGTCGGCTTTCTGGGCATCGTTTCCGAAAGAGAGAAGGGGTCCTAAATACAGAGAATTGTTTACCGACATGATGACTCCAGCGGAGGCACATCCTCGCGAGATTTCTTCCATAGCAATAGCGTAGGCCACATAATCCAGACCAGTGCCACCTGTTGAGCAGCCGTAGTATATTATGAAGAGTAATTAGTTGAAAACTACATTAATTACCTAGATCCTCGGGAATGGCAACAGCCATCACACCCAGTTCACCCATCTGGCGGATCTGTTTTTCCGGATAAAGATGCTCCCGATCAAATTTGGCCGCATTTCCGCTCAGCTCACAGTTGGCAAAATCCCTGCAGGACTTCTGCAGCATCTGATGGGTTTCGGAAAGGGCAGACAATGAAGCAATCTGCCGAACGTTAAAAGATCTGCGAGCTGAATAATTATATCAGATTAAGGATCTTGCTTATAGAGTGGCTGCTGGGGCTCAAAGTCCATCTGCTGGTTTGTCTTACCAATGTTAAACGAGCGGGTGAGTACGGACTGCATGTTGGTCAGGAGTTGTATATTACTTGAAAAAAATTATATATATTGCGTAGAAAGACAGATAAATTATAATTCTAAAGAATTCGATTATTATAACAAATTAAAACTGAAGAGAGTGACCAGAGGCAGGCACCGGCTTTGTTATGTATGACTGTGTGTAACAAGTGGTTCTTACAGGGGGACTCTTGTTTTGGTAGCTTTAATGTTTTATTATTTGATCACTTAAATATATGATGAGTAGTTTTTTAAATTATTTATATTTTAAAGATCCATAAAACTGATTAACCAACAATTTAAAAAAGAAGTAAATTAAAGCTTATATAAAGAGAAAATACTAAATCCGTGTATGGTATTCATCATTCATTAGTTGCTGTCCGAATACGGTTCCACTAGCAATTGTTGGTTTGTTTTGTTATTTTTATTAAAAGTGCGAATATGTCGCAGACTTTCGAATCTACGGAAACCGTGACAATAGAAGCCCTCGACTTCATCTATGAGGATGAAATGGAATGTGAGCATTGATGAAATTCAATAGATGGAGGAAAACTAACAATTCATTTATTGTTTTTAGTGATGAACATAAAACCAAAGCCTAAGAATCAGGTTGAGGTCAATCCTGTAAAATTAAAGAGACTGACGTGCAACTTGAAAGGATGCACTTATTCTACGGACAGGAGGAGAGACTTAAAGCGCCACCGGCGCTCCCAGAAACATCTGCCCGAAGATATCTGCTCCGACTCCGAAACCGAAATAGATCGGTCTCTGTTTTGCTGTAAGGTGTGCGAGTACACTACTGCCAGCCGATATTGCTATTTGCGGCACAAGGGATCGAGGCGTCACATTATGAAGGAGTTGAACGAATGCGAAAAACTGATAGACGAGACCGATGATGCAGAAAGTCATAATAAAATTGTTTCAGAGTCGGACGTCTCACAAGTTATCGGCGACATTCTGTACTCTTGCACACCTTGCAATTTTAACACTACTAAAAAATCCTGCCTAGAAATACACACTAGCACCCAGGCTCACAAGGATGTCTTGCATAGCGTCCTGGAGCCGAACGACTACATTGAGTATATTTCCCAGGAGAAGGGACAAATGATTGAGCCATCAGAAAAGTCTGCGGAGATCGAGGACGAATACTACGCCTATATAGACGAAAGCAGCTCAACAATGAAATGCGCGCCCTGCGAATACATAACTGCCAGAAGATTTTGCTTTGTTCGGCATCTGCGGTCGATGAGGCACATGGCTAAAATTCAAGCACACATTGATGCTCTGGAGGAAAAAAATGACTTTGAGCAAGTAGATGATTTGATTGCAGAAAATCTAGATGTAATCGATGAGTCTTCTTTGGTGGAGGAATTCGATGGAGGGGAGGATAAGCATGACTTGCAGGAGCAATATGAAGTGGAGGATATTGATGTCTTGACAGAAATTGATGACCTGGAAGGGCAACACGAAACTGAGGATATTGATTCTCTAGTGGAGGTGGATGGACAGGTTCATAGAGATTCTGGCTTTGAACGGATAGAATACGCACCTGGGGAAGAATCTGTTTACGAGGAGATCGTTTACTTGCCCGCCGAAGACAACACCGAAGAGATTTGCTATTTCCTAGCGCTTAACAATAACTAGATTTCAAAGAAACTTGTTTTGTTAAACAGAAGATACAAATGTCATCCACCGATTCTGGCTCAACTAAATGCCAAACATATTTGTTGAAGTTTTCAATATAAAAAATTTAAGTACATTCATGTTTTAAAATGTTAAACGGAAGATGAGAAAGATGGGTTATAGTATTGGGTTGAAGTATTTCACAGTACCTATTCGAGTAGTAACAATATATAACGGTATAATCCTGATATATCTAATTTATCTAACATTTATCGTACCTTTTTTTTTCACATATATTAATTTATTTTTTAGATATTGAAGACGTTTATGTTTTTCTAATGTCTATTTTGTTTGCATCAGTAAAATAACTTAAATTACTAAATAACTACTGATAAATACTGAATCAAATTTCTAGAAACAATTTCTCAAATTTGCAGAAAATAAATATGTACAAAATTAAAATTGTATGCATTTAAAGCTACTTAGGAAAATAAATAAAAATTATTGGATATATTCTTAGGTTTCCTATGTTTGTTTCTCATTTTTGAATTCAGGACTAAGGCGAAAAACATATTACCGAACAAGGGAGATCTGGTTTTTAATGTTAAGGATGTACAACATACAGTCGTAAAATAACTTAGCATAAAGAATTTGTTAAAAATAGTGAAAGCAGCTGAGGATCGAACGCACGCATTTGGATCCTTAGCCTGGTCTGATGGGCTGTACATTGAATGTGGGTATTATCTAATATGGATTATGATCTCAGGGGGGGTTATTCCGTATCCTTACGATGTTCCTTGTATTGGGGCAGCCGATTGCGGGTCCGATTAGCCACGCATGACACATCCAAGTTGCCGCGAACTGGAAATCTGCTGGTCCCCATTGTCCTGCGACGCAGGGTGGCACTTGTACGTTGTCCGTTGAGGCGACTAGGAGTGACTTCTGGCGAAATGGACCTTAAGAACCGCCTATTTGGTGGCTCAAGAAATGGTGACAAGTGTCGCCTCCTCGACTCGCGCTCCTTCTGTTCTTTATCGGTCTCGACTTTGGAGTCCCTTTCTTGTCCATTCATCCTAGCTGGCATTGTGCGCCTTGAGCGCACGGAAAGCTGGTTGGTGGCGGATACGGAACCAACTACTCTCATAGTTGGATCTGTGTTCTCCTGGTTGGCTCTAACTTCGCCTTCTGGCTTGGTGTTCGATCCTGCTGGAGTCTCGTCCATTTGTCTGGTCGCAGCTGTCATTAAGCGGGTGGATCTGCGATTAGCCGCTGCAGAGGTAGAGGGCTGCTCGTCGGCGCTTGTCTGCCCGATGGGTTTGACCGCGCGATCAAACACGTCATCGTCGTCTTCGGTGTCGGTATCATCCCAGCCAGAAACATACAATTTGGAATGGATAAGATCGTGCGTATTGTTAACGGCGTTCAGGCCCATGACGCTGTTTGCTTGGTTGACCTGCTCAGGTTCAGTATCGTCGGAGTCAGATTCCTCCTCGTCAAAATCAGTTTGTTGTACTCGAATGGGCGAGACGATCGAGCAGACGTTGCAAACGTAGGTACCACTATTGTAGGTGGTGCAGATTATGTGCGACGGATTGGAACCACAGTTGTTACAATACAGTAAGTTTCCTGAAGAGTCAATTCGACCCTGCGGCACAATGCATTCCTGGGCGGTGCAGCCCGACTCCCGACGAAGCTGCTCGGCATAGGCATTCGGCTCGGTTTCCCAACTAGCTTCCCTGAAAAAAAATAAAGTGATGGTTAGTTCGGAGAAACCCTAAGCCTAAAGCTTAGAACTCACTGGTTAGGCACCGAGATGCCCTTTAAGGCCACGTCGTGAAATACTTCTTTGTTGTTGCACAGTGGGCACTTAAAGTAGTAGCCTGCGGTGTTGGCGTACTCCTGCAGGCATTTTCGGTGATACCAGCCGTTTCGGCAGCACGGCGAGTAGATCATTTTCACTACGTTAAAGCGTTCGCCCTTGGCTATCAGACGCTCAGTGCAAATGATGCAGGACTCATTCTTTGCCGGACGATTGCTATTGTATTTTACATGCTGGTGGCAGAATGATTTGTACGTGTCACAGAACTGGTTCTGGGCGAGATTGTCGAATCCGCACTTGGTGTGGAATGTGCGCCGACAGCCGGACTTGCAGCATCCAATGTTGGCGCCCGGACGATGGCAATAGAAACAAACTAACTTCTTGCAGCGTTTGGCCTCCGCCTTGATATCTTCCTTGAGGAAGCGCAGGATGCCAACGCGATCGTTTCCACGTTGGATGAGATTCGAGCTAAGATACTAAGTGGTGCGAAGGAAGGGCAATTGTTTGAGACGAAATCGACTGGAAATTTTATTAGCCTTACCAGGCAATTGCGGTGCACCATCATACCGTCCTCATAATGGGTGACCCCAAAGGCCAATTCGTCTTTTTCTTTGCTGCAACACAACATACATACTTGCGCCATGATTGAGTCTCTCTTTGCCCTACGAAATTCAATTGGGAAACACAAAAAACATTTTTGACAATTCCAGAGAAGCGATCGAGTTGTCGCGCGCGCTAATACTAATTAATCGCAAGCAACCCTGCTATCACGAAAGTTGCCAGACATTAAATTATTTTCTTTTTCCGAAAAATACCCTTAATGGATTTTTTAATAATATTTTAATATATTAGACATACTATTTAATTTCAGTTGCTAACATCTAAATTTCTGATATCTTTCTTATTATTTGGTAATATTTAGCTCTAATATATCTATAATGTTTTATATTACTTCTACATCAGTTTTGGTATAGTAAGTAAGAACTTTCTTCGCAAAGGGTATTCCTTTTAAAATGTTTTAATTTTTTTTGAGTTAATTTGTTAGTTTACATATAGCAATAAATATATGATTTGACAACTAAAAACTGTTATTTTTGGTTTTCTGAAATAGCACCTTTATATTTATATCATTAAATATTTATCTAATGTACCATTTATTAATAATTTTTTTCTCAAACAAAAATGAAGTATGTATGTATATATCCACATCACTAAGGAAGAGATAATAGTGGCAGTATTCTTAGTAAGAGTATTAAAACTTAAAAAGTGTGGGCCTTAGAAAGGTAAAATAATAGAAACAAAAACTTGAGTTTGCTATATAGTTTAATTGAAAATGACTAAGCTATCAAAACAAAAAACAAGCACAAACTTGTGCTAGTCCGAATACTTTTGTTCGCAACTGTGTATCTGACAGTTTTCCGTTCTGTTTTTGACAGCCCGCTTTTCCATCTATGCGCAGATTTGACGCGCACGCACTGGAACTTGTTTAACGTTTTTTATGTTTTTCACTGCACAACTTTGTAAATTCAGCACACAACAAATAGAATAAAGCACTGTTATTTTTGAGTGTCAGAAAAAAGGCCACTTTCACTTTTACTTTCATCAGCACTGAGAAGAAGGACATCACCGCAACAGGAGTCCTGTTTGTTGTCCTATTGATTTGCCCCCACATTTTGGAGCTTTTTGTTTTTCCTTGCACATCGTTTTCCGCATTCACCGCTTGCTGCGCCTGCGAAGAAAAGGTAAAAACAAAATGCAAGTGTTTCCTGGTCTTAAGTTAAAGAGTGATAACTCCAGGAGGAATAATAACAGGGAGAGATAGAGAGAACAAGAGCGGGGAGCAAGAACTGCTCTCCCGATCGTAATGTGTGTGTGGGTACAAGCATCACATCGTTCTTATCTTCCTCAATGTGTCTCTCTTTAGTTCTCCGGCGATCTCTTGATAAAACCATGTGCACTAGTGTGTGTGGGTGTTCATTTCAAGCGCCTATAAAAGAACAGTTTATTCGTAACTAGTGCCATTCAGTTTTGTAGTGAAGCTGCCGCCGGATCCGTCAGGTGGAAAAGTACCGTGAGTCTTCGAGCAGCAGGATTTTCCCATTAGTAAAGTGTGCCGCGTGTGAAAATCAAGTGCAATTGCAGTTTTGGTTACAGGAAGTTGAAAATAAATTTTAAAAAGTGAAAAAAGCTAATGAAAATTTAATTTAAAAGGGAAAAAATTATAACAATAAATAATCAAATTACAGCAATAACCTTCTAATTTTTTATGCATAATCGCCTCCTTAAATTTTAATTTTGCTTAAAACGAATGGAGTTCGAAAATGTAATAAGTTGGAAAAACAAGTTTTTCGAAGAAAATGCTTTAAAAATAAAATTGTATTATAAGTTATTTTACCGAAATGTAACACTACTCATGGTTAAAAATAAGCATCCTTTTAACAATTTTTAAACGATATTTACTGCAAAAAACAAACTACATTAATCCATAACAATTTTGTGAGCATCCTCTATTTGACCTAAAACTAAATACGTTGATAGGCCTTGTTTCCCACATCTATTTTATCGGTGGCCAAACAAACCGCTGGTAAAAATAAAATAATAAAAGAACTGAAAAGAGCGCAATCATCATGCGTCCACAATCTTTTGGTTCGGCACATTAAGTGCTAACTGATTGGGATAGGAACGAATTTGTCCTCTTCTAAGTTACATATGTATATTTATTTATTTAACGGTGTTTGTAATTCCATTCCAGCGGCACCTGTACAGGAGATACTTGCAACCCCGACCAATGACCTGGCACCTCAAGTTAGAAAATCGATAGAATTAGAAAACGACCAAAATGCAGTCAATGAAAGCCGATGAACTGCCGGAGAATCCGCGCGAGACGTCGAACATTTTCTCATCCTTAATGTTCTGGTATGTTTAAAAGGCTAAATTCTAAAAAAAATCATCTAAAATTCTTATTTTTACACCATAGCTTCGCCATGCCCACATTTTTCAAAGGGCGTAAAAAGACCCTGGATGAAAATGATTTATATCGAGCCCTGCAAGAGCACAGATCAGGTGAGTTAAACGCATGATTTCCTCGAAGTTCTCTGAGTGATAGCCCCACAGTGCGTAAGCACTAAAACAGATCGTGCCTTGCATAATTAATGATCCCTGATCCATCCCACAAGATTATTTATGGAAAAATCTGCGGACCATTCGATAATCAATTTAATTGAATTATTAAATGGAAATCGGTAAGCTAGCTGATAAGCTGGTTTGCCCTCGAGGAGTTTTGAATGAGAGAAGAATTCCTTATCAGCACGTATGCCAGATTAAGACGTACGTGACGTCATGTGTGAATAGATTCCTTTAGATGATCGTTTGTGTTTTACTAGGTGACTTTATGTATTAGTCACACCTAGTAAAAGTACTTGATAGCACTTTGCAAAACTCTTCAATTCCTGGGTGCAATGATCATTCGAGTTTCGATTTCATCGCCCTTTGCCCAGGCCATTAAGTGGTTCCTGAAGATGGACATTAGTCGCGTGTCAAACCCCTGATACCCGTCGTGTCTCGAACGCTTCCTTGCACTGCCCAAGCTCAATAGTCTATACATTATATAATCATCTAAACCGCATATTTACCACACTATCTCCCGCTTTCAGGCACTCCCCAAATGAAGTGCCGGGGAGACACTTCAAGGCACCCGACGAATACGATTAGATAGGGTTTAGCATGCGCCCACTTTTTGTGGTTGTAGTAAAGCCTTTCGGTTATTCCGTTAGTTCGAAGGATCAGCGAACACTGAAGGGCTCTCCTCTAAAGGGGAAGTTGCGATTAGATTTCGCCTACATATCGCACGTCCGCCTTATTGATTTTTAGTACCCTATACAACCATTGAGATCATTTGGCGGAACTATAGCTGGAGTCTAATCCGAATGATAAGATAGCCCTTGGATACAAACATTCTGCACCATCACTCATTCTCATTGAATTATACGATCGCCAGAGATAGTGTTATCCAATCTGGGACTTTTAGACCTTTGATTTCCTCATTGAAATACTTTGGAAGTGCCGTAAAAAGTGACAAATTTGATATCTTTGACAACGTCCGCTGGCCACAATTAATTGAATTTACTGCCCAAAATATTTGATAACACTTTTTGGAACACCCCCGATATTGTATACGCAATTAGGTACTCAGGCTTATTTACTTAAGTTTAATAGATGGGCCCCTAGAGATATTATATTGAGTGGATCGTGCCATTGAGGCTTATACAATCCTAACAAATAATGGCACATATCTGGGCAAATATGTACAGATGCAATCCTTATCAAATGCCAAGCTTTTGTTTCTAGTTCCTAATCGGTGCGCAATCTAAGGCTTTTAGAAGGCTGATATAATCCCAACGGAAGTGCCGGAATCCGAATCCCAGTTTGGGGGTAGTGGAGTAGCAGGGGCTCTCACTGTTGATAAGATCGATTGGAGGTAATGCAGCTGGTCGGGATTTGCTTTTTGTTGGCAGTCATATTTCACAGTCAAAGCAAAGCACAAGAAATGACTATTAACTGGATTTATTACCCACGGTTACGGCCCAAATGATAGCAATGCTTCCAATCATTATAACCCTCAGATACAGTAGTTGGCAATCAATAATCGCAATTGCTTATACTCGGACATGACATTCGTATGAATAATAATCCTTTGTTGATTTTGTATTGATTAGTTTTCACTAGGCAATGTTAAAATTAAAGGTCTTCAAAGAATTTATTAAATGCATTATGAAATTAGTTTTTAAAATCGTCAGATGTTTTGACTTTATTCTTACCATAACCATGACGGGAAGATATCAATCACTAAAACGATAACATTAATTATACGGCTTTCATGGCAAAAACGTCATACAAATCTGTATATTATCTTTCATATTTTCCGAACTTGACAATTTGAAGGGTTTATACAGTGATAAGTGCTATAACATAGTCAATTTAAATGATGATAAGCTCAAAAATAGACCACGGATATGTACATATATGGGTGCGAATTCAAACAATAAAATAATAAATTTATATATTAATTATTCATTGTTTGTATTAGGAAAAGAAAAGCAAACTTTATTTCTATATCTACTCAATCAATTTTTGGTGTCGAGAACTATGAAACTTTAGGACCTTACAAACTATTCAGCTTGTTAAATTAATTTTTAGAAAATAACTCAATTCTTGGGTGTTTATTTTGGTGGCATCGTTAAACACCGCTGTATCATCTGCCAATTACATGCCAACATGCTCTGTTGTCCCGTCACGGCGGAATTTATTATCTGCACATGGACACCTGGCTGCACCTGGTTGATATCTTAATTTCTGTTTATTTCAGATCACCTGGGCAGCAAGCTGAGCGAGGCGTGGGAGAAGGAGGTTGAGAAGAAGCGCAAAAAGAAGAAGACCCCCAGCCTGCTGAAGGCCTCCATGAACGTGTTTGGCTGGCGCCTGGCAGGTCTAGGCCTGGTCCTCTTCATCTTGGAGATTGGTTTCCGGTAAGCTGCTCAAGCAACGCCCACCACCCGACATCTGGCTGATTTATAACTTTAAACCCTGCCCTTTTCAGAGTTACCCAGCCACTGTTCCTGGGCGGTCTGGTGGCCTACTATGCTGACGCTAGCAACCAGGAAGGCGATAACCAGACAAAGGCATATCTCTATGCCCTGGGCGTGATCTTGACGAGCGCCTTCAACGTGCTTTTCATGCATCCCTACATGCTGGGCATGTTCCATGTCGGCATGAAGGCCAGAATAGCCATGACAAGTGAGTTATTGGAGATCGGAGGGATGGGAGAGGGGTATTGTTCCCTTTTGTGACACATGAATTATGTTCGCCCTGCAGGTATGATATATCGGAAGGCGCTGCGCTTGAGTCGAGTGGCACTGGGCGATACCACAATTGGTCAGGTGGTCAATCTCATCTCGAACGATGTGGGCAGACTGGATGTTTCCGTGATTCACATGAATTATTTATGGCTGGGTCCCGTGGAGATTGGTATTATCACTTATCTCATGTACAGGGAGGTAAGTTACCTTAGATATTTACTACTACACGTAATCGTTAGAGGTATCCTTAACTAGATAATTAATCAGTTTTTTTTTTGATATGGTATTTCTAATATTGTTTGAAGTTCTTAACATCAGACTGCTGCAAATACTTAAATAAGTAATCAAATAGTTGAAATTAATCTAAGATTCGTTTAAAAGCTTATCTTCCTAAAATGTAATTGGGGTAGGTCAAATCCAGTAGAAAGAAATAACAAATTCCTTAGATTTAAAAAGCTGTTGGACATATTTTATTTAAACAATTTCTTTGACAGATTGGTATCTCCGCCTTCTTTGGCGTGGCCGTGATGTTGCTGTTTATACCACTGCAAGCTTATCTGGGCAAAAAGACTTCGGTGCTGCGATTGAAAACTGCTCTGCGGACAGATGAACGTGTGCGGATGATGAACGAGATCATTTCGGGAATCCAAGTGATCAAGATGTACGCATGGGAGATCCCCTTCAGCAAGATGATTAACTATGTGCGTACCAAGGAGATGAATGCCATTAGGAATGTGAACTACATTCGAGGAACACTGCAAAGTTTCATTATGTTCGTGACGAGGATATCGGTGTTTGTGAGTTTGGTGGGCTTCGTGCTGCTTGGAAAGCTGCTCACAGCTGAGAAGGCCTTTGTCATCACCGCCTACTACAATATCCTGCGTAATACTATGACCGTTTATTTCCCCATGGGCATCTCACAGTTTGCCGAGCTTTTGGTTTCAATCCGCCGTATTCAGACCTTCATGTTACACGAGGAGACGAAGGTGCGCGATAAGTCAGAGGATGTGGATGAGCAAAAACTTGGCAAGGCAGGTCTGATTTCTCAGCCCACCGTGGCCCAGACCACTGGTGTCCTGAAGCCCAACAGCCGACGCAGCAGTGAAGCGGAGCACGGTATCAACATTAGCAAACTCAAAGCCAAGTGGGATCAGAAGAGCACGGACTACACGCTCGATAATGTTTCGTTGAAATTCAAGCCACGCCAACTGGTGGCTGTTATCGGTCCCGTGGGTTCCGGCAAATCCAGCTTGATTCAGGCTGTTCTGGGTGAACTTAATCCGGATTCTGGTTCGGTGAAGGTCAAACGGTACTCTCTCGTACGCCTCCCAGGAGCCATGGCTTTTTACTGGCACCGTTCGTCAGAACATTCTCTTCGGACTGCCCATGGACAAGCATCGTTACCGTACTGTGGTTAAGAAGTGCGCCTTGGAGCGGGATTTCGAGCTTTTGCCTTATGCGGACAAGACAATCGTGGGCGAGCGCGGAGCATCTCTTTCCGGTGGACAAAAGGCGCGTATCAGTTTGGCCAGGGCTGTGTACCGAAAGGCTGATATTTATCTCCTGGATGATCCTCTCAGTGCCGTGGACACCCATGTTGGACGCCATCTATTCGATCAGTGCATGCGTGGATTCCTGAGGGAGGAAATCGTATTGCTAGTCACCCATCAACTGCAGTTCCTGGAACAGGCCGATGTTATTGTGATCATGGACAAGGGTAAGATCAGTGCCATGGGCACCTACGAATCTATGGCCAAGAGCGGTCTGGACTTCGCTCAGATGCTGACGGATCCTAGCAAGAAGGACGAGGGCGCTGGCGATGCTCCGGACAAGAAGAGCCTCTCACGACAGAACAGCAAACTGCGCGAACGTCACGGCAGCATCTCATCCATGGAATCTACCGCCGAATCCTTGGCAGCGGAATCGCCCATGCAAACACAGGAGGGTCGCGTGGAGGGACGTATTGGTATGAAGCTCTACAAGAAGTACTTCGGAGCAAATGGCTATGGACTGTTTATCGTGTTTGCCTTCTTCTGTATTGGTGCCCAGGTTCTGGCCTCAGGAGGTGATATCTTTTTATCCTACTGGTAAGTACATAGGTAACCCCAAAGATTTGACTTCCTTTATTCTTTCAACTGTCTTTTCCAGGGTAAACAAAAATGGTGAAGCAGAACGTGACACATTCATGGCCCGACTGAGACGCGCTTTCCCCGAAACCCGCATCAACGCCGACACTGACCCTGTAGACATCTATTACTTTACTGGTATCAACGTATCCGTGATCATCTTCTCGCTGGTTCGGAGTATGCTCTTCTTCTATCTGGCTATGCGCAGCTCAACGACGCTGCACAATACCATGTTCCAAGGTGTGACCCGGGCGGCGATGCACTTCTTTAACACGAATCCTTCTGGCCGTATTCTTAACCGCTTCTCCAAGGATTTGGGACAGGTGGATGAGATTCTTCCCTCCGTAATGATGGACGTGATGCAGATCTTCCTTGCAATCGTTGGTATTGTAGTCGTCCTGTGCATTGTCAACGTGTGGTACATCCTGGCGACAGTTTTCCTTGTGATCGTCTTCTACCTTCTACGAGTCTTCTATTTGAGCACATCCCGAGATGTTAAGCGCCTTGAAGCTGTCAGTAAGTAAATTTAATAATGTATAGAGGATACTTATTTTTATTTTTATCAGAACTTCCTCTTAACTGTGGCATTATCTATAATATGATTAATTTCCTTTCCAACAGCCCGGTCACCGATTTACTCCCACTTGAGTGCTTCCCTAAACGGACTGGCCACCATCCGAGCATTTGGAGCGCAGAAGGAACTGATTGCCGAGTTCGACAACTACCAGGATATGCACAGCTCAGGCTACTATATGTTCCTGGCAACGAGTCGTGCCTTTGGATACTGGCTAGATTGCGTATGTGTCGTCTACATCGCTGTTATCACACTGAGCTTCTTCCTATTCTCCCCGGAGAACGGAGGTGATGTTGGTCTTGCTATCACCCAAGCTATGGGCATGACCGGTATGGTGCAGTGGGGAATGCGACAGTCAGCCGAGCTGGAGAACACAATGACAGCAGTGGAACGAGTGGTGGAGTATGAGGATCTGGAGCCGGAGGGTGACTTCGAATCCAAGCCAAACAAGAAGCCACCAAAGGACTGGCCAGAGGATGGAAAGATCGTGTTCGACGACCTCTCTCTAAAGTACTTCCCCGACAAGGCGGCCGACTATGTGCTCCGATCCCTGAACATTGCCATCGAGGGTTGCGAGAAGGTGGGCATTGTGGGACGTACCGGTGCCGGTAAATCCTCGCTGATCAACGCTTTGTTCCGACTGTCCTACAACGAGGGAGCTATTCTGATCGACAGGCGCGACACCAACGATTTGGGACTACACGATCTGCGCAGCAAGATCTCAATTATTCCCCAAGAACCCGTACTCTTCTCTGGAACCATGCGCTACAATCTGGATCCCTTCGATGAGTATAGCGATGCCAAGCTGTGGGAATCTCTGGAAGAGGTTAAGCTGAAGCATGTGGTGGCTGATCTTCCCAGCGGATTGCAAAGCAAGATTTCTGAGGGCGGAACCAACTTCAGTGTAGGTCAACGCCAGCTGGTGTGCTTAGCTAGGGCCATTCTCCGCGAGAATCGAATTCTGGTGATGGATGAAGCAACGGCTAACGTGGATCCACAAACGGATGCTCTGATTCAGACGACGATTAGGAACAAATTCAAGGACTGCACGGTGCTCACGATTGCCCATCGCTTGCACACGGTTATGGATTCGGACAAGGTGCTGGTAATGGATGCAGGAAAGGCGGTGGAGTTTGGTTCTCCATTCGAGTTACTCACAATCAGTGAGAAGAAGGTATTCCACAGCATGGTGAAGCAGACGGGTGACTCTACTTTCGATGCTCTGCTGAAGGTTGCACAGAAGGTAAGTTTTCTTCTTAAGACTTAATATGATTCCTGTACATATTTTTCAATATATACTATTCCTTATAGGCCCATGATGATAACCTGCGTCTCAAGAAGGATTCTTGACATTTCGCCGTTCCGAAGGCTTTTAAAGACTACATACTTAAGATACTGGAACCAATTACGAATCATCCGGCTGCCAATGCGGGAATTCAGAAGACCTTCCTCTTCGCGGAGGCCTCCAAGCAGAAGTTATTAGGATAGCACAGCATCAGCGGCCCCACCAGACATCAACACTGAGCGGTCGCTGATGAACTTTTTTACAAAACGTGTACAAATCAAATTAAATGTTAGTCAGGTGTATAAAACTAGGAAACTGATGGGAAATCAAACAGACAGACAATAAGCTGATGTTAGAGGAGTGTAGTAGGGAGTAAATGTTTTTATACCTTAAACAAAGATTGATATAAAACAATGCAAATTGTGCAATAATTAATTTTAGCTGAACTTTGTGCATTGGCCTTTAAAAGGTCGCATTGCATTTGTATTATGTGTTCCAGTAAAACGACAATAACAACATTAAAACCAAAAAATAAAAAAAAAAAAAAAAAAAAGATAAAACGAAAAGAGAATTCTATGAAATGTTACGCCTAGTGTTAATATATATGTGTGTTTTTTATAGTAATTTATTAATGTACAGGTATACAAATAAATGTAACAGCTCGGTTGGTTCTTTTGTTAAAACGTTTTTATTTTCTTTATTTCATTTTAGCGATTTCCATTCGGCTAACTGCATATATGTATACTCTAAGAAATTGTACGCATTTAACTCAAAAGTATCTTCCATTAGCTGCAAGGCCCTCCTAGAGCTCACTTTAAAACTAATCTATATTTATTGTTAAGAACTGCCTGCGGCAGTTAAAGAAAACGCAGACACGAAATTCATTTTTAGCTGATGTTATATGTTAAACTTGGCATAGCTTTGGTTGCCACTCCGACTACATAACTGTTTAGTATGTACTAAATATAAGATATACATAAGTAGCCCCTCTTTTCGCTTATCCTACATGACCAGCGAAAGCCACGCGGCCATCAAACAGAATCCTCCGACGGTCGCGAACGGCTGCAGCTTCTTCTCACCAGTCAAAGCGCGGTAGTACATGCAGCCGCTGAATAGCATTGTACCCGTAATCATCAATGTACCAGTCTGCGGGAGAAAATGATTCATATTACTTAAAGTATTCAAAGTCTTACATGTAGGCCTGTTCCAGATTCCACTGTTTTCGAATTTGAAATCAAACGACTATTGTAAACAAACGATTTTAGGATACTACTAAACTTAACACATTATTATTGAGGCAAGCACCAGAATTTATAGGAACTAAATGTCCACAGTCAGGAAACTTATTAAATGTCTAATGACAAAATATATTTAAAATACCGGCACCGATTAAAAATTACACTTTAACCCGAGGTTCAATTCATCCAATTTATCTAAGAAATGCATTTACTTTTTAAAAAATATAAAGTGTATTAGTAAAAACCGGAACAGGCACCTTAGTCATAGTTTACAAATGTAAGATTAGAAAGGCTAGCAAAGGTGGCAAAAGTTTGGTGTGCATATTTTGATGTTAGCTTTAGTTGTTGGCTTTAACCTGAACAAAACGGAACACGAGCAAGCTTCATATTTTACTTATCAAATAAGGCTGATAACAAAAAAAAAAAAATAATAATAATTACAGAATAACAGCAAAAAAGAAAACAAAAAACGAAAGAATCTATACCTTTTTGGTACATTTTAAAAATACATTTGTAATATTGAAGTAAATTAACAAAAATTCCTAACCCAAGACCCCGAACCCATATCAGCTATGAACCTGCTCATATCACAAACCTAAGAATTATCCAGAATTAATGCAATTATACAAGTATCATGTGTGGTATTGAAAATTACTTTGTAAGCTGCAATTAGTGGTTGTTGAACATTTAGCTTTAGCTTTGGAAACATTTCATATACAACATGAATATACATATGGATACCTACTATATATTATAAAGAATGAAAAAAGATTGAAGTAACTTGGAAGCGCTTCGCCAAAATCAATATTCATTCATAGCTCAATTTTTGTAATGTCAATCAGCGCATTAGACTAGCTAAGCAGAGTGTCAATTATACGAGTATCAATGTTGGAGTTTCGATTCGAGAGTAACGCGAGTTGTTATAAATTCCGTTCAGAGATCTAACTTTACACAGAGTTTATGTAAACCACAAAACCGACAAACAAAAGCTTTACAAATAAACTAAATACGATCGAGATGGATTTTTTTGGAAAATGGTTGTATTTGTGTGGATTTTTTTTGGCTTGGCATGAAGTTATAAATATGAAAAAGTAAATAGTTTTTAAATTACAAATTGAAATTATTTAAATTGGAATCCACTCGGAATTTCAGATGCTAATTTCTTATTCAGAAAAAGAAATGAGCAGTGATCCAGTGTTTTTAGAAATGTGATTTAAAGATTAGTCAACAGTCAATATCAAAATTTTTTTATACTAATGCACAATAAGATGAAAAGTTCATTTCGATTTTGACTAGAAATTTTTAAACAGAAATTGAAATCACAAGGAGTTACATAATAATTAGATCCAAAGGGACGATAATACCCTTGAAATGACAGATATATGTAGCTAAATTTGGGGGACTTCCCGTAATCAAACTTACGAATATTGGGTAGTGAGCCAGTGGCATGGCCATCATGGCGAATGAATGCAGGAAGTGGATACGATTGGCAACATCGGCGAAGGCTTGCGAATCCACCTGCTCCTTGGGATCGCTGACGTCCTTCAGGACATACTTGCAGTAGGCGCCCATAAAGATGGCGGATGCCCCGCCAAGCCCGGCCAAACGCACAAAGTGGTAATGACTACCGGCCAGGCTATAGAGATCTCGATGTGGATGGACGTAGTTATGGGCAGAAGGATGCAATGACATGTTTGTTTCTTGCACTGGTACCTTCTTCGGACGCAAGCCCTGCAGATTAAAATTAAAATTATAATTAGTACAGAACTCCGGGATCGTCGGGTGGGAATATTCAATTAGTTACGAGAGTGCGGAGCAATGCGGATGCGGATGAAGCCACCATTTTGCTGACAGGATTGCCAAGGGTCACGTATTCAAGAGTGTCGGCGACTGACATAGTGTACTGTTGTTCAAACTTTATTTGGCGCTGGAAAATCAGCTGCAGCGCTACTAAAAATTTTGACGCAAAATTCCCGGGCGTTGCCGGACTAGCGGCTCTAGTCGATGTTTCTTAATCGATTGGACTCTGGAAATATGATTTTCTAGTTGAACAAGAATTTATCCACTTCTGATGTAAAACGAAATGATGATACAAAATAGAGAGCTTACTGTGGCCAAAGAACAATAGTAAAAAGATTTATACAACATTTTTATTTTACTTTATTGTTAGACCCTTGTTTTTTTTTTGCCATCCCTGGGTACCATTTAATTCCAAAGCAAATTCAAAACTAATCGGGGGCTTCCCAAAACTGAAAGTAGTCAAAAGATAATATTTATATAAGGAAGTGCTTTATTTTTAGAAAATTTAAGATGCTTTGCTAACATATTAACATGTTTTAATAACATATTTTTATTCCTTAATACAAACTTGAATATATATATGTGCATATTTAGTTTTTAAAATAAAACATAACTTATGAAGAACAACTCTAAATCTTTAAAAAATCCTCCTAAAACTAAATCACAGCTAATATATTTGGGTGACCCGACTACCCTACCATTCGACCGCTGCGGCTACACTGAAAAATCTACTACGCGGTTGGAAAGTTATTTGCCGGCACTGCGAAAAAGGAAGAAAGGCAAAGTGCAAGAACTGATTAATACCCCTTATCGGCAGATCGGTGAGTAGGTCGGGGCGTAAACATATAGTCGAAGCCGAAACAAAGCAACTACTGACAATTCCATTGCTTTTTTAGTCGCATCAGCGCAGTTGAACAATGAAAACTGCAACTCATTGCGCATTTCTAATTATCGCGGCTTTAGCCGCCACTACTGGAGCTCATGGATCTGGAGAGGAACGCCCATACAGGCGAAGCTTTATCAATCCGTATCCTCGCTTCAAGTTCTTCGACGACGGCGTCGATCCCGGAGAGCCTCTGTTCTTAACACCACTTATCAACAATGTCTCGGTCGATAATAAAGAAGTGCAGAAACTGGCACGCGTCATTGGTTCCCAGTTCCACGGAGTGGAGAGCTATTCCGGCTACCTGACTGTGGATCCCGGGTTTAACTCCAACATGTTCTTCTGGTACTTCCCAGCCGAGCAAGAACCAGAATATGCGCCAGTTGTGTTGTGGTTACAGGGAGGCCCAGGTGCCTCGTCCCTGTTCGGTTTGTTTACGGAGAACGGTCCACTGGAGCTGGACGCCCACGGAAAATTGCAAAAGCGAAACATAACCTGGAGCAAGACACACAATCTCATCTATATCGACAATCCTGTGGGAACCGGCTTCAGTTTCACAGATAATGATGCCGGTTATGCCAAGAACGAGAAGGACGTTGGCCGCAATTTGCACGAAGCTGTGATGCAGTTGTACGAACTCTTTGAGTGGAGCAACTCCTCCGGTTTCTGGGTCACCGGAGAGTCCTACGCCGGGAAGTATGTGCCCGCTTTGGCATACCATATCCACAAGGTACAAAACGCCATAGAAACGCGCGTCTATGTGCCACTGAAGGGCGTGGCAATCGGAAATGGCCTGTCTGATCCGCTCCATCAGTTAAAGTACGGTGATTATCTTTACCAATTGGGTCTGATCGATGAGCATGGTCTGGAGAACTTCCACGATGCTGAGGCTAAGGGAGCCGCCTGCATCGAGAAACACGATTTGGAGTGTGCCTTCGACGTATTTGATTCACTGATCAACGGAGACCTCACCAATGGCTCCTTGTTTAGCAACCTTACGGGCTACAACTGGTACTACAATTACCTGAAGACTCATGACGATGATGGCGCTAACTTGGGTGATTTCCTGCAGGCGGGCGCCACCCGTCGGGCCATCCACGTGGGTAATAAGCCCTTCCATGATCTAGACAAAGAGAACAAGGTGGAACTCCACTTGAAGAAGGATGTCATGGACAGCGTGGCTCCGTGGATAGCGGAACTGCTGGCTCATTATACCGTGTGCATCTACAGCGGCCAGCTGGATATTATTGTAGCCTATCCACTGACGCGTAATTACCTTAACCACCTCAAGTTCCCCGGCTCCGACAGGTACAAAATAGCTCCACGTGAGGTCTGGCGGATTGATGGTGAGGTAGCCGGATATGTGAAGCACGCAGGACATTTGGTAGAGATCATGGTGCGCAATGCCGGACACATGGCTCCTCATGATCAGCCCAAGTGGCTGTACGAGATGATCAATCACCTCACTCATTACAAGCACTAGAAACAGCGTACTTAAAAAAGCAAGAACCAGAATATGCTCCATATTTTTATCTATCTTACTTGAATAAAACGGGTTTTCAATGTAAAAATATTTTTATGAAATTCTTGTTAAATATTCGACTCATTCAAAAGGAATTTTAACAATACTCCCCTTTATTCCTATTATCTTCTATCTGATGATTGTAATAAAGTTTTAAAAAAAACTCCCTTTTTTTTTAATTACTCAAGTAGATTTAACAATAAACTTTATTTAAACTACTGACTATTGAAATTTAAAGCTAAAATTAGACTTAAAGCATTTCTTTCTTATCTAAGAAGTAATTCACTTTATTAAAAACTAAACAATGTTTTTTTATTAACAAATTTACTATCAATTAGTTTCTCTCCGGCATTCCCTTGAAGTTCCTGGCCACTAGGAAATGCTCCGCCGAATCTCCGCGACTGGCGCGCGGTTTTACCCTCTTCACTTTCTCATAGAACCGCAACATATCGCGTTCCAGCTTGGGCACATCGCCATTGTCCCACACCTTGACCACCAGATGAGCCTGTGGGGCGGACATGGCCAACGCGAAGCGGAGAACCTCATAGCAGAGATTCGTTATGCTTTCCTGGTCCAACATCCTCACACCAGTGGCGTTGGGCGCCATATCAGACAGCACACAGTTGACCTTTCGGTCATTTAGGCACTCTTTAAGCCGTTTTTGTGATAGAGCAGAGGTAAAATCCATGCCGCCGAAGATTGTGGCTCCCGGCACAGCATGGAAATGCAACAGGTCGATACTAAGGACGGCACCTTGTGGCGCCCGCTCCTGCTTTCCATTCGCATTGGTCCGCTCCACGGCTACTTGCGTCCAACTACCAGGTGCCGCACCACAGTCTAAAACTGTGTTCCCGGGCTGCAAGATTCCGTATTTGTCGTCAATCTCCATCAATTTGAAAGCACTCCGACACCGATAGTTCATCATGCGGGCCTTCTCCACATATGGATCAGCCAGCTGGCGCGTCAGCCATTCCTGGGAGCTCTTGCTCCGGCCCTTAAGGTTTCGCGGCTGCTGCTTCGCATATTTTCCGGCAATTTCCGTGTACAACAGACGTTTAAAAAAAAAACTACCAGTAACAACCATCCGCATTGTATAATTTATCGAAATTGACTAGACAATCGATAAGTTTCGATTTTAGCCGGTCACATTCTGGTACATTTACACTGTGACAGACAAGCAGCGGGAGATGTTTCTCTTTTCTTCTCCTTTAAAGGTGATTGGAGAAAGGCAATGTATTCATATCAATGATTATCGTATCATTTGTATAAGCGGTATCGTTAGGTATCGAAACTAATTTCTTGACGGTTTGCCGTTATCGAATCGGTGAGATATCGATACTATCGAAAGTGGGCACCCAGCTCTACTGTGAACCCTCACTTCCAATTCTCAACTCAACAATGGCGTATGTAATTGACAAATATTGAACGCGAGTGCGAAAAAAATATGAAGTTTAACTCAGGCAAACCTGCAAAAGTGTTTGATTGAAAATTATTTGATTGAAAAGCAATTAATGCGAGGCGATGATATGCCAGATAAAACAAACCAAAAGTGATTGCATGTGCAAACTGAAAACGGATCGGAAATCGCAGAAATTAGTGCTCTCTCTATCGCTCTCCCTCGTTTCTTAAGTAGCCCCTATCCCCACCTCCGACCGGCTCTAAGAGCACAGTGTTGTGCAAAATGAGATTCTGCGTTGTGGTTTGTTGCGTGTTATTTCTGATGGCTAGCGGCCCTATTGCATCAGCTATAGTCAAATCAAAACAACCGGCCGACTCCGCAGAAGTCGTCAGCAGCGGTGAGGATGAAAAGGCGGTGAGTTAAATTTTGGGGGCGGTATTAGAAGGAATGACCCACTAAGGGTTAACACTGACCTGCCAATTAATATTTCATCACCTTCCTACGATATGTTGGTCATAAGTGTTTCTATCCGTTGTTTTCCTCCCGTAGGACTGCACGGACTTGGCCCGCGACGAGGAGGCGCTCATGGTGTTCTCTACCTTGGGCGGCGGACTGACGGCCATCGATCCGGTGACCAGTGAAATACGCTGGACGATAGCAGATGGTAATTACGCGGGCACTCTTAGTAGTTTTCCATTTCCACTACCAATTTTCCGGCACCCCTATTTTCCGGGCTGAAGTGTGGGACTCAAAACATATGATAGGTTGTAATGGTCATTATTGTCAAGACTGAGAAGTTTCCAAAAAAGAAAACTATATAACTTTTAAATTAACATATTTTAAGTTTTGGTTTTTAATAAGGCAATGAATTATTTTTTAAATTTAATGCGGTAAACATTAATATTACTTTTTAAAATATTAAAACAGGAAATTGCCATATAACATTTTATACGATTTTTGCAAACTTCTTTAAAATTATTATGAGCATTTCCAGTGGAAAATTATGAACGAAACATGTGATTCACGAGCTCCTAGAAAAGTTGATTACGGATTCAAGATTTATAAAAAAGTATATAAAATGTTTTGAATTTATAATTAATTTTATTCTTTACTAAACAAAATTTAAATTATTTATGGTAATCTATAAATTTTATTTACAAAACATAAAGTTAGAGTTTATTAATGAATCTTTCCTCATTATTTGCATAGCTAATTTCACTTTTACTGTGATCCATAAAGATATAAAGCACCTACCTACCTCAACTAGATATATGTATATATACTGTAGACTTTTTCCCAGACTATTTTTCCCTCCACCTGAAAAATTGCGACTTCCCTAGGCCGTTGCACTAGCCATTTGAAGTGGAAAATGCGTTGCACAAACATGCGCTCGATGAGCTCATCGCATATTTCGTATCTCGAAGATGTAATTTCGTAGGATAGATCTACGCTCTATTATTTTCACTCTCGCTGTTTAGTACTGTGCCTGTGGCCTGATAAGAGACTCACATATGTACATACATACATATATACGCAATCTCAACAACAGCTCTCGGCACACAATTCCACCAATTAAGTTGCCAGCCAGACGGTATCACCAGCTAGAAGTCTTACCAGTTGCTGTACCCTCATACCCTTTCCGTAGTGGGTGGTTGGGACTTTGAGCCATTTTCCTTTCGGTTCATTGAATATTCCTACGATTTATCAGCGTGACGTATTGATTTTTGATGGCTCAAACGCGTTAATCTCGCAGTCATTTGGATGTTTCGAATTAACCTCTAAGCTTCAAGCGAAACCAGTGAGCGATATGAGTCATAATGACCAAGAAGTAGTTTGTAAACACGAGGGACTATCAACACGATTAAATCGCTTGATATATATGTACATATAGCTAGCATTTAGATTAGTACATTTGTGGGTGATTATAATTGTGATGTTTACTTAATTATCTAAAGGATGCAATTAATTACCAAAAGGGGCTTATAGTTATCAATCTAAAAAGAGGGCATTACCCATTCGATATATTAAATTCCATTGGGTATTTTTTTTTATTAACTTCCCAGTCCCAGTTTGCTTAGTCTAAATATAGCACCCACGGGGTTTGTGATTGTTTTTCCACTTTAAACCATTTACTTCTTGATAAGAAACTTGCTTGAACAACTCTTTTGTCATACCAAAAACTGAAATATTGGAGTTATGCTAAATGATTACCCGAACGGACAATACGCCCTCCACATGTTTGTTTAGATTTTTGAAATTTTTGAAATAAAAAACCCACGCCCCGTAAAGATTACTATATGTGATAGCAACAATATGCATGTTTGTGTGTCCATTCGTATTATTAGAAATTTCATGCTGGACGCTTGTCGTCTGCCTTCGTGGAACTGCAAATGATTGAAAATTCAGGGACTGAAACATGTGGACAACATCTGATTTGGGTATTCCAAACAAAAGCGCAGTATTTAAATAATATTTTTGTGAGTTATTCAAGCCAATAATATGTTTTTGATTCGCGGTAATTACAACGATTCGCCGGCTCTAACACGGCAGATTGTTGTACCGATATGTGGGCTTTCGTTCTATTACCTCATCACGAGAACCAGGAATCCGGTTCTTGTCTAATACATTACCACTAGCCAATTAGAATGCCCATGCTAACGAAAGTACCACGGTGAGTTAAATGACCTGCCCCAGAAGTTGCGGCAACACTTAAATCTCTTTACTCAACCATCATGTGTTTTTGGGGTTGAAACTAATTACTGATAAGAATGTGCAGTACAACAAATAAGTTAGCTTTCTTCATTCGATATTGCTATTATGTCTGGTCATGCATACTTCAATATTATTTAAATTATCATTTTCGTTTGTTAAAGTAATAATTTAACGCTCTTGCCTTAAGCAAATTGTTGGCGATAACAGAAATTGCCAGCATGGCTGGGGTAAATACTTTGGAAACGATCAGCCGAGGCTTCACAGGTCTATTTTGTATTTACCCAACTGTTGTTTGGTTTGACTTTGTCTCTCGCGCCAAAACCTGGTTAATATATTCCACCATTTTTAAGGGAAAATTATCTTGTTCTTTAAAATATGCACCAGAAAATGTGTGCTTCGATTCCATGATGTTGGGCTTATTGTACATTAAACTTCCATTCCCTTATTATAAGGAGAACGAGATAAGCGTTATCGAGTACAGGTTATTTTTATAATTTATTACATTTACTTTAACGCTTCACGTTAGTTGCAACGGTATCAGGAAATTTAATGGGGATATATTTACTGCGCACACTTCAAATAATTTACTATAATTTCCCAAAACAAACATGTAGCTCATGTAGATTGAAAAGATAATAATATATCTAATATTTTTTAAACAGATGTTTATACTGTTTTATCCAACCCCATTTTCAGATCTTGGTTTAGGTTTTCAAGTAAAATTACTTATATATTCCATTTTGTGACCGAAACCATTTATTTTAAATAGACTTTAATATTGCTAGTAATTCATAAAATTAATCTCTAATTCTCTATCTCTCCAATTCAGTTCGGTTTTTATTAAAATTTGTTTCCTTCTCAGTCATCAGATTAAAATATATATTTCTTGTGAGTCACCATACTTAAAAAAATTATTCTTGATTACCAGAATTTTAATGTTATAGAAATAAAATATTATTTTAAAATCAGTTTTGGGTCCTGTAATCGACATTAACTTAAGTGTTGTCGTAAACAAATAATTTTTAACGATTACATTCTTTGAAATATATTCAAGTTATTTTAACTCGTACATGCTTTTGCATTAATAACAGTAATAGTACACTTTTTATTGACATTGTAATATTACTATTGGCAATTACCTAATAATAAATATAATATTTTTTAGATCCCCCCATTGTAGCAGAACCTCAGGAGAATGTACAGGTTCCACATTTTCTGCCCGATCCTCGAGATGGTAGCATTTACCAGCTCGGCCAGATGGGCAGCCTCAAGAAGCTACCTTACACCATTCCCCAGCTAGTGGCAAATGCTCCTTGCCGTTCTTCAGATGGAATCCTATACTCTGGCAAGAAGAGTGACACCTGGTACATGGTGGATCCCAAAACAGGTAGAAGAGAAAAGGTAATGGGCTTCGGAGATGCCAGCATGGATGGCAAGGAGGGCGAGCAAATTGGATGGGCGACATCGCGGGCCATCTATCTCGGACGGACTCAGTACACGGTCATGATGTACGACAGTCTATCCAAGAACAAGAATGCCAAGCCCTGGAACATCACATTCTACGACTACAATGCTGTAAGTGCTCCTCCAGAGTTGGCCAAGGAATACGGTGAGTTTAATGATCTATGAAGATTGCTTATAGGTTTTTATAATCGATCTCTTATTCAGAATACATCCATCTGACCACCACCAGCAATGGCCAAATAGTCACCCTGGATCGTAAACAGGGTAAATTTTTATGGCAGAGAGATCTGAGCAGTCCAGTGGTGGCCGCTTTCCTCTTGGGACCCGACGGATTACTCAGCGTTCCATTCACCACAGTCTCCGATGAAGCTTACCAAGCCATACTCGAGGAGTCAAAAACCGGCAATGTGAATACCGTAAAGCTATTGTAAGCGAGAGAAAGTCTTGTTCTTTATTTTGTACTAAAGTTGTATGTGATTTCCAGCCAATCACTTTATGTGGGTGAGCACCAAAAAGGTCTGTATGCTCTACCTTCGCTGGTGGACAAGAACACGCCTCCGGATTTCCACAACACCACCGATCAAACTGCTCGACGGACCGGCAGGAGAGCAAAATAAAAATCAGGAGACCGATCCTCGTACTATTTACATAAACGATGTGCTGCAAGAGCACCCAGGTATCATGTTGGGACACTACAATGTGCCCAATGAGGGCAATGGAAACCTGCAGCTGTCACCGACAACATCTAGTAGCAAGGTGGTTCAAAGTTTGGCCACCATTCACAACTACAACGATGGATACGGCCTGTTGGCTAACAATGAAAAGAATGCCGCCGACATTGGTGTGCAAACGGATCCAGAATTGGTCGAAATTGGAATTGATCAGAGGACAAATGGAAACACCATTAATCGGACTAAGACAATAATTCTACAGAACAGCAATAAGGTACAGGCCTTCATCAACGAATGGTTTATGGATCATCCTAGCGGAAAGGTGCATCAGATTCTGATTGTCATCGTTCTTGGCATGATTGCCTTGTTCTGGTACACATGCAGCACCATGAGAGAGTTGCAAAAGCAGAGCGAGAACGGCTCAAAAACCTTCGCCATAGCGCAGAATAATTCAAATGGAAGCACCGGAAGCAATGGAAGCAATACAAGTGCCGAGGATCTGGTGGATTTAGGCAATGGACAAGTGCGTGTCGGCAAGATCAGCTTCAGTACAAATGAGGTGCTGGGCAAGGGCTGTGAGGGCACCTTCGTCTTCAAGGGAACCTTCGAGGAGCGTTTTGTGGCAGTAAAACGATTGCTGCCTGAGTGCTTCACCTTTGCCGACCGAGAGGTAGCCCTTCTGCGGGAATCGGATGCACATGAAAATGTGGTGCGGTATTTCTGTACCGAACAGGATCGCCAATTCCGCTACATAGCCGTTGAACTTTGCGCCGCCACTCTGCAGGATTATACTGAAGGAGATCGCGCACTAGAACTTCAGGATCACATCGATGTTTGGCAAGTGCTGAGCCAGGCTTCAGCGGGATTGAGTCACCTTCACTCTCTCGATATTGTACATCGTGACATCAAGCCACAAAATGTTTTGATTTCACTACCAGACGCCAAGGGCAAAGTACGAGTTATGATCTCTGATTTTGGTCTGTGCAAAAAACTCAATTTTGGCAAGACCAGTTTCTCCCGCCGATCGGGTGTAACTGGCACAGATGGATGGATAGCCCCAGAAATGATGCGATCCCAGCGAACGGTAAGATTTAGTGATTTAGTTTTTACAATATTTAATTTGTTGTTACCAATAGTTATGGTTTCACAACTTGCTCAATTAAGCACGAAGAGTAACTTTCCAAGTTAAAGGATAATTTTTCTAATCATTATATTTATTTTATTTACAGACAACTGCTGTGGATATCTTTTCTCTGGGTTGTGTCTATTACTATGTTTTAAGTGGAGGCCACCACGCTTTTGGCGACAATCTAAAGCGTCAAGCCAATATACTTTCTCACGAGTACAATCTGGCCAAGCTGCGTACAGAAGACGACGGCGAAATCAGCAGGATTGTAAGTTTACTTAGTAGAAAGGTTATTTCTAGATGATTAATGATTATATTCCTATTCTAAAGATACTGGCTGAACAATTAATATCAGACATGATACACAAGGATCCCCAATCGCGTCCGCCAGCTCGCTGTATTGGTAACCATCCGCTGTTCTGGGATGAGCCTAAGATGCTATCGTTCCTGCAGGACGTAAGTGATCGTGTGGAAAAGTTACAATTCCATGCTGAGCCGCTAAAATCGCTGGAAAAGAACGGACGGATAGTCGTGCTAGACGATTGGAATGTGCATCTAGATCCGATGATCACAGATGATTTGAGAAAGTATCGCGGATACATGGGCGCCAGTGTCAGAGACCTTCTTCGTGCGCTGCGTAACAAGAAGCATCATTATCACGAGCTTACGCCTGCGGCCCAGGAGATGCTGGGTTGCATACCGCACGAGTTCACCAACTACTGGGTGGACCGCTTCCCGCAGCTCATCTCACACGCCTATCATGCTTTCAGTATTTGCTCCACCGAGCCAGTCTTCAAGCCGTACTACAGTGCTGGCTATCACTTTTCACGTCCGTGGTACTTTGATGCGGATGATGCATTGTTCCCTATGTTGATGCGGGATCCCAAGCCCCTACCCAAGATTGGTAGTCCGAAAAGGACGCCGCCGCCAGCAGGCAGTCAAGTTCAGCAATTGAAACAGAGAAAGGGGCTTTACAATTTCCGTAAGCCGAGCGATGAACTGCCCATACCCGGTGTCGGTCTGCAGCGGAATATGGAGTTAGATGGACAATTAATGGAGCCCGATGGCAAACGGGATGTGTTTGCCAATTTCAAATTCCGGAGATACTCGAAGCCGGGAAACAATCGCAATTATAACGCAGGTCACAAGGAGACACAGGATAAGGAAAAGTACGTAAGCTGGACGCTGCCGCCTTCAACACAGGATTAGGGCAAAGAACCCAACAGATAAGAAGGATAGACAAGATTTAGTTTTAATCATTTATTAATTTAATTATTGATTTTAATTGTGCAATTTGTGTATATGCAACTATTCCAAAACAATTTCCAATTGAGTTCTTAGCAAAAATATTCAACGATAATTTTAGAAACAAAAAAAGAAACTATTTTGTATACCAAGTAAGAATAATGTAGTGTGTCGTCTGTCGAATGCACGCAATTTAACTGTGATAATTTTTGATTTTTGTTTAATGCCCAAGTGCAAAATGATCTAGAGTTTTATATATATAGTACTTAGAATTATTGTATATTTATGCATTAGTTAAGAGACCTATCCCAACACTCTCCTATCAATTACGGAGATCAACGACAAGATGAAAGTTTTTAGTTTTTATATCCATTGTAAAAGCACTTAATTTTAATGTTAAATAATGAAATGTTTCAGTTGATGGACAACTTAATGCTTGAAAACGAGCTGCATTTTCTAAGAAATCCTAATCTTAATCAAAATGAAAACTAAATAAAAATTTAATAAAAATTTTACAAAACAATTTTATTTTCGCTAATGCATGTATAACAAGGTGGTTCTTAGCTGCCAATTCAATACATTTTCTTAAAATTTTGGCTAAAGGAGATGGGAGCTTAGTTGAATAACAAATTCATAAATAGTTTAAAAGGTTCAACAAATATAAAGATTTTTATACTATACAACAGAGATTTTTAGTTCTTTAGAAGAAAATGTTTGTAACTAGAATTTGTTTCACTTTGGCGTTGTTTGCTCGTTGGTCTGCTACTTTTTCCTGTTTAATTGGCCGACTTCATCATGGTTTTCATTTCGTTACGCACGCAGTACTTGAAGGCATCCCAGCCCTCCGATTTGGCCACGGACTGCAAGGCAATTTTAGTTTAGGATTAGTTTTAAACTGCGAAGTGTAGTAGAGATAATAAAGAAAGTGAAATGGGAGACACAAAAGTGATTAATAAGCACAGCAAGAAAGAGAAACAGACTTTGTGGGATCCGCTGCCCACTAACCTCTTCACCTTTCGACGTGACTACCTTAATGGAAACCTTTAGACGCTCGTCGGTGTCCCCAACATCTAGCTAGGGAAAGAAAATACAACTCATTGCTTATCAACTGGTGCTTGGACTTTCAACCTGGACAATATAAAAGCCGCACAGTTCATTGTTAGACGTGCAGAGTGAGTCACAAATGACAGACCTCCGACAACACATCCGATCAAAATGGAAATGATAATGAGTGAGTATAAAAATAAATAGCAATTTCCAGATAATGCATATAAATTTAAGCAGTTCAAAGGTTGTCCTTTGCATTTCCAGAATGTTTTTCAAGGACAAACAAATGTGCATACGAATAAGGAACCAATTCTGTGTATATTTCAGTGTTTAATGGTTATATGGCCAATTCAAAATAAAAATAAAATTAATAATATGTAAATTAAATGCCATTGAGCTGAGTTAATATCTTAAAAGTAAATTATAAATAATCGAATTAGAACATAAAGCTTAAAGCATAAAACGCTTACAGACAAAAACCTAAACGAACACACACACATTTAATGCTGGTCAGCGAGATTATGACAAAAGCGGCAAACAAAACGAGGTATCAGTTAAATTAATTTAAATTAAAATAAATCAAATCAGTGCCAAAGTGCATCGCTGTCGATAAAGTAGTCCAGGTGCCGGCACACCCGGTGTCGCCAGGCCACGAAAAGGGGATATGCGGGTTCATCGTAGGCGTCCAGAGCTTCGTTGTAATCAAAGAAACGACCACTTACTTTAAAGCCGCGATGCAGGCGATCCTTCATGATGGCAATGAATTCCTTGTAGGACAATAGGCCATCGCCATCAGCATCGAAAATAGCAAAGACGGTGTCTATCAAGTGGGGACTGAGTTTGTAGCCGGTGCAAATTTTCACAGCACGCGAGAATTCATCTAAAAATACGATATTTTATTAAGATATTTAATATTAAAGCCAGAAATCAACTTACCTTTCGATATGGCCCTATCTGCCAGAGTGTACATCCGCATGGCGATCGTGAAGTCATCTAAGTTGTTTAGGAAATGGCAAAAGTCCCGAAAATCATGGAACGAGATGCCTTTTTCGTCCTTCACCCGCTCGAGCAGGCGCTCCAGAAAGACATCATACTCATCCGTGGCCAGGTACGTGTACCTCAGCAGGATCTTTGCAAAGTCCAGCTCGCTTATGACGCTGTTGCCCTTGGAGAACTCATGGAACTCCAGCTCCAGCACCTCCGTCTGCAGGTTGTCCATGAAGCGATAAAAGTTATCGTAGTTGATTACTCCAGTACCCCGCTTTCCAAAGAAGTGCAGCTGCAGGGTAGTGGGCACCATATGACGTCGCTGCAGACCCTCGCCATCGTTCACATAGCCCTATTGCAATAGATTATACAGATAGAGAATTAGCAATAGTTTCGTGAGGATAAACTATTCGTTAGTCACACCAGGCTCTCATGCTTGGGACTCGGGCAGACCTTACCTCCAGGGGAGTGGGAGCTGAGGGTTCGAGCTCATCTTCCGGCTCTTGTTCGCCGTGCTTCTCCTTCCAAGCTCCGCTGAAAATGCGCTCCATCTGGGATTTTATGTACATGCCAGGAGGATAGTGTGCAGGATTTATGGGTTAGGTTGGAGAGAAGAAAAGTTAGGTGGTTTAGTAAGGGTCAACACAGTGGTGGAGCGTTTCTAGGGTGTAGGCCTGGTTTTTTTTTTTTTTTTGGTTTGGGAAAAACAAAAAGCAACTGGAACAAAATTTTCAACAAAAGCTTGTAACATAACAAAAACTTAAAATTGAAAATACAAACTCTATGAAAACATAGAAAACTTGAAGCAAAGCTAGAACAAAAACATATTTTTCTTATAAATAACAAAACACAACGTAACTAAGCTTAGCTTCTACATATGCTCCAAGCATATATCGAGTTCTGTACAATTTTTAGCGGAGTTTTCGCGAAGCAAAGCCAATATACTTTTTGGGGAAACTCTTTTGGCTAACACTTACTAGACCCCTCTTCGTCTGAGGCACTGCCATGGGTTTCATCATTTGACTTTGCTCATCATAGGAAACTAAACGCGATAGCTGCCATTGAAATCGATTTTTTGTTTGATTCACAAATAAAATAATTAATAAATAAATCAAGGGGTTTCAAATTTAAAAACTAAAACTAAAAAGTGTAAGTGTTGTGCAGCTTACTTCGTCGCCCTAGGGCCAGCTATTTCAAATGAGTATTCATTATTGATAAATTATACCATTAAATTATAGCTTAACTTAATAAATGAAATGCTTACAATTTGCTTGGTTTGTGGATCGACATTTTGAGTGTCTTTTAAAGCGCCGGCCAAAATGGAAATTATCTAATGATAAACATTTTTCAAAAATTATATTAAATAATAAGTAAATAAAATCAATTCGAGGAACCCATAGGAATTATGAGTAAACTTTGGGAAAGATCATTCCCTATTTACCACTAGAAACTCGTCCTTGTCCACACGCTGATTTCCATCGGTATCGAACATGTTAAATGCAATGCGGAAGCCAGATTTGGGTTCTTGATTGGGTTTATATAGATAATTAATATCCAAATTGATGCCTTTTATATAAAACTTACTTGTCAGAATGGAGAGCAAGAACAAATATTCCGTGTAGGATACAATTCCTATAAGAAATGCGAATTTATTATATTATCAATGGTCGTTCATATAATTAATAAAATATATTCTAATGTACAAAATTGTACTTAAGCATTTGTAATACTACACCAATCCATAAATTAACTTAATGCTGTTTTTATCAGATCTTGTCTGCTAATTGAATTTATTGAAATGGCCAGCTAACAAACGAACTTGTTTGACAATTCTAATTTATTCGAAATCTAATGATAACTAGCTAGAAAAACTGGCAGGGAAAAACAAGTATTTAAGAGTGATTCTAGTACAAAGGTGTTTGTAATTCTTTCATAAACTAACATTAAAATAACAACTGAAAAAACATCTATTAAAGATTTCTTAGTTTCTCTAAAAACTTGTTTAGGAAATAGGTTTTTTTTATTGATATACAAATGCTTAGAATGTTTTAGGTTTCCTAAGCAATATCTTATTAAACTTTAAATTTAAAGAAGTTAGGAAAAGGGATTGGTTTCTCATTTTCATAATTTTACCTTTATCCCTAAGATTGCGAAACAGACGTGTGGAACCTTTCTTCAAGGCAGGTGTGTTTTCCTTGTATTTGTCCACCTCATCGCTGGACAACTGTCGACGCTTTAGACGAGCTATAAAAACCAATTAAATTATTATAAAATATGAATAGAGTTTTACTAAGTAATTACGTCTTGGTTCCTGCTCCACAACTGAGTCTAGGAAATCCTGTGGGGTCATATAGAGCTGATCGTCAAACTCCACCGATGCAAACTTTATGAATCGGCGCTCCCTGGCCGTTAGTTTTACATTCTCCAGCTCAGAATCGTCACGCTGCGGGAACAGAGATTGAGGATTGGGAAAAGATTAATCAGGCCATCGATGGATGGTAACTTAATATGCCGTTGTGCGTATTTGGTGTGCGAATATAATTGAAATAAATCAACGAACGATTGGATGGAAAGATTGGCGAACTGAATTTCCGCCGCTTGGTCACAAAGGCAGGGACCGGACTGGGATTTGCAATCTGGGCGTTTGTGATCTGGTGACGTTTTGATTAATGTTCGACCATGTCACCTCAACCGCGATCAGAAATATTAATTTGATCCGGTTTGTCGGACTCCCCATGGCATTGCGAATTACATGTATGATCTGCATTTAATTCGAAATTCAAAATTATTTTTCTTCGATGCGAGCCACCGGACAGGATTCCCACGTTGGCCGTTTGGCAAATAAAGTGTCAAATTGATTTGAGAACATGTTGTGACCGGTGATCCTCCATAAATCTGACATTTAATGCCACCCACAACAAGTAATCATTTTTCCCGAAAACTCGTAGACAGCCCGAATGACTCAATTGTATTTTATTTGTGGTGCAAAGACAACTCCCAGGCCATAACTCTCGCTCTGGGGACACCAGAAAACCCTGTCTGCCGCCTGTCCCCAAACAAAAAAAAAAAAACAAATCAGAACAAAGGCCACTTTGAATGTTAGACATGTGCAGCAAACACTTCGGCGACCACGCCCACGCCCCCAAGAAACCACGAGGGGCCAGGAACAATTCCTCATAAAGCCAAAGCTGACATCATTCTCAGGCTACAGTAGTTTGGTTTTTGGAAATATAATTGAATTGGAAGAAGAAAAAAAATGTTGACTCCTTTAAATTTGTATTTAAATTTAGTAATTTAATCATTTATTCAATTATAATAATTATTTTAAGCACATATTCATGTACTTTATGCTGATGATAATTATCCATATTTTTTTATAATCAAACTTTGTGTGTGGGTTGTTTAGAGGATATATTTGTGTGTACTATAGCAATATTATTTAACCACTGTTCTGGAAACCCTGCACCAAGAACAAGGAGATTCGGAATGGCTGCAGGCGCTGGATTTATAGGCAACAATTAAAACTCATTCATCATCATCAGGCGCAGTTGTCATAACACATGTCAGGGCCAGGCCAAAACCACAACCAAAACCAAATCAAAATCAAAATCCCAAAGCCAAAACTCAAGTCCCAAACTCCGGTTCCAACTGCAACTTAAAACCGAAGCCACGCCTGCGTCTGGCATTGGGTATTATTGTTATTATTGTTGTGCTATGGATATTGGTGGGTGTATCAAATCGGCAACCAGATCGATTGATAGATAAATTTTCAGTAACTGGCATTCTGTCAGCATTCGGGGGAGTTGCAGCTACACCACATATTACTTGCCGCCTGCAGGTGCGTGGGCGTATCGGACTAACTACTTTGCCACTTCATCATGCAATTTTCAAGGTGTGTGGCATTAGGTTTGGAATTAATTCCAAAAAGGTTACAGCCTTGCGAGTTTTAAATATTTTGCATTTTCGATGGCAAGATATGCTAATTATAGGGAAAGATTGGAATTCTGGGTAGAGTTTAGGGATCTTTAAGAAAATGTTGTGGGGATTTTAGATTAAGAAATTTAAAAGTTAATTCTGTTAAACATTATAATTTAATTAAATTGTTGACAACTTTTTTTTTTTACATTGTAAATTTGCACAGTTATTTAACTCGATTGAGAAGCAATGGAAGAGAATTTATAATTGAACTTTCATTTTATAAAAAAACATAATATTCAATGTTTAAAATTTACAATTTAAAAAGTTTTCAAAAATGTATATTAAATTTACTGATATTGGTAAAATTTTAAGGAATTTTAAAATTTTTTTATATTGAAAATTCGGGAAAAATTTATTGCAGAAATAAAATAAAGTGATTGATTTATAGATATTTAACCTTTTAAATATTTTACATTTATTTTAAAAAGTGATTAAAAATCTTTTTCCTGTGTATATCAACAATAGTGGTCGGGGTATTCCTCCGACCTGTAAGTTAATTCCTGATAAGCAATTGCCGAAATGCTGAATGTAAATATTTAAACTTCACACCCTGAATCACACACAACAAAAAAGCTTATCAAAGTGCCACTCACGTCAACTTGTTTCTTGCTTTTTTTTAGGTCTACCCCAGAGACAATGTCAACAGGTTGACAAATAGTTTTTTTTGTAGCTGTTGCTTTTTCATTGAACTTGGACACGCACAAAAAAACGACAACAAAATAGTTTACATCACAGATAACGGCCCTGAGCTGAATTTTCGTGAGGTCTTAGTTTTTGTTGTCGTAAAATCAAACGGAATGCTCATGATTTAACTCAATTTTATAGGCTAATTGAAACGATAATCAAACGATTAAATAGTAAAAACAAAAATAGTGCAGCGAACGAGCGGATCAAAACAAAACGCTAGATAAACAGCTGATAAGAAAAACACTTCCGTGGCTTTACGTAGAACGTTACGTCTTAACGTAAGGCACACGACATGCCACAAGCTAAAAATAGCTGCGCAGGTCTTTTTTATCCAATTATTGACTTTTTCACACCAAACACATAAGACACACTTGTTAGCGTTTTTCACATTGCAATTACCATGCGTCTTTTCAGGCTAACGGCATTCACGGGATTTTCCACTGATCGAAGTTTAATGAAAGCTGCTAGAGCAGCCAAAGAAACGGCACTACCGCCCACAAAAGTTAGCAGGCGTCGCGTTTTGTGTCCCGGAATTCTGCTCGATTGTGAGGTATTGCTGGCAAGTCTGACCGATCGACCAATGGCTGCGCCCACATTTGACCGGTGGGCGATTATAGTGCCACTTTTAACCGTTAATCTAGCCACTGCACTCGCCATTGCGCCCGAGTTTTAACAAGGAAAAAAACTTAACTAGTGACAAATAGAAAGACGTGACGTGCGTAACGTAAGGCGAGAGATGCGTCGCGCATTAGGGTTGTCAAGTGTTGATGTAGTGTGATTTATTCGATAGTTATGGTGAGATCTGTTCAACTAATTTTACTTCAAGGTTAATTTTTCTTATAATTACTTAGTTTTGGCTTTACATATTATTTTTAATAAAGAACAACATTAGTAGTAAACCGTAAATATTACGTAATATAGGAAATTAGTCAGGTAGTCAATAAAGAGTTGCCAGATCAATGCACTATGGCCTGCGGGCAAGTTGGCGGGCATTTGAAATAGGAGTGAGAGAGGGGAACGTTATATTCAAAAAGATTGCTTACCTTTCAACTGGATTATTATTTATTTAAACCGCTGTAAAAAAATAATAATTGAATTTTCCAACTCTTAAATGGAACCATTATTAATGTTAATTATTTATAATAATTAAATGTAAAAATCTGACAACTGCAAAAACATAGAAAGAGGGTCTACGCCAATTTATTTACTTTACAATCAGAAGCCTTAACTTATTTAAATAAGTAATATACACAAACAATTTAAATTCATTGTACCAATTTTATAATACATTAGCATGCACATGACTAAGAATTGACACATCTGAGGTGTTTTTCCCAAATTATTTCCGCATAACTGGCAATATGATAATAGCTTATTGACTTTTGCCAATTTTGAGTCACTCAAAAAGGGGTCTACGTGCCTTAGTCCACACAGATCCGTGGCAAACGTTTCCAGAAACTAATTAAAAATCCTGCAAAATGCAAATTTCTGTGGTGTACTCTTGACGCAAAAATACATATTTGGCCTTAAACTATTGGGGATTTTTATTGCGCATGGCCAAAAATCTGCTTGTGACTCGTCTACGCTAAAATCGAAAACAAATAAACTTATTGACCGTCAAACGTCCCGTATTCCAATGACTCACTTGGCTGCAACGGCGGCCCAGAATGAAATATGACAAAAATGCAACTAGAAATCAATAAAAATGTCGAAATATTTTATGGGGAAAACAAATGTCCCCATTGAAAGACGATAAAATGATCTACGGAAACCTGTTGCACACACCTCCATCATTTGGAAATTTCAATAGAAATGTTCACATCTGTTCTGTTCCCGCGGGATTTCCATTTGTTTTCCAAATCGAAAATATCAATTTCACCTGATTTTCCGCCGTCGCGCGAAACCCAAGACGTTGGTTCAAGTCTGTCCTTTTCCCCATTTCCTCCGATCGATTCAGGTGAAGTTCATAACCCAGGATAGTTGACACTTTGGGACTTTTGCTCCACTAATTCGATCTTGGGCCGCCTAAGAGTCGCCCCTTTTTCGCTTTTTCAGCTGGTTTTCGTTTACTCGCCAGTTATGAGCTCGTAAATTATTAGTTTCAATTTTAAGCTGGGCATTGTGTTTCCTTTTTTCCCAATCCATTTCCTGCGAAAGTTGTAAAAGAACTGACCGTCGTCCACACGGGCGCCAAGCGATTCGAAAGAGGATCCGATGGTCCAAAAGATCCGTTGGCATATAAAAATGTTTGTGTTGACGCCTTCGCCGGTGTTTTTTTGTTCTGTTTTGCCTTGTAAAATAACCCAAGGGCAAGGCAGATCAATATATATACACATAATATTTTGGTCTTCCTTTGGTAGTAATAAAGTCGTTTAAATCGGAATAAGTATTTGGCTTCTTTTATTCTCTGTTCCACCTTTCTTCTGGTAGTAATAAAGTCGTTTCAATTAGTGTTCGCAAGTCCCGAAAAAAAACGCAGTTGCCGAAGAAAATTTCGGTTAGCGCCAGGCCTGAGGGTTATTTTATAATTCATGCGGCGGTTTCCCTTCTGCTGGTTAATTAGTCTGGCATTTTAAGTGTTTTCGATGGAAGTGGCAGTGCACGATGGAAAATGTTTTAAAAAATAATGTCACATTAGTTCATGATAATTAGGAAATTTTAAACAAGTTGAATTTATATTAAATAGTTATTTTAAAAAGTCTCAGGATTTTTTCTTAAAATTGTTTTTATTATTCTATCATTTAATTTTTTACAAAAATGTAAGCTTTAAAAATGGAGCAGATATCGCTTAAAATCATTTCATTCAAGTTTATTATTAAGTACATATTTTTTTTTATATAGTTCAGAATATCCAATATTAACGATCCTAATCTTAATTTTCTTTTTATAATATAAGTCAAGACTCTGTTATGTTTGTTAATAAAATATGATGTAAAATAAAATAATAAAATCAAGAACAGTTTACGACATTATGTTTTTTTTCCGTGGCCCAAAGATGCCTTCGATTCCTATCCGATTTGGGTTGGGTCTCGAGTCTCGGGTCTTGAGGCCGTGCGATTAGGTAATATTTTCAAGGGGGTTGGGTTGCGACACGAAGCGCATTCTTTAGGTTTGCCGCATCATTTAACGGTAAAATTGAAATTGATATACGAACCGACATCCAAAAAAAAACAAAAAATCCCTGAAAGGTTTCAGATACGAAATCAGATTTTTTTGTGATTTCGGGGGAACCAACCGGTAGATGATATCACTGGCTGATCAAATAAAAAGTTCAATGTCAATGCTTGATGGGCGGCTCAATCAGTTTAAGAACACTTTGTGTCAGGTGAGAGAAAGGGGCCCACCTGTTGTGCCGGTTCACTCGAAGTTCATTGAGTTGTAATTAAAAAAATAAGAAAAAAAAATAACCAAAACAGAACCAAAACTCAAATAATCGAATACAGAAATATTAAGGAGGGACCACACGCAATCCGTTCAAGAGGCGCTGCCTGTCACACATAAATCTCAATGGTAAATGCGGGACTTTCGTGGGGGGAGATCACAACTTCTGGGAGCTGCTGCTGCTGCTGATGCATCACCTTAGCTCTGGCAAAGGAAAATAAAAGGGTGCCAAGGGGTCTTGACCAAGGATGCTAACCAAGCCGGTTTGTGCTATAGCAAGTTCGTAGGCCCCTCTAACATGGTGATTTATGAGAGCCCAGGAAACCAGGCAACCTGGCAACCTGAAAACCAGGCAACTGGCCAACTGGCAGCGGTCACAAATAGAAGCCGCTCCAATTACATCACTCAAACTACAGTTAAGGTGACCAAAAAACACTCCCCGAGGAACTGGAACTCCGCGCAACTGTCACATTAGGCCGCCTGTAATCAGACAGAGATCCAAGTTTATCGCCGGACAAGATCTCCGCAGGATTACCAGTCTAGACTTAAGATCTGCCTAGATCTTCGATCAGGCTCTCTTCTCTTTGTGATCTTGCCTGTGTTAACGGTCCATCTGTTGGCCACCGGCCGGTTTGGCCAACTTTACAACCGGCGCTAGATGATTCCTAGCCCATCGAAGAAACACCAAAATAAGGTGAGTGAAAAGTAAGGGAAATTTACACTGAGAGACTAAACATAGATATGTAAACAATTTAAAAAAAATTTTAATTTAAGTTTCTTATTATGCCAATCATAATTCAAACCAAAAATCTTATCACTTTTAGTAGTCAATGTCATTAAGCGAGGTTTAGCTTAGCATTAAGATAAGACATCACTCGTTAAATATGACTAAGGACAGATAGTATGAAATATTTTTAGGGGAATCACTTACCTATGTATCTTTAAACATAAAAAAGATTTACCTAAGACGACCTAAAACTATTTTTTTAGTGCATAAAAAATATAAGAGAAGTTCTCAATGCCCCATTGTTGTCCCTGCATTGATTAAGTTCTGATACCAAAAGTCTTGAGAATGGGAAAATCTAAAGAGTAACCTGAGCTCCGGCCACCAACTTTGGACCTCAACGAGTTTTTCTTTTAATTTTATTAATTGTTATTGCCGCAAAGTTACATAAATTTCTCTGATGCATATGGCGATAGATAGCCGTTCCACTGATTTGGTTAATAGCCGCGATATCGATATCGATTTCGTTGGCTGGCACAATAAGAATTGCTCACATTTATGTAGATTGGATGGAAGAAAGGCGATCTATTGAGTCTGTCCGACATTCTTATGAGACAGCTTGACTGATTGTGGGAGAGCCGATGGAAGAATCTCAACCCAGCAGCTTAAAGACAAGAAGCTTTTCGATATTCGAATTCTGTAAGATAAGATGGAAAGGTTGTTTTCTAAAAAGGTTGATAGATATTGATGAAATCTGGGTTACCATCTTCCTAATGGTTCTATTTGATTAACTATATTTAACTTTCTTATCAACCTAGTTCATGTTTCTATCCAAAGTGATCTTTATGCTTAAGTTGGTTTAATGGCATTCTAAGAAGAAGTTTTAGAAAATAAGTAACTAATATCCATGTTCTGATTTTAGATATTTCCTCCAATTATATTCTACCTACAATGGGGTAAGTAATTTAATTCTAATATTAAACTTTAGTACAGAAAATTCCTAAGTTTTCCCTGATTTAAAGGTAACACCCCCTAGTCCTGTTCCATAAATAGTCCCTAAAATCTTCCCCAAAACTGAACCAATGCCATTACCTAATGCTGAAGGTGCCCTTCACTTGGTACCCAGACCAGATGATACCATCAATTGCTCAACACTTCTCCAGCCGAACCCAATTAAAATCAGCCAGCAAATTTATTAAATTGCCATCGATGGCTGACAAATTAAAATGTCAACGGCTTGCCGAAGCCAAAATAAGAGGGCGGGACCCGGGGCGGTTGGCGCAAAAAAGTGTCATAAACTTGTTTGACAGATTTCTTTTGATTCATGGAAACCATAAATAAAGCTCGCCAAATCTCTGGGCGTGGCCCGAAAAAGCCGAAAGCCCCAGAAAACAAACTGCAAGGAAATCAAAGTCAATGCGAACGATGCATAAATATTTTGGCGAACCAAATGAGATTCATTTGGCTGTCATCATCATGTGGTAAGCACCCGCGCCAAGGAATGCAGAACATAATCCGCGATTTCCAAACCAATCTCGACCAGATCTGATCATCCGACGACCATTGCATGTGTCGCCCTCATAATTCTTCACCGATTCGGGCCACTTGATAATGACATTCATTGCCCCGTTCAAAGGCGCCATCCAATTGACTCATGAATCTTTTACGTACCACAATCGCAAAGTGGAAACTATATCATGGTTGTTGCAAGAACCAACAATCCAAGCACCTGCCTTCAATTTAAACTACAAATTTAGTGCCCATCTTGCAGATCATAAGTTCTAACTGGTTCTTCTTGGTGATTCCATCTATCAGTTAGGTCCTAGACAGTCTTCTTTATGTGGTGAGCCACACCTTGGAAACAGAGTGTCCACTAAATTCAAAGTGCATTGGCAAAGGAAAGAGTTTTTCCTTAAAGAAAAGTGCACAAGAATGCAGTTTAAAGATAGCATTTGATCTTGGAATTAGGATTTGATAGCAAGAATTATAGATACTCATGTAGGCAGAGATTTTTAAGATTACTTTTGATTTACACCAGATTTTTTAACAATGAAAAACTAAACTAGAATAAAACATAGGAATAAAAAAAGGAAAATTAATAAGAAAGTTTTTTTTCAATAAAAATTTTTATTTCCTAATAAATATAAATTTATTAACTTCCTTTAAAGCTAATTTTAAGTTCTATTTGTTGAGCTCATTAATGGATAGCTCTGCATCAGTGACTCTGAGGAGATATTCTACCAGGGCATTGTTGATATGTTGAAAGAAGTCGCGGATGTCTATCAACTCCATGGCGGCCGAGGTGGTTATGTAAGTGGGTCCATGACCATTACTGCAAATAGCTAAATCAGCCTGTTTGCAAATCTAAAGGATATAACTTATATTAAGAATATCATATACTCCCAAATACAAGTAATATCTAACCTTTTTAAAAGCCTGCCCGAAATAACACATAAGCAAGACTATTGGTGGATCCCATTCTTGGTCATCGTATAAACCCAATAGGGAATGGCAAAGTACCGAAGAGCCGCAGCTCATCTAAGAGTTTTAAACGATTATTATACGTTTGTTTTAAATATAATATTATAAATATATTAACCTGCATACTGGCTGCCACAAGAGTGGGCCAGCTCTTTTGCCACCAATTTGCCCATTGAACTTGAAAAACCTGACGAGCATTTAGCATCAGCGGTCGGTTCTGGAGTAACCGACGATTCAAAAGATCTTTCGATGGGGCTATAGCTGATTTAGAGGTCAAGCTCATCGTTACATTCGCAGTGGTAAAATACTCATTTAGTTCTGAACTAGTCACACTCTGGTCGCTTTCTGCACTGGTGGGTGTATTATTTCTACGGGAAAGTCGCGGGCTGCGTTTGCTCTTCACCATCCTGCGACGTTGTTTGACCATTTTCTTCGTCCCCTTATGAGATGGTTTCTTTGAGGCTTTAATTGGACTAAAAAACTATATAAATTAAGATTTTTTATAGGATATTAACCAAAATTTAATACCTCTCTGAACCAAAACATCGTCGCAATCCATTGTAGACGTTGTCCATAACACTAAACAATTCCAGCACTGGCATTCTGTTAAAAGCTTTACTAACAATTTTGTTTTTCAAAATTATAGTGTTTGAGATTTCAGATTCGAGAAAAGTTTAGAAACCCAAAAAGAGGGTTTATAATTTAGTTTCATTAGTTTTCCACCATTTTTGTTTTGAGAACTGTCAAGTGTCAAGGCTTGCTAAGAACTATAGAAGTTCCACACCAAGGGCATTTTCTTGGCTCAACTGGTTGGGGGCTCAAATTGGCCATGTCATCTTGATTTCTGTTCTGGCTGTAAGGAGCTCTCCATATCCCCGAGACTATTGCCATCATTGGCAAAAAGATTTGGTAGTAGAAAAGCATCAGAATTGGATAGAAAATTGGCAAAAACAAGCAAAGAAGGCACATTCTGACGTCTCCTTTGAAATACCACCGACTTTTTGTTAAGACAAAGAGTCGTATGTATATTTCCGTGTGAGGTGGGAACTATGATTAATTTCTGTTCCGATAGATCTGCGTGGAGACTCAAGGCCCACTCGGATAGTGCACTCATAATTTATGGCGGCAGTGGCTGCCATCATAATTAGCATTGCGATCTAAATCAAAATATTTACAAATCAATTATTGTGATTAGCGACCGCCGCATTAGCTTCCACCATAATCGATCACCCAGCTGGGTCATTCCTCGATATGTTCGCTATATATCTATATATATTTATAATCCCCAACCCCAATCGACTTGCTGGCGACGACAGCCTTTCACAGTAATCATAATTTGCATTGGCCTTAACCCGTTGGAAGACATAAGTTGTTTATATTCTTAATAACTATTGTGACAGGAAAAGTCTAAAAGTTTATCTTGATCTGTTTATTCTTGCAATTGCTGCTCAGCATGTAATATTTAAATGTTTATTTATTTTAGAATTAGCGGACTGAGAAAAGGTTAATTTATCATTTTTACAACATGTAATATTTTTTCAATTATTCAACTCGTAGTGAATGGGAAAATAGGTTTTTTGTTGATTATTTGAAGTAATTTAAAAATGATTATGAAAATCTGTATGGTTTATTTAGATTGAAGGAATATTTTACCAAATCTTTTAAGCATTAGTGGAATCTTATTAATCAGCGATTAAGAAGTAAAATTAAATATTTTGTTTTAATTAAAAAAAAAGCACAAAAAGTTCTTGAAAACACCTTTAAACTCTTTTCCTATCTATACTATATCTTGATTCGATAATATCTTGCCTTATATATAATATTTAAAATATTAAAAATTGCTTACATAAATATCTCTCTTTTTAGCAAATGGGTTAACATGTTTTCGTATCAGCGGGTGTCTTGTTCGCTGGTCACTTGGCTAAAGACAAAAGACAGCCTTTGGCGACAGAATCAGATTGAGATTTGTTTTTAATTGATTCGAATCGATTCGATACGAATTGAATTGACTTTCTGTCAGTCTGTGTGTCGGCTGCTGGCTTGTATGTTCGTCGCCATTTGCTGACAGCCGGCTATTACAATTTTATTAACATAAATTATTGTGGCCAGAATCGATTCACACATACCGAGTGATACATAAGTCGCCTACAACTAATGGAAGCTTAATGGTTGTTAATGTTCTGATGATGGAATTCCTCACCAAAAGTACTTCATAGGCCTTATATTGGCGATCTGCTATCAATTAATACTCGATCATATCATATCAGTTAAATAACTTCGGATTTTATTCGCTACCACACTGCGAAATCATGTTGGCTGACAGTCGACATGACAATTTATATTGTGTAATTGAATATCGCACTGATAGCAATCTCTCTCTAAATACAATTCTGTCTGTGAAAAGTAGCCAACCTTGAGGCAAGACGCCGGCGCGTTTTTAATCGCCCTGGAAACGCGTGCGATCGCCTCAAGGTGTAAAAGTCAGGTTTCTGAGGATTAATTTTCGAAGCGGTGTGTGGGGGTTAGCCTTAAAACCAGCTGCCATAGGTTGGGCTATTTAAACACCTTAACGGACTTCACTTGCCACATTTTCGGTCTTCCACAGTTTTTTTTAATTAATCGAACATCTTGCCCAGGAACTTGAATTTGTATGGTTTACGCGGAAAAAGGGTCAGAGGTCGTTGAGGCGAGCACATTAGGCTGGAACACTCGACTCCCGGGTTAATTAAGTCATTAGCCCGAAAATGTCCTGCTGCTGCCGCTACTCCTGCGCATAATTAATCATTTTAATTGTCTGGCTGGCTGCATACCAAAGGATAATGGGGGAAAAGCAGGGGAAAATATACTCGTGTAGTAAGGGCAAAAGGCAGATCATTGGCAGTCAAAAGGTTGCTCTGGAAAACTGCGGGGGAGTTCGTCTTGTCGTAGGTTATTTATAGGGTCACCGAAGGGTAGGCCATATTTGGCATGTGCTTCCCCGTTTCACAGGCGTCAAATTCTCGGGCACAAAATGTTTTCATTCCGTTTAATTGAGTTAATTGTTTTTCAGGGGGAAGCAGCTCTTTTTGTGGCCAGCAAAAATCACTTTGGCTACTTAAGAGAAAGCCTTTCTATATAAATTTCAAGGTTCAAAAGGGGTAAGGCATGGTGTAACCTATAAGCATTAAATAAATATTGAAAATAAACCTCTATAAAGTCTGCCAAAAACTTAATTTGCTTTAAAAATAATTTTCGTAGAATATAATCAAAGCTATTAGAAATCAACAGCTCCATTTATAAATATTTTATGGCTAATAAAAAATCCAAGCATTTACAAAATTGATATTTTATATCAATAAAGTTTATTTTTCCAACGTCAAATACGTTCAAAGTCTTTAGTTTATGACTCTGCTAATCGTTGGCCAACAGCATGCGTTTCCCACCTGCAACACCCACTTACTGACGCAGTCATCAAGTATGACGTTGGCGATTCCCCCGGAATATTTCTGCAATTTATACAGTGCCTCAGACACTGCCAAGTTCATTGTATATTTGGCACCATGTGACATTGTTTGCTTCTAAGCTCTATCTAAACAGATAAGATAAATGTTTGTTCGAAGAAATTCGCGCATAGCTGATTTAGCTTGCATTTGACGTGGACAGTATTTTTGGTCTAAACGTTTTTGCCAATTTTGGTCAACAGCTAAAATTAGCCAACGGGTTTTGTTGACCGAAATTAGATTTAGTGATTGGTTGATTGCAATGATAGTCAAATGACTTGGTCAAAGTTTAGCGCTTATCAATGTTATGGCATCGATTTGATTAGCACATATTATGAGTTGGCCCTCCCACGCTGTTGATTCACCTGCGATATTTACCTCCATAATGCAGGCCTTTCATGGCTGCACTTTGGGCCGTTAGTTAATTGTAATTTGTGCAATTCAACGCTAGCTGGCGAAATACAAAACAAAAAAAGCTGGAAAGGTCTACGCGCCAAAAAGCACAAACGCCACCCAGCCACCTAGAAAGCAATCCCCACAAATACAATCAGAATCAGGCAAAAGTCACTGCAATCACAACGCTCACACTGTCAGGCTGAAAAAGGGGCACGTGATGTTGATCTATCACTGGGACTTTTGATTTGGGAGCCCAGAATATCAACGAATCACAAATAGCACAAATTATAAGATTAGCTAACTATTAAATTTTAATATAATAAGTAATTATGAAATTTTACTTTCGGTTATAAAGCTTATCTGTTTAAATTATTGAGACTTACATTTAAGAAAAGGTTTTGGAATATTATTAAAATAATATTTTTGAGTTTGATAGCATTTTAGAACAGATGTCTAAGACGGTTGATACCCATTTATCAAACTGCTGATAAAAAATTTGTAGCCTACCTTCAAGCGTTAGTTTTTATGTTCTTAATGTTATTATTTTAGAATTTTTTATCTGCTATTTTAAATATATTTATATAATAATTTTTATGGCGATTATCTACTTGAGTGTTGTACTTGAAATAGTTTTTAGAGTATTTTTATTGTGGATAACTTAATAAAATAAATATGACAATTTCATACTTAATTATGGAAATATTAAATTTTTAAACACTGTTAGTGGTTAGCTCTTAGTTTTTGAATCATTAAATTGTTGATTTTTTTGTAGTTAATATTTATTTTATTTTTGCAGCATATGAGTATTTTTCTTGAAATTAAAAATATAACATTTTTTGTAAAAAAAAGAATCCAAAAATTTAAAATTTTGTCAAAACAAACCTTAAAACCTTAAAAACATGCCTAAATTTTGATAAATATAACCAGATAAAATTCACACTTTGTTCCGGGAATCAATAATAAATGAATCATATAAATTAACACCAATTCATTTTGCAACAATTTCATCATCATCAGATCACAAGAATGAATTAAGAATCAAGGGATAAACCATTTGTGTGTCTGTGACCATATAGTAAGCGCCATTGACTATAGTGGTGGACCATTCTTTTACCTGATTCGATTCGCCCACTACACAGACTCTCCCTCTCTCGCTCTCACACACTCACACTCTCTCGTTCGCTCCGCCGAGAAAGCGGCAATCGTGCTCGGCATAAACGCACGAAGCGTCGCCTCATCGACAGGCTCTTTTTGCTCAGTCTCTGACTAGCACGCTTTGGGAGCACACAGTGAGCGGAGCGTCCGCAGTCGCAGTAGCACTCGAAGTCCGCTTATCCGAACATCCGCAGAGTTTTCCAAAAATTTTCCAAAACCATATTCGATCTATTTGGTATTATCTTAATGCCCATTATTCTAAACATCGCGATCGCGTTTCCGGTTTGTTGTGAATTCGCGTCCAAAAAAGATCGAAACAATAATAATCTCAACGTTTAGGAAATTTGAAACAGAAAAGTTCGTTTCGAAATCCAAGTATTGCTGGCCCAGAGAGTCGTTACAATTTGAAAAGGCCGCTAAAATCGTTTAATTTACGACCAGTTTAAAATCAAATATATATATATATATATATATTAACATATATATATGTATGGTTAGTGTTGTGTTTGAGAGAAAAATAAAAGAATGGAAAATCACGAAAAAAAATTCTGAAAATGTTGAATTGTTGTTGGCGTTAAGTTTGAAAAGTGTGCAAAGTGCAACTCTCAGAAATAATCAACGGAAAACCTAACCCGCCCAAAAAAAGAATCGTAAAACTGAAAAACAAAGCAAACAAACATAAAAAATAAGGTGCGTAATTTGTTCTATTCCAATGCTATTACATAAGTTCTTTTTAGTAAGTTTGTTGTTCCTTGAAATATTTGTTCGAATGTTGCAAAATATTCGTCTGGCTTGCTTGGCCTTTAGTGCCGCTTTTCCTAAGCCAATAATTAATAAATGTTTTTAAGTTGGAAAAGAGCAAAAGAATATTATTAGATTTGATGTTTGGAAATACTTAGCATCCAGTTCTTTAAGTTCAAGAATATATATTAAAATATATTTAGTGCTTTGAGTTTGTGATGAAATATATAAGGGTATATTTTTTAAAATAAATTGAAATCATTTTCCACTTGGCAGCGGGCCGAGTAATAAGTGCATTTAAATGTCTCACGAGGGGAAAGTAATTAAATAACAAATTGTGTAAATACGAAATAAATTCATTTCAAACAAACAAATAGCAAGCGAAAGCAAAGGGAAGAAAAAACAAATTTACTATTAGTAGGATGCTAATTGAGTTTTATTTAATTCATATTCGATTAGATTTCCACACCTTTGCATTAGAAAACTAAAACGGTAATCTGAGTGAATTTAATGTCTATTACCCCAAGTAATTTTCCACCTTAATCTGCCCCAAATAAACAATAAGTTAGACAAACAAATTATAAGGAAAAATATTTTCTTTTTTTTACTTTTTGCAAACCGGCGAAAGCAAACGACCTTAGGAGCACCTACTCTATAAAAGCGAAATTTATATAAATTTAATCACACACACTTTGGGATTATTTATAGTTTCTTGCAAAAAGCATTCACATTCGCGAATTTGTATTTGTATATAAGTATCTGTATCTGCGAATTGTGCGTATCTTTATTTGCAAACGTACGCAGGCGCTTTTAATCTCATTTCGCAAACTTTTTTCCTATAATTTTCTTTTTTTCCCCTCGCATTTGTATGTCTACTTAGCGCGTGCAGTTTTTTTTTGTCCTATAAATTGGCGGCGTTGACTATTATCTAACATTTGTGGGCTATTATCTAAGCTGAGAGTTGTTGTTCTTGTTCCTGCCGCTGATTTGTTCCTCCTATCTGTGTGCGAATTTGCGTTAGTGTCGCATGTGTGTGCGTGGCGGGTTCAACAACTGCTAATCACATGGCGGATCATAGTTTGGACAGCCCACACCCAAAGACTAAATGCGAAATATGGGGATCAACGCGATAAAGAATGATATCGTGAATGAATGGTGGAGAGAGTGAATATCCTTCATAATTAATGGCCCCATCGAGTGCTTAACTCAAGTCGGGAAGATTATTTATAGAACCTATTAACGGTTTGGCATTTTCGAGGTATTTTTGAAAGAATTTTTGAAAATTAATAATGGCTTCAGGGGAAATATTTTATCCATTATTATTATTATGTGTAATTAACATTTACTTTTATTGATTTTCGATTAAAAAATGTTGGTGATTAATGTGATTAAAAACCAAAAATAAGAAAAAAATTTATTGTAATAATACAAATTGAAAATTCGTTTTCAAAAATCGGAATCTTTTATAAAACCTGCTTAATAAAACTTAAATACTAGATAAATTAATTTTTAGACTAATGATATGTACTTAAATATATTTTTAATTTTATTAAATGAAAACATTCCTTTTATCCTCAAGCTGTTAATGCTAAAAACAATGAATTAGATAATACAAAAACTAGCTTCGTGCATTTTATACTTTCATCAAATTCATTTTCTTTTTATACTCCCATCAAATTATTTTATTCTACTCAAGCTCTCACGTCACATTTTCATTAACTAAACTAAAAGCTCTCAAGGGCAAATAAACTAATTGATTAAATATTTAGTACCCCTGCGAAATGTTTTCTTTCTACGTCAATGATAATTGAATAAGTTAAAAGCCAACCATAAAAGAAAGACATGAAAGGGAAAAATATGAATTAAAATAATTGAAATGGAAATTAAATTTTTGGTTCGATCATCTAAGCATTTCGATTAGAAGCCTAAAAGCTGTCGTGTTTAACGAACGACTTGAGATGTCATAAAGCTGGCCAATTATCAAGTTTGGTTCTGAAATGCGTGAGTTGGGTAACTTTTCGCTTTGGCTTGTGACACATTTACAAATTGTGCTTGATTGATGGACGGATGGAAGGTAGCGAAGGCAAAGTTTGAAATACAACGATCATAATTCCTAGATAAAGCTTATCGCACGCGAAAAGAAAAAGCATTTACGGCCATGCGTAAATTGTTTTGCGGTTTGTTTTTTTTTTCTGTTTTCTTTTTGGCCAAAAGTGGCGCATAATACTTGGAATGAAAAGCAAAGAAAAAAGGGAAATAAAATAAAAGAAAGGAAAGGAAAATGCGGGAAGCTCAGTAAAAATGCAGCGTTTGTTTTAATGAAGCGTGAACACTAGACCACATAATGTGCGGCATACATTTACAGACACACACACACACGATCGCACATGGCAACACGACTTTAGGTACACCCCTCAGTTAAAAAAGTGATCAACAAAAAACCGAAAATGAAAACGAGAAAATCGTCGCGTATTTTCCTCAGGTTTGTTGTTGTCTTTTTTTTTGTATATGTTTTTTTTTTTGTATTTTTTTTAGGTTGTTTGACGCATTTTAAAAATATCCTAGACGCAATTGTTGCTTTTGTTGGTATTATTGTGCTTTGGCTGTCTGTTTGTCACATTACTAATACGTCGCGTTGTCTTTGATTTTTCTTCGTTTTCTGTTGACTTTATTTTAAGGCGACGTCTTTCCTTTTAATTTTCGCACGTAAAGTGCGTGACTTTTAATTAGACTACAATAAATGTGCGAAATTGTGTGGGTGATGAGTCTGCCAGTGGAAAGAAGTACATTTCTAAGTGAGATACACGAGTGCGAAAATGGCAGGGACTGCCTTAAATTCCTTACGTACTTCCGCCGAAATTTATGTGTTGAAAGATAGAATTTTCATAAATTAATTATTTAACAAGTACACTTGGGATGACAACTGAAATTTTTTAGTTTTATCCGGGAAAAATGTGCAAATTAATGTTAAAAAAATGTTGAAAACAATTACAGATGTTTTTTCATCAAAATGTTGTTCTTTTTATTATGTCATTAACACTTTTTTTTAATGCTTACATGTGTAATTTTAATTTAAGAATTACGAGATGTTTCTTCTTGGAATATTTAATTCTTAATAAAATCGTTGCGCATTTATTTATACATTTTACTTACTTATTTTCTAGGAAATATGAATTAAGTATAAAACTTTAAAATAATAAGTCATATTTATAGGAGGAATAAAAAAAAGTTAAAAAAATAATAATTAAAAAAAACAGAATATAAGATCTAAAAACACTCTCTAAAAAATTATTTTTCAAAATATATTAGACTTCTAACATACATTATTATTTAACGCCTTAGAAAGCTTTCTGATTATCAGAACATGTCTGGCATGTTAAAGGATACGATTCCAAAACCATCAAACTATCATATCATTTTTCTCATCCTGATAGTTCTGATCAAATCGTTAATGCCTAATCTGTTTTCTATATCTTGTCAATATATATATCTGGCGACCGATATTTGCTTTGTTTCTAACATCGCCGCATGCGATTGAGGATTGTATGTGCGTGTATCTCTGATTTCGCCCTCGCCTGTCTCGTGCACTAAATATTTAAAATAGCTGCATCTTGAGAGGATTTTTTCCGTTGCCTGTACTGCTACCTCTAACGCTGGTGATGCCGCTGAGACGGCAACCCAATTGCTTCCGGTTCAAATCGATTATACAAAAGCGCTGCCTTTGAGCGCTCAGGTTTTTCTATTTCCCTGGCGGCAGTGCTTTCCCCGTGGATTGTTGGCAAGTATCTAACAGTGATGCCTTCAAGTATCTTATGCCCGTTTCCATACAAATGAAGTGCACATCGATTAGTGCATTTGGCTGGCTGCCTGAGTTATGTTTCGGTATCTTTTTCATTTCTCCTCCCTACCTTTACCACCGCTTTTCTTGTTTTTTCCAAAGAAAATTAATTGTTTTGTAAACACGAGAGTTGTATGTAGACGGGGGAAAAGGGGGATTTGAACTGAAAGGGGTATCTAAATGAGAACCAGATCAGGGACAATAATCCTTGTTTGCATTCTGATAGAAAAGATATTCCATCTATAAGTCAGTTGTCAGCGAATGCCACCGCACATCAATCTTACGCTAAGCATTCCATAATAACAAATGTACGTATGGAAACGAGTATTATATTTATTCTCGTTCAATCTTGTGACAAATGTCAACACGACAATGAACGTCAGACACTTAACGTGGAAAATAAATACAAATTTATCTTCTCTTGAACTAGAATTTCATTGTTAAACCCATATATATCTTTGCATATTTGCTAAATTCTTTTCGCTTTCAGCATTGGCATTGAAATACTTTACTTATTTCCCCCCTCTGTTTTAGTAGGGAAAATAATGAACTTAAATAGTTGCATCACACACAACATTGTTTTTGTTTATACTTGGGCCTAATTTATTTTATTGCCCAAACTAAAGTTGGGCAAAGACCATAACCACAAGCCATGAATAAATTGCAGATGTAAGTGAAGAGTCTGGGAATTTGTGGCTTTTGGCACTGTTTTTTACTGCCAACCGCAAGAAGAATGAGATATGACATTACTAAATGGTTTTCTTGGTAATGGATGCTCGTAATAAATATCGCAAATTAACTTAGAAGCTAAAAACAAACATATTAATCATAAGAAAACAAAATAAAAAGCATTAAATATATTGAAATCAGCAAAAAAAAACAAAGTTAAAAACAGGAAACCTTCACTTTCAAACGCTGAAACCAGTTTTTGTTTTTGCTTCTTTCCATCAAATCTTAATACATATTTAATACATAAACTTTATGCTAATGTCATCGCGTATTTATTTTATTAGACTATTAACATTTTATTCACCTGTTATAATAAATTATTTAAATTTTCCCCTTTTGGCTTAGTCAAACTGCGTGAATCATTTGCATATTAGCGAAAAAACCACAAACTAAGTCCAATAAAAATTTACATATGTCCGACATTTTGGGCTGTAATAAATGTCCAAAAAGCGTTTCTCGCCTTTGTCTTTATATTGGGCTAGCCAGGGTAGCCAGGCATTTGACATGAACTAATTAAGTTGCGCAGCTCAGCTTAGATTTATCGCCGTCCAGCCGATCCGCCAGATACTTTCCCAAACTGCCCAAAAACCCATCTGTCAGCGGCGCCATTAAAACAGCGGCTAGCACAAATGTCAAACGCATTTCAAACGCATAAATTTTCGCGTTGTTCGGAAAGCAGTAGGAAAAACAAACAAAAAATGTAAGACAAAAAAACTTAACAAAATTTGCTAATCAGTTTGTGGAGCGACTGCCATTTCAGTTCAACGACTAGGGCCAGGCTCCGATTTCAGTGGCTTCCTAAGAGGCATCATGGAAACCCATAGTTAGAGGTACTAATTTAAATATTTTACTGGGTCTCTTTGTGATTTTGTTAGTTTGCTGACTTGTTGTCAAGCTATTGGCAGCGACAAGCTGCAGAGATTATATTTTTTAATATGTATCAGACCAGGTGCCATTCACAGTGGACGATGGAATTTAAAATATTATAAAAATATTATAAAAGTATATAATGGAAGTAAAAATTTAAAAATATATACTATTGTCTTGCTAACTATTTTATTTCAAATAAATTATCTACTTTACTAATAAACAATTTCAGAAATTTAGTTTCTTTATCACATTTAATCATTATTTGATCAAACATTCCCGATGGGCTTGTTTCTTTATTGCTTTTCTGTTTAGGAAAATAAGACAATGATTTATTTATATATTCATTTTCCATTCAGATATATCTATTTTCATACCCATTGTATAGCACTCAAGATCATTTTATTATAAAATTAATTCATTCGCTGAACAAAGATGCCGCCACACGTCTCTGGTCATTCATTATTAGACTCTTTCTTTGGGATTTTTGGGCATTGCTTGTCGTTTTTTTTTTTGTGATTTGGACATTAATTTGATTAGATGACTGCCACCGAAGATTGCCACTTAAATTTGGGTTAAGTGAATTTCAAGTTTTATACTTTTATACTTATATAAGTAAAGTGTTAACAGAACTCAGAGTTCTTTGGTTTTCCCATGCTTAAGTTCAGTGATCGGTGGACTTTCGCTTTCGTTTCGAGGGTAGCAATTTGCCAGAGCAATCACGGGCAATCAAGTTTGGACTCTGATCAAATATTGCCTTTGATTATATGTATATCTCCTTAATATGGGCTTTTTAAGCAACAAAAGATTTCATTATTTTTTTAAGGCTCCTCATAATTTGTTGAACTGTGGAGGCTTATGAATGACAGATGAACTCAGGTCGTAAAAGGCAGATACATTTATATTTTTTGGGCCTACCAGCCATAGGTGTGATTTTTATATTCCATTCGTACATATTTAGGTTTTATTTTTCATATCCAGAGCTATTTTTACAACTTTCGGCATGTGTCAAGACACGCTTCCCTTTTGGAGGTTTTTTATCTTTTTTTTTTTGCCGGTGATTTTGTGGTCGCTGGAGGCTGGAACTTTTGTTGCCCTTACAGAATTCCACATAAATTCTACTACTCGAAAAGAAAAACATTCATAAACAACACCTTGAGACCGAATCTGCGGCGATGGCTTGGCACACATTCTGCCTGCTGTGGCATACATTTTTATATATTTTTTTATACCTACTCGTATTTGGGTGAAAGGCATTAAAATTTGGGAAAGAGGCAATAAGGCTTAAATATATTTCTTGATCTGGTGAAGGATGATGAGAGTATAAAGAATTTTTCGGATTGCGGATTTTTATATCGGATTTCGTTGGCCTTTTGTTTTTATAACTCAGCTGGCATGCAAATGCCTCTTTTTACGATCTAGCAGGGCTCCGTAACTGATTTTTGGATGGTTTTGGGTTTTGTGACAAAACTATTTCATAAATTCACCTCAAAGTCAAAAGGATTGCATAACTTTGAAGACATTTTGGACAGAAGGACGCAAAAGCAATTAACATTTTGATGGGACCAGAGAAGTCTTGTTTTTTGAGTTGTCTCCGTTTTGTCGGCAATTTGGATTTGTTTCTCTTCCTGCTGGCTTTTTGTTGTTTATGGTAATTAAAACGGGGTGCACTTAAATGTTGCATAAAAAATGCCTCTGCGTAGGCTTGGTGAACTGAACACGTGCCAAGAAGACAGAAAACGAGTGGAAGTGCAGCGGCAACGTCACTCAGCCGCCCCGTTGCCCTGCAAATATATATCCCCAAAGATACATAGATACTTTGCCGGTGCAGTTAGTGCGTGATTATTTTCAAATTCGACACAGTTTTCTGCGCGAATTGTTTTTGTTGCCCATTTTATTTTTAAACAATTTGCCTGTCCGCCAGTCTTGAGGGGCTTTCCCTTTCTCCCCCCCTCTCTCTATATCGTGTAAGGGGGAAAGTCATTTTCGTTGTTTTCACCGAGTTTTTCCTTTGCGTAACTGCTCCCTTTGGGCAGTTTTTATGTAACCTCTTGCCGATCACTTGTCGCTCTTATAGATACAATTGTATCTTTGGTCCGTTGATAGACCATTTGGCTATAATTAAACTGTGCCACTTTGACGTCGTCGTTGTTTCTTTATATATATATAGCCAAACGCTAATTAAAATGTCAAAAATTGCGTTAAAAACGCTTAGCTGAAGAATTTATGTACAATTTGGCTTAAGCCAAATTTGTGTTGCAAATGTCCGCTATGGAATTTTCAAAGCCAATTCCCAGATGCCATAAATTTTGGGTGCTGTGCAAAGTGAATGTCAGGTGATAATATATTTTACGATACAGATAATCTCTTACTTAATGATAAGTCAATTTCTGTCAATCACAATCAACTAAATATTCATTCAACATTATTTTCCTTTTGCAGATCGTCGACTAAAATGTTAGCCAACCAAACTTAGGTCAACAAAAAATAGAAAAACAAAAAGCTGAGATTGCTTCATTCATCGCTCAACAATTTTCCTGCGATAATATCTGACATGTCAAGAAAATCATTGGCGTTGATAAGATGCATTATCAGCGGGGAAGACGAAGATGAAGATCCGCAACAGCAGCAGCAACAGCAATTAAAAAGTGTTAAACAAGTCTACGATATGATAACCTAATTTCCGGCCAGGAAAGAGGCGAAAAAAAACGATTTTTTACCAAAATATATATAAACGGGCTCAGAGAGAGAGAGACAAAGCAAAGTTAGTGAAAAGAAAGAAGGAAAAATAAAAAAAAAAACCCAATCGAAACGAAAGTAAAAGATTTCTTATATGTTTCAACGACATCCGAGGGCGTGGCGAACGCCCAATAAACTGGCAAACAAACAATAAACAACAGCGATTTACAGCGACTTATTATAAACATTCGGTTTTGGTTTTTGGGCGGAAAAAACGGAAAAAACAACTCGGCTCGAGAAACCCTTTTGTGAACCGAAGTGGTGATCTTTGATGCGAAGAAACCTGCGCTTGGACTGGAGGGCCCTGGCGCTGCTGGGCGCCCTCCTCTCGTTCATCATCGCCTGGCCAGGCCTTGTCTTTGCGATGCCCCTCATGGCCATGGAAACCAATAACCATACATCCACATCCGCATCCAACAGCACGAACAATAGCAATCTGTTTAGTAATAGTTATTTACAAAGTGATCATAGTCGTAGTAGTTTAGTGCCGAGCGCAGTGAGTGAACGTAGTGTAAATCAACCCACAAATCAAAGTATTAATGCTGAATTTAATCAGAGCTTAAGCACGCATCCAACTGCCATAACAAGCACACCCCAATCACAATTGCAATCGCAGGAGGATAACAACTCCGATCAGCTAGAGGAGCCACTGGGATTCATTATCTCAGCGTTGCCCAATGATCATCTGGCGATTCTGTCGCGTACCGAACGCAGCATTCGTCACCAGAATCATCAGCAGCAACAGCAGCAGCAGAAGAAGCATCACCATCAGCAAAATCATCATCACCATCAGCAACAGCAACAGCAACAGTCGCTCCCTGCTGACAATAATTTCATTGGTTCGAAATCGAAAAGACTGAGCAACCCTAGAAGTAATCTAAACATAAATATCAGTAGCAATAACACACCCATCAGCAATCTCGACCGTAACGAACGCTCCACAGTGCCCCAGTCCCATTTGGCCTGGACATCCCGCAAGATCCAGTTGTATATCAAAAATCGCATCCTTCAGATAATGCGTGATGGCATTGTCAATGGAACGCAGGACGAGAATAGTGAATTCAGTAAGTAGAAAATATTTTACAAGTTTAAATTGGTTAGTTAACAAATTTTCAGTTTAAAGAATAATTGGTTTAATAACAATGCCTTAAATTCAAAAATATATAACTGCATATTTAAGCATACTTTTCCTCTTAAGAAAGTTTGGGAAATACTTTAATGGTAGTATTAGGTAGTTAGGTAACGAGTTTTCAAAGAGTCCTCTAACTATATTCCCTTTAAAATAAGGTAGTCCAAAGATATATATTATACTAAAAATTAGTGAAGAAGTAGTAGTCTTCTTTTACAAAACTCTTATAATTCCCGAGTGTTTTTTTTGGTCGAAAAAATAATCCATTTTCTGTAACATTCTCTGTTAACTATGAACATATTAATGACACACTTTCTGGTCTTAGATCTTACTGTTAAATATTTTTGTTATGGTGCCCATCATGAACTTCAAAGTGGACATCACCCAACCTCCCGCCCCCCATTACTCAGCTATTTTTTCAGTTCACTTTGAATATGTTTTATGTTTAATTTTTTGGGATGTTCTCTTGTTTGGTTTTTTTGGCCACCCATTCCACTTTGACTGCATAAACAACCAAATAAACTAAAGCTTATGGCCATATGAAATATTTAGAATATCAGAAATAATACACGCCCACACACTAGCACCGGGATGTATATATATATATTTTTTCGATCTTAGTTGGTACCTATATAGAGCGCCCACAAGTTGAAAGTTCTCATAAAACGCAGTGAAGCTGCGTAACACGCACTGAGATCCGCCAAAGAAATCGTATTTTCCTCCGATCTCGTCTGTTTATGTTGGGCATCATTAAGTTAGACACTTGATTTGGCAATGCGGCTGCTGGCCAAGATTTGTATTATTTGGCATATAAATTCTTTAGTGGGCTAAGGGCATAAATCTTGCCTTAATTAACCGCTCGCCCTGATTAGTCGGGCTCCCTCTGGGAAATGAGTCAGTTCTTGGTCTGATGAAGAAGATCATCATGAGGCTGCTCCACCTCCTCCCAATACCATTTGCATAACTCTGTTTTTTTTGGGGGGCAAGTTGAATTAATTTACAGCTTCATTTTCATTGACTTCCTTTCAGTTGGGCAGCAATTTGCAGCACTGATAAAGCCACCGCCGAATAACTTGTTGTACAACCTGGGTCCGGTTTTTCGGTTTATCGGACGAGTGCATCATCGCCAGTGAGACACCACCGTGTGGTACATCTCCCTGATGCCGCTTAGATAGCGGGGATTTTGTTTCACTTGGTGTACAAATTTTTTAATTCACCACCGTTGTTGTACTTTACATATGCCTCAGGTGTTAATTTGATTTTGGACTCGATCTGGTGGCGATAATGCGAGTGGAGTGCGATAAGATTGAAATGGCCATATAAATGAGCTTTTTTCTTGGGTTTTATAAGACACCTCTGATGGAGTGCGTCGTGTTGTTGTGATTCGTGTTCGATTGTGGGTGTTGGGAAAAGATTTTTATGGTCACGAAACAAGTGGGGAGGTTTCTTTAATTTCTGGGTACTCTCACCCTCGAGCTTGGGACTTTCACAAACCAAATCAGTGGCAACTAACAAAGCAATTTGTGTTTATTAGTGACTGAGTGAGTCTTTTATGGGCTGTAAATTGTACAAAGTGCACCAAAAATCACGTTCACAGCCCAATCTCCGGATATTGTGCTAAACTTCTGTTGGAATCTTAAAGCTTTATCGCCTTAAATAAACTTCTTTCGCACTTGATAATGATTCAAAATTGGGAAGCATTTTAATGAATCATCTTAGATGACAAAATCTTAATCTGATAAATGGGATCAGAAAATGAGGCAGCAAAAAGTATTTCGGAACTTATCTTTATGAATATTCTCAACATTTTTATAGACCAGCAAAGAAATTTTATACAAGGTTTTGCATGTTTATGATGAATGAAGCCTCAAAAAAACTCATTTAATAACTAATCCTTAAAAATATTGATTTAAATTATTTTTAGTTCGTGTTGTAATTGTCTCTTTTACTACTCATAAATCGCTGGATAACGGCAAGTCATTAAATAGCTGACAAGCAGCGACAACTGCTTTGAAATAAAGCTGTCCAAACAAAATGAAAAGTGCCAAATCTTGTGAATTTTCCACTCTGTCAGCTTGCATCTTCAGTGGCATCTTGCGAGGCTCATCAACCAGTTGACCTCCAAAAGTCGGGTGAAGCTCAACGCCAGTTGCAGTTGCGGTTGCCCACAAATTGCAGCAGCAACTAACGGTGTCCGCAACAGACTATATATATTATATTTATATATATATATTCCCCCAACTGAACCTGAAATGAACCCCAATCCGGACTTTAAAGAAGACCTTTTGCACGGGGGGCGTGCATACCATATTTTCGAGATGATATATGGAGAGTACTTGGCCCGGCGGGCAGACGGCAATTATGCGACTGATTTAGTGCGTGGAGCGAGGTGTGAAGTTGAGTGAAGCTCAAGTCGTCCAAAATCCCAGAAAAACTCAAAAAAGAAAAATGTAAGACTGGAGCCGTTGGATACTAAAAGCTTCCGACAAGCATCTTGTGATAACTTAATTTACGGCACGTCTTTTGCGGCCTGTGAAGTTGATGAAGTTGCCCCGACAGTTTGGCCAACATTGCATCGATCCAACTGCAGTTACTTTCACTGTCACTCCACCATGTTAATTGTCTTTTTAAACACTAAATCTTCTATAATATTATTTATTTATGAGACAAGCCTTTTTCGGTAGGGGGTGTTCTAAAAAATACCACAAAAAACTCTTTGACAAATGTTTAGTGCGTAAAAAATTGAACAAACGTTGTCTTTGTTGAGATTTTTTATTTGGAAAAGTGAACTCGTTAAAATTGGTCACAGTCCATGACGCAGTTCTCAATGGAAGATCTTTTTTCCCAATACCTCTGTGTTTTTTATATTCAGTGTTTTTTTTTATAAATTTAGATAATTGCATCAAATGTAATCCCCCGAGATCATGATAAATAGACACGGCACGGCAATAGGGCATGAAAAGAATAAAGGAAATTTCAACACAGTTAATTCGTGAGTCTACCAAATGGCCGGACTATTATATCACTTTCGGCACATAATACGATAAATTAATTTTACACAAACATTTTGCCCCTGGCTACGTCACGGATACAAAGCAATCTGCTGAGGGATCTCAATTCTGCTGGCTAGACGGCGGCCAAATATTTATTGTCGGAATTTTGAGGTTGGACAAAAGTTTGTAGAGGAAATAGAAAGTGTATATATTTTGGGGAATATTTTTTAGACTTTTAAATACTCTTCTTGGGAACTGAATTAAGGGCATTTGGTAGGAGATACTTCTTCTTTGAAAATATAAAATTTAAGGTAATATGTTCTGAAGAAATGGTTGTTAAGGAATCATTCTGTAAACATCTTTAAATCATTAATAAATATAAAATTAAAACTTAGAAAATTATGGAAAATCATAGACAAATGCTATATGTGATTCATAGTTTTTTAAATGGTAAATTATTAGAACAGAAACCCAAACAAATTCCCGACATAAATATTCGAAAAAGTGGTATTTCAATTTAAATCATAAATATCATAATATCAAAAAAATGTAAATTTATATCTGAAGATATATACTTGAAATTTGTCCATCTGCAAGTTGATGAAAATCTTTTGGATATCCATCTTTCAGTAGATATATCCGCGTGTGTAAGCGAGTGGGTGACGGGAAAATGAGGAGACAACACTTGACAAGCTATTGTCAGCGATGTGGCTCATCATCAGTCAGTGGTGTCGCCGGTGTTGCCGGTAGTGGTGCTGATTTATGCTCTAGTTCAACATGGGGACTTGAAAATACCGCGAAAGTATTTTGTTTTAGATAAGATTATGGTCCATAGTTATTTCTAGGGAGAGCAAGAGACAGAGGGATGGCAAATGGTCTAGCGGACGACGCAATATGTCAAATGGATTTACTAGAAAAGTTGGCGTGGGTTACCTTTTCGGATGGATGTGAATCTCTCTCTTCCTCTGCAAATGTTTTTCCGGCAGCCGCTCGACTTTTCGGCTTGTTCTGACTTCTTTATTTTTAGCCAGGTGGCAATGAACTGTTCTTTGGTCTCCTCTCCACTTGTCGGTTATATAAAAAGGTCTAGGCCAGATATGTTGGTCAGAAAAATATCAATAATATTTTTGTATATTTTTTCTTCCTCTCTGCATTGACAACGTTGTTAAAGTATGCGTAAAATTCGTAAGACTTGAAATATATTTTTTGTAAACGGCCCCCGAAGACGTCGATGGTTTATGAACCTGGCCCCGCTATATAAATTACAATGATTAATGACATTTTGCACGCAGTTCTCGGCAGCGTCTGTTGCTGCCGTGGTTATTGGCGTTGTTTTACAATCATTTTTACGGCCAATTCATTTTCACCCAGGTCGATTCACATTCACTGGCCCAACCAGCAGAAATCCAAGCGTTGCCCGGTGGCACAGAAACCACTCAAAAAACATAACCATATTTTTTGGCAATGAATTGAGAGTGAAGGCTGCAAAAGGAAAATGGGGCGTATGAGTAATATGATACTACTCCATGGGGGCAATTATTGTTAACTTTTATTAACAAACTTAATTAATTATCAAGCATATTTTAGTTATTATTAATAGGCCTAAGGCTATAATTATCTCAGATATATATTTAATTTAATGTTTATCCCTTTAAAGTATTTTTTATATTTAAAAGGAAAGAAAAACTGCAACTATGTTAGAAAGTTGTAATAATTGAATTAGTTCATTGTATTACTTTTAACCCTATATCCTACACCCATAACCTATTATATCTTCTAGAACTTTCTATATCCACCCACTCAACTGCATAATGAAAAATTTACAGCACTTTTAGTAGAGTTTTCTTTGCATTTCGGTTTTGGTTTTCCAGTTCGCATAGCCAAGCGATAATTTGAGCAGATATTCACTCGTCTATATAGACATTTCCATACCGACACGTTC